TTCATTGGTCATACAAGAAATTCACCATTACCAAATCCTAAATATTACAAACTAACTGGTTTCAATCGTGAGTTTTGGATAGACATGTACTCAACTCATGACCATAAAGCACCAGTGTTCTTGCCTCCAGATAGAAAAGATTGTTTATACATTGAAGCACAACTCTTAAATTCTACAATTGCTGTATTGTAAATGACCACATGTGCTTCGCCCTTGCCGCTAGCGGCTTATTTTTATCATGAATGGTCTCACTTCTGACAAAAATAAATGACCTCATTATTTTTCTCATTCATGTTCTCAGAACTTAAGCTTTCTTATGAATGAAGTCTTAGTCTGAATAGAAAAGTTAAACTTTTCCTCAAATGCAGGTGTAGCAGACTTACATAAGTCAAATCCAATCTCTTGACCGTCATAAAGTGCTTTATATAACTTCATAACACTGAACTCAGAGTCTTTGTCAAATTTTCCTTGCGGAATCATTAAACCTTTATCTTCATCATAGAAACACTGAACAGAGTCAGGAAACATTTCATTTGCTGTTAAAGCAAGGACGTCTTGTTTGACACCTTTGCAACGTGCATGGAATGCAACTTCATTTAAATCATTCGTGAGTAAGTCTATGTAGGTCTTCTTTCCACAAAATATTGACTTGTATGCTAAACTTTGTTTTCCAGGTGTGATTTCTGCAAAATCTGAATGAAATTGACCTAATGTTTTACCAATAAGTTCTCTACCGTATCTCTTCTGAAATTCCTGAGCTAACAGTGGGATATCTTCATTGTAGAGATGCATACTGTCCGTATCGCTATAAAAGATGTCCATTCCTAAGTCCTCAGCAGTACAGAATACTTCATTCATAATACGTTTTGACATAGATAGAATATTAACACCAAGTGGACAGAAGTTAAAGTGTCTGCAAATGCTTTTCGTTAGCTTGAAAATAGTTTTATCCGAACCATCCAAACCTTCGAACTTCACTATATGGTTGTAGTTTCTGATGGCATATCTTATAGCATCTTTGTCATCTACTATGGTTATTTTTGACTCAATAGGAGATAGAATAGTTTTGCCATAAATACTGTTCAGAATGAGCTTTATATTTTCTTGCAAAGGATTTCCTTCTTTCTTATACTTTAACCTTAACTCAAACAACTTCTTTACTTCATCTCTTATTCTAATATCTCTGTTTCCATCGTAATAGTATCCTTGCAACACTTCACATTTGACATCTTGATATTTTATGAGGTCTTGTAATGTTATATGGTCAACATACATTAAACAGCAAGTGTTTGAACTTCTTGGAACGTTAAGTTCTGGATTTAGTTCAGGGTCGCAAACTATTAAAGGAAAGTGTCTATGGATGCCAATCTCTTTTATCTTAATGAGAACAAAGAAGCCAGACATAAACTTTTCACCAATGGGTTCCTTTTGGTCGTCATCGAATAAATGTCTCATGAGATACTCTGTGCTTAACATTTCTTTCTTCATAACCTTTGGAATTCCTTCTAAAGTATAAAGTCTCGCAATAGCTGAGGGATATAATGAAACAGCATCGAAGTCAGCAATGAGTTTCTCTTTACTCTTTTGTTTAATGTTATCTGACAACATACATCTTCCACCTTGAATGCATCTCGAAATAAATTCTCTTGGTTTATTTGAGAGGTCATAAAGATTTCCATTCGGGAAGTATACTCTGTTCTCAAACAATTTGTTAGCAATAGAACAAATGCTAACGTAGTCATAAACGTTTAAATCAAACTCTTTCAATAAGTCATTTCTGAACTTTACAAAACCTTCTCTTAAAATTCTTACATCTTGTTTGCAATAGAATGTACTATACTTTTCTAAGTCGAAGTGGTTCTCATCTATTCTGCAACCTTTGATGGAATCTATGTTTTTCATGAATGTATCCGCATCCTGGATAAACTTACACGCTTCAGAAATGACACCAGTTCTGTTGTCATTTGCTAACAAAGTACTGCTGTAGTAGTTATATGGAAATACTTCTTTCGGTCCTGTTTGTAAGTTAAACATAGCAGGAAATAGTTTAAGCTTCTTATTTATAACACTGTAAGAGTCTTTTATAATAATTGCCCTTCCTTTATATAAACCAGTTATTTGCATTGTTCGTGAACCTTTAATGATGGGAGTTCCTTTCACTTCTGTCATGTGTCTTAAGATGAAGTTTATGTCATAACTGAGGTTATGGAAATATATTAAACTCTTGTCAGGAAGTCGCTCCAAAAATTCTGTTGCACAGTTTTGACCCCATATGCTTTCACTCACTGAACCATCTTCACTGTCATAACATATGTTAAAAGCTTTATGAAAGCCATCGGTACTGCACTCAAAGTCAGCAAAGAAAACGTGCTCAGGAATGAACTTACATTTAGCTTTATTTACTTCTTTTGACTCTGCTTTCTCCTTCAGTTGTACACAATACTTTGGAGCATATGACAAGTCTTTAAATGGTGCAAGGTTCTGTTTATATAAGTCAGTCGTATATGTGAAAAGTTCTCCATAAGAAATAGGTTCGAAATATTTGCACTCCCACAATGTTTTCATAACATCCCATAACGGTGTTGTTCTATCATAACGAACAATGTATTTACCATCTCTCATTGTATAAATCTTCATCTGTTTCTCAATGTTCATTCCACCACAAGCTTTGAGAATTTCTTTGTAATTTCTGACGAAATATGTTGTCATAGGTAATCTTTCGTTTAGCATGTAGTGGTCTTCAACAAGAAGTAAGTCAATAGTTCTAACAGTTTCGCATTCTTTTGGTATATATCTCTTTATTTCATTATGTCTTGAGTTATTGAAATAACCAATGGTAACATTAAATGCTATACCTGTTGCGTCAGAAATTTCTTGTACTTTACTTTGAGGAAAGTCTCTAACACGAATGACTTCTCTCATGTGGTCAATAGTTTCTTCATTTACTCCAACCTGAATGCAAGCATAAACGAAACAATTGTCCTCTGTCATAAGTGTTGCAGTTCTTTTGTTCAGTTCATTGAAGATTTGGTAGCGTTCAAGATTTATAGGTAATGTGCAAAGATACTTCCAGAACTGACCGCTTCTCTTCTTATAAAACTTCTTTTCACCATTATCTTTCCAAAAGCTTTCTATAAGTGCTGGGTTTCCTGTTTGCTTAAGAGCTTCCAAAATGGCTTTCTGGTCATTTGTCAGTGTGCTTTCATCTCTATATGGTCTCTTTTTTGGTTTGCCTTTCTTTACATCTGACATCGTTAAGCCTTCATATTCTGTTAAATCATACATCTTTATTTCAGTAAGATTCTTTATGTTTGTCAAGAAGAAGTCATAATGCATTTCAACAATACCTGCAGCATTTGCTTCTATCTCTGATATAAAGTTCTCCTTCAAGAGCTGATGTAGTAATGTTCCAATATTATTGAGGTTTAATGTAGAACATTCATACTTTCCACCAAGTTTATAACATACCATCCATCTCTGTTGTGAGTTTATTTTAATTTTCTCTAAGAGTCTCATGAAAACCTTACCGAAATGTTTGTGTAAGTAGTCTCTGTTTGGTTCATCTAAAGCTTCGATGTTAAAGTCAATGAGTCTATTGCCTGTCTTAACATTCCTCTTCCTATTCTCTTCATCTTTCTTTAACCATCTCTCACCTTCTTTTGGTTTGTCGTCAATGGAACGAATGACATCGTTAGCTTTGCGAACTTGTTCTATAGCACTTTTAAACATCTCTCTTCTCTGTTGTTTCAGTGTGTCGTCTCTTCTTCTTGTTTCACCAACGTTTGAGTTCGTAAGTTCAAACATCTCTTGACGAACATCATGCGAAAGAGCTTTACGAGTATGACCAACGTTTGCATTTGTTATGTCAAACATTTCTCTTCTTACTTCATGTGGTACTGAACGTCTATGATATAAGTCAATAGCAATGTCATTTAAAGGAAATGCTCTTGCATGGACTTCGTCCTCGCCGCGTTGCGGCTTTATGAACTCATGAATTCTATCATAAGTTATTTCACCATTGTAGTCTTTAATGAAGTCAGCGAGTGCTTTTTTGTTTGTCGCGTAATGAATTGCAACATCTATGTTAGCTTCTGTAAGAAGTTGTTTTATTTCCGAGTGTTCGAACTTAGACAACTTCCGATACATCTTTAGTAGGAAATAAAAAAATATTTTTTGAAAAAATTAGATTAGATTTTTTTAAGTTATTTTTCAAAATAATTTAATATTTTTATTTTAATGAAACACATGCAAGATTGCAAGTTCTTTTCATACAATGCTCTCGCTAATGCCATCAAGAATGAGTTCAATGGTGCTTCAAATGTTAATGTTATCTTTAACAAGAAGTTTGTGAAAGAATCTAAGTTTGGTCAGTATGTCAGACCATTAGCTATCGTCATTGACCGCAAACGTTATACTTCACAAGAGTTAGCAGTAGTTTTGAAACAAAAGAGTTTCTTCGTGAATGTCAAAGATACACACTATACTGTTATAAAGAACTCTAACGTTGACTTCTTCAGTATTGTTTTAGATTTAACGCAGCAGAAAGAATATAAGAAATGTGAAACAAATGTGAAATATTATCCTTCATCTCTGAAAACAATAACGAACAAAGATGTTATACAAAAGTTCTTACCAAAGGTTGAAGAAGCTTCTATTGACATTGACGAAGGAAGTGAAATGGTTGAAGAAATTGACCCTGACGTTATTTGAGCAAAAATATATTCTTGGTTAGTCTTCATATCGATATTTTACAACAATTCCCCAATGTATAAACTTTTCATACGCTTTTTCATAAGCTTTATATATCTTCAGAAATTTTGCATAATCTTTAGAAGCATTTAGATATTGTTTAAATGCTTTGTATGTCTTCAGAAATTTTGCATAATCTTTTACATGTTGTTCGTTCTCTTCTTCTGTCATGAGTTCCGAATATTCTAAATTCATGTTCTTTCATATGAGATAAAATTTTATAAAAAAAATAAAATTAGCTTAGATTTTTTTTATTCTTCCTCTTTGAAGCTATCGAAATATTCTGTTATTTTTTCCTTCAGTAATGTTAAGTCTTCTTTGAATGTAAGTATTGTGCAACCTTTAATATCATAGTGTGTTTGAGGAAGAGTATTTTTGACAATTTCCTTTATTTGCTCATTCGGTGTCATTGAAATCGGTAAGTTTTCACGATAGAACCAGTTTCTGTCAGATTTATATATTTTAGCGAGGTCATAAAAGCTCTTGTTGTTTCTTCTCACTAAATGCAACATAACCATATCTCTGTCTTCTTCTTTCTCCAACTCTTCAGTATATATCATATACTTATAACTCTTTTCCTTTCCTTTTGGTACTGAACGCAGTATTCTTTTCTGTATGCTTTTGTCTTTGGATTCAATGACTTCATCTTTTGCTTGAAGTTTCTTTTCCATCTCTCCACGTTCTGCTTTATATAGTTCATCTAACATCATGAAAATATAACAAGCATAACGAGGTGAAGTCCACATTGCTACAGCGTTTACTAAAAGTCTATGAACATAATAACCTTTCAAACCAGGAGCCAAATTCTTGCGATTTTCATACGGAATCTCTTCCCCGGTTTTCCGAGGGAAGCAATCATATGAGGAAATTCTTCTAAAAGTTCTTTTGTCTGTTGGTTTTCAAACCAATGATATGCTTGCTTTGTAGAACGAAGAGCATTCATTATACTCTGCATTTGGTACATGTCATCTTTGACTGAACGAATGAGTCTCAATTGTGTATTATACTGTATGTACTCGTATTCTTCATTAATGGCTTCATGAACGATAGCAATTGTTGTGTTCTCTAATGTTGACATTACTGTTCTTACATACAAAATAAAAAAATAAATAAAAATAAAACTAACTTTATTTTTCTAACTAATGAAATTCATTATTTTTGTGCTGAATTCAATAAAAATATATTTTAGGGTAGAAGGTTAGATCTAACCCGATATCTACCCTCTTTTCTACCCTCATGAATTTACACCAAAAATATATTTTAGGGTAGAAGGTTAGATCTAACCCGATATCTACCCTCATTTCTACCCCAGTTATTTTATAAACGTTTCACATGATATACGTTATGAATTCGTGAAATTTTAAATATTTTTGTAGCTTCTATTTCTTCAGTTAATATATCAAAAGTTTTAACAATGCCGAAAGTTTCTTTATACTTCTTCTTAACATCAGATAAAAGGAAATCATCGGCTGTGGGATAGTTTTTATTCAGAAATTCTAACATGTTCATTTTATCTTCTGCTGGTTTCTCTGCCTCCCTCTTTAAATCTTCGTAATCGTTTCTCATTCTTTCTATCTCTTTTACTGAATAGTTATATTTCCTAATTGCTGCTTTACATTTAGAACATTGCGGATTCATTTTTGCGTTATATTCTGAAACCTTACCTGCTAAAACAACTAAGGCGTCAATGACTTTCTTTAAATCTGAAGCAGTTGGTTTTATCTGTTCATGCCATACTTTACCTCTTCTGTCTTTATCTCTAATCTCCCACACACATTTTGCAGCTAATGAAACAAAGTTATTGTATGTCTTAAACTCCCCCGATTTATATATGTCAGAGATGTTTTTATAAATCATGCCGCAGTCTTTATCCATAACTTTATGGTTACAATGAAAACCTAAGAATTCAGAATTTACCTTACGAATGAATTTCTTAATTTCTGCAGAATCACTAACTTTCACTTCTATTTCATCGAATTCAGGAACAGTCAGTTTCTGTTGCTGAACTTCAGGTAATTTAGGTAAATGGTCTATGATATCTTGCATTTCATAAAGATATTCTTCATTTTCTTCATCCTGTGCGGTACAGTCTAAATTACTTGTTAAAAGTTCCTGCTTAATTTTTTGTATTTCTGTTTCGAAAGTAAATGAAGAAGGAATGAAGTTTTTCATTTCTACTAACATAGATGTTGGATTCATGACTAACGAGTTTGGTGCTGTTGTTGCGGCCAGAGTCCTGCCGTTCGCGGCTTGAATTGTTGTTGTGCCGATTGTTGAAATCATATCTTTTATACCAAATAAAAAAATAAATAAAAATAAAACTAACTTTATTTTTTCTATCTTAAGGAAATTCATGAAAATTCAAGAGGGTAGAAATGAGGTTAGATATCGGGTTAGATCTAACCATCTACCCTAAAATATATTTTTGGTCATGGGCTATGCCTCTCCGCTTTGCGTCTTTATGTTAAAATAAATGGTACCATTAATGATATCATGACTGTTCTCGTTCATGTCTGATTTACATCTAATGAAAAAGTTTAGAAGAATTTTCATGAGGGTAGAAATCGGGTTAGATCTAACCATCTACCCTAAAATATATTTCTGCAGTTCATCCGCTACTTTATTAACTAATTAACTTCAGACATAAAATATATTTAGTTTAGAAGAATTTTCTTATTCTTTCTGGCATATTTTTGTCTTTCCAGTACTCCCGCTCTAATGGTCCCAGATGTGTTGGCTTTGACTCTCTCAAGTTCTTAGATGGTATAACATCTTCAACGCCTCCTTCATATCTTACTTTATAAGTGTCATTGTTTGTGTTATAGCCAAGTATTTCAATAACCACTCCTCGCTTTGCTTCGTCAATGGTTTCAGCAAGTTTGCCATTACTACTTTCAACTAATTTATGACGAGGATAAAACGCAATAGAGTCGTCGGCAGCTTTTATAAGATATCCATTACCTTGCGAAGAGTCTACGATATAATAATTTCGACTTAACCTTAAACGTTTCTTTGTCAACGGTTTGTCGTCAAGAACTACACGAACTTTTGTACCAGGAATGAGTGTAAATTGTGTTGAATTTCTGATATTTTGTGTTTGACTTCGTTTCTTTTGTATATACTTTTCTTCTTGTTGTTGTGTCATTGAATTTGGTGTATGTCCTGTTGTAGAATGCGTTGAGGAATTATATACTTCGAGAAAATGTTTCATTGTTTCTTCGGTAAAGTCTCGCTCTTGATTTAAATCTCTGAGAGTCCTTATGAAGCGGTTTATGATACCGAGTATGTTATGGTTATGGTCTTCAGTAGTGTAGTGAGTTATGTTATGTTTAATGAGAAAATCTGTGATTTCATTGCTGAGGTATGCACCGTCTTGGTCTGATGTTAAAGTACTTGGGTTATGTTCTGCTACAAACTTTTGTAAAACTCTTAACACTTCACGAGTTCCTTTATTTTTCATTGGATATGCATATGCTTTACGAGTGTTAACATTTATGAAGATGAGGAATGGTTTATGTCCTCCTTTTCTGCTTTGAATGAGAGTGTCAAATTGGTATGTGTCAGGAGTGTTGGAGTAAATTGGTAAAAAGTAGTCGTAAGGGTTTATTTTTGTTTGATGTACAACATTTTTGTCAAAGAACCTTTTCACTTCAGCTCTGTTAGTAAATCCCCAACTCTTTGCAGCTTCATTGAACTTCTTAAATGACCTCCACGGTGATGATTCGAATACTTCTTTTAAACTCATTTATGTAAAAATAAAGATTTTATTCAAGACGGTACCATGCATAAACTGTAATATACGGTGGCATATAGTCTGCTCCACTTCCTGTTGGATTTGTTGTGAAAGTGTGTGAATGATTTCCTCCTGGTTCAGTTGGTCGAAAAGTCTTTTTTGCTGAATTGTTATAAGATGGAGATAAAACGTCATTGCCAGCTTCATAGTCTGAGTTGTATAATGGGTGGTCTCTTAATGAGTGGCTATGGTCGCCAGAAAAGTTTGTCGTTCCTGTATGAGTGTGCGCAGGTAAGTTTGCTTCTTTAATTTTCTTTGAGCCTCCTGTTTGCTTTGAAGAGTTAGCACAGTATAAGAATTTGTCTACAATCTGCTGCCACGTACCAAAACCTAAAACACTTGCTGGATTTGTTGAGTTCATTGACGTATAAAAAGAGCCTATAGGATATAATGTTTGAAGTATTTCAGTCTTTAATGTTTGAAGCTCTGTTTTGTCAGCTTTCTTATCATATAAATCTTGAGCAGTGAATTTAACATTATTTTCATCATCCATGACATAAACATTTTTACAGCTAATGTCTTTCTTCGTTGTTATGTTTTCATTCGATGTTAAACCTTGTGGAAAGTTAGGAAGTTTATAATATAATGCATCCCCACCAGTTCCGCCAACCGTTCCTTCAATACTTTCTATAGCAACAGTTGAGAAGGAGTTATGTGTATGTTCTTTATCTGCTTTCTTATCTAACATTGCTGGTAGTTCATATGTTTCAAAGTTTCTGACATGTCCTTCAATGTTCATACATTTGTTATTTAAGGAGTTTAGTGTATCTTTTACGCTTGTACTTGGATTCTCTAAAGGTGCACTTGAACCAAGGGTATAGTTCAATATTATGTCGTCTGCTCTAACAGTAGTGAAGGATTCATGTGTATGGTTCTTGTCAGCTTTACTATTTAATGTAGCTTGAAGTTCATTTATATCGGAGATATTGTGTTTATGAGATTTCAAAACTTTGTTCGTTGCGTCAAGTTCATCTTTGTCAGCTTTACTTTTAATAGCATCTTCAACGGTTATTTTTGCCTTAACTCTCAAAGTAAATCTTGGTTCAACTAATACACCGTTAACAAAGAAATACGAAGCATATATTTCATTGTTATAACCAAATGCTTCTGGTGCTTTACCCGTGTCATACTGTACAGTACAGCGTATGTCATAACCTTTAGCACGAATGAATTTATATCTTCTTTCATTAACATCTTCCGTCTTCACTTTTTCATCCTGTGTTAAATATCCATGATAATCCGTTATAATCTGTTCATCTGAACTTATATAATGAACATGGTTTTTATCTGCCTTACTATCTAATTTCTCATTAACATCATTCACCTCTAATTCAACTCTTCCGCCAGAACTCTTATTATCATTAATCTTTTTCATTAATTCAGTAATTACGTCATAAAGACTATATTCTGTTTTCGGTTCTGTAAATAATGAGTCAAAATTTCTTTTCATCATTACATCACTTACATTAATGATATCAGCTATACCTTTTTCATTTATTCTCTTCATTAGTTCTGCAATAATGACGAATATATAATCTGTTAATTTATTCTCTTCATCAAGGGTTATAGAATGATTTGAAATCGAATCATTAACACCTCTAAATAAATCAATAACTTCAGGATACACGTTTTTAATGTCTCGAATAACCTGACCCGTATCCTCTGGTTTCTCCTCTTCTTCGCGGGCTTCGCCCTCACCGCTACGCGGCTTTATGTCTCTAGCCATCATCAACGCAGCCATAACCGGAGGGTTTGTTGCTACCTGTTCGAAAATCTGGCCGTTATGTATGGTATATCTAAATAATTTCTTTGTGTTTGTTAAAACATTTGAAACAAGTCTTTTAAAACCATCTACAAAATTTCCCGTTTCACCTAATGTTCTTGCAGCATCTACAAGCTCACCCATTCCCGCTTTTGACCCCAAAAACGTCCATATTGCATTTATTTCACTCTGTATAGTTGTCCATTCAGCGAAACTAACACCCGCATTCGCTAAGTCGAAAATGAAACCCAGTGGATCGAACTTAATTCCGCCTTCTTTTTCAATTTCAACGAACTCACTAACATGAGATTTTAAATATTCTTTCGTTAAAATCGTTTTTCCTGATGTCATGCTGTTAATGGAACTATCACCATCAAAAGTTAACGAATTAAATTTCGTCATTGATGCTTTTATTTCATACACCGCTTTATCGATAGTTTTTGGCTCACCTTCTTTAGAAGTGTATGAAACATTAATGAATGAATTATATGTATTCATGAATGAGTTAAAATCAATGATTTTCATTAATGAAGCCTTTAATGATTCATTAACTGTTGAATCCCTTAAAGCAATTACTGAACTGTCGTTAATGAAAGGTACACTGCAAACCGTCGTGTTTGGGTCAAATGCCGTAGTCGGTGAAGGAGTATTAATTATATAAGTCATTAAATCATTAAGTGACGTAAATAATATTGTTGTTTTTGATTTAATTTCTTTAGCATCTGTTATATACGGTAATTTTATTTCTGTAGTTTCTGAATTAAAGATATTCGCTAAAATGTTTTGTAAACTGTTTTGAACAGCTGTATAAACCGTTGAATTCGGAACTCTTACGATTTCACCGTCCTTAATAAAGGGCATTGTACATGGTGTAGTGCTTGGGTCAAATCTTTCGGGATTATAATTCAACATATATTCTAATGCTTCATAAACAGACCTATAAACCGTTGTGTCGTTCTTCATGACAACTTCACCATTTACAATGAATGGCATAGTACATGGAGTTAAAATAGGGTCAAACTTTTCATAGTCCTTCCATGTTATATATTTCTCAGTATTTCCATCAGAAATAACAATATATTTGTCAGTAAGTGTGAGAGAGTATTGACCAAAATATAAACGTTTAGCTCTGTCAGCTTCATACGCATATGCAGCAGTAGTCATATTTTAATAAGAATAAAATGTTGTTCTATTTACAAAGTACAGACCCGAACGAATACGGGACAGTAAAACTACAAACAAACTTAGGTCTTCAGAATGAAGCGCTTGCTTTCAGAGTTCTTGACTTCAATACTATCGCAACTTTTGTCATAACAGATGAAACAGATTTCATAGAGATTGAAATAGATGGAAAGAAGCACGAAATAAGATTTCACAATAATGTAGAATAGATGATGTGAGTGTTAAATGCTCTCATAAATACTACAATAAACAAGGATAACGAAGAAAACTTAATGAATGTTAAACTTATTGCAGGAGTTTTGAAGTTCAGTTATGCGAAGGAGTTTAAGATAACACGAATGAGTCATAGAGTACAATTGCTTCTGGGAGCATACCATATGACATTTCCTTTGAAAAGTGTTGACAAAACGATTGAGATGAAATCTGTTCCATACGTATGTTATGGCAATTGTTTGTACATTGAGTCAAAAATAGCTAATGTCACAGGTATTTCAGGAGTTAATAGTAAATGTTCAGTAGAATATAAGTCTTTCTGTTATGAAGTAAATTCAATGTTCATTCCAAACATTCCTGTCATAGCAACTCATTTAGGTAAATGGGTTCGCATTAGTCCTCATAATTTGAAAGACATGCAATTCAGACTTGTTGACTTTCAAGGAGAGCCTGTAGAACTGAAGGCACCAGTGCGAATGACTGTTGAAGTTGACTTTTTAGAAAATATTAAATGCGACGGCTTACAAGAGAACTCAGAGCTAAAAATATAAAGTATGAATGTTATGTATTAGGTCATGAACTTTGGTTGTTGCTGTTTGATGAAACAAATGAGTTAGTTGTCAGTCAAGAGAACAGAAAAATATTGTGTTAGTGAAAACTGCACCAAGTCAATAAGATTAGGTTTGCATTATGAAGATGAGTTCAATAGTGTTGAAGAAGTTTTGGATAGATATTACAAATTGCTAACTTGAAATTTTTTTGACTAACCTAAGTCAGTCATTGACTGACTGACTGACTGACTGCTTTAATTTACTAAAACATATTTCAAACAAAGCTTATAGTCAGTAGATAGTTTTGTATACTCGTTCGAATATCTATACTTAAACTCAACTCCTGTAGTTCCTGGTGTTTCAATGATGTGGATGTTACCTATTTTCATGAATAGTGGAGTTTGACCACAGCATTCGATTTCAGGGTCGAGATAGTCAATGACACATTGTTTCCCTGTTATTCGTGATATAACATTTTCTAAATCCTCCTTTGTTAAAATTATTTGGTTCTTGCTTATAAGATTTGTCAAAAGCTTCTTATCGTCTTTGAGTAAGATAGTTTGATACAACTGAAGAAGGTAATGGTCTACGTTATCTGAAGAATTTGTTTGAACATTTGTGTAAGGGTTGTCGTTGGCTTCTCTTGAAAGAATTTGGTCCAGTGGTGGATACTCTAGCTTAACATCTGATGTAGCGTTAGCGTTTGAAGCTGAGTTTAAATTCACCGACTTAAGTTCTGGTTCTTTTTCTTTCAAACACTCTGAACTATAGTTCTTTATGACAATATTGTTTGTCGTTCGTGAGTCAACATTTGATGTTGGTTCAATTGGAACATTAACGGCACCAGCTAAGATGGATTTGCTTCTCATTTCATATAGAATAAAAACCTTTTATATGTATGAAAAGAACAATATACTCGACAAGGGTTTGAACGTAAAGCTAACGAATGAAAATATTGTTGAATTCACTGAGACAGGTGCTGTGTATAAAGATGTAGAACTACTGAACAAAAGAGCTAAGGGAAGAAGCAGGAACATGAACAAAGGGTGGAAGCCTATAAAAATTTATGTCAATGATGGCTCAGGAGGTTCAAACATAAAGTATGCAGAAAGTTATAGAGTTTATGCTCTCAAGGGAGAGAAGCCTTCATTTAAGAACAGCGATTCTAACACATATCCTCAAAAGCTAACGGATGGAGAAGTGGATGATATGAATAACAGCAAAAATATTAACAGAAATGGCGACAGAGATGCATGGAATTTGTTTACCATCAGTCAATTGAAGGTTAAGCTTTAAAACAATGTTGGTCGTTCCCATGGAATATTTTTGACTTTAATGGTATTAGTCATGATATGAATCTCAAGGTATGAACGAGGAGAGATGAGAGACTTATATGCTTCCCAAATTTCTTCAAAAGGTAATGTTATACCTGACTGTTTCCAAATGAGTTCAATATCATAACGTGAGAAACCTTGAAAGATAACGAAGTCAGTTATGAGACGTTTTATGTTTAAAGCTAAAAACCTCCATGTTTGCATAAGTATTGCTACAGTTAAGTGGTAATGTCTGACTTTAGTTATGATGTTAGCTAATGGTGAGTCAGGCTTTGACACTAAACCTTTTCCGGCGAAGTCGTCACAAACGAGCAGAGTGTTTGAAGGATACTTTTTGAAGGGTATTTTGAAAGTTTTGACAGAATGTAGTTTGTAAGTCGTTTCATATCGTAAACTCCTGAGTATTGACGTAAGTGGTGTTTGTCAATAATTCTTTCCATCTCCTCAGAAGTCTTTTGCATTCCTGACTGTATAAATTCAACGATGGCATAATATTTCCTCTTACGTCGAATGTAACGTTGAAGAAATTCAATGAGTTCACTGTCTGGAACTTTAACGACAGAGGCTTGAACTTTTGACATAAATGTTTTCGCTGTTGAGTCCATAGAGTCTGAAGTTGCTGATATAATGATTTGGTCATAATATGAGTCGTTTCCTAATGGTTCTGTTATGAGTATATGACGAATGAGGTTAAATGTCTTTCCTGACCCCATCTTTCCACAATAGAAATAAACGCCATTTGAACAGAACTCATAGTCCTTACTGAAAGGAAGAATGAGAGAACTGTTGAGCTTTTCACTGCTTTCATTCATGTCTTCATCTACATCGTGAAGTAAACGCTTCATTTTATCTCCATTAAAAATGCAAGTCAGAAATATTCAGAACATAGCACCAAGCCTGACTGACAAGAGTATTAAGATATACTATGAACACGTTATGATGAAACCAACCAAAATTCAAGAAAGTCAGTATACTTATGAATATCCAAGACACTGGATAGAGTATTTAGGAGGTGAGAAAGCTATTGAAATAAGACAAGTTAGAAGTATTCCAGCAGGAAGAACAATATTATTGAAGAACTTTAATGTTTTGAGGTATAATGATGAAACAAAGAAGCAAGATAGTTTTCCTGTTGCTGTGTATGTGAACCTAGACACAGGAGATGACATGAAAGTTTTTAATACAAAGCTTCAAACGGTAGTGAGAGAACAACTTACTGCGGAAGGACATCCATTACCTTCAGAAGTTACCATAGTATATAATTTTGAAACAAACTCAATAGATTTTAAAGTCGTCTCTGCAAAGAAGTCAGGTTTTACATTTAATGAAGCAGATGTATATTCGAATGAAAACTTCAAAGCTATTGCATGGTTAGATAATGACGATTGCTTTAAGAAAATCTTTAAATTCAGTGACTCAAAGATGTCAATAGATGACCTTCGTGGAATGTTACCATCGACGTTTACAGTTGAAGGTTCAGCAGGATTGCTTACAAGTTTTTCAATTGGTGGCATTTGGTCTCGTGAAAACATTGTTATAAAATCCAGTATAAGTGAATTTGCTGAAGAATCTATATTATGTCTTTCAAACTATATGTATTCGCCGCCGAAGCATTATAGTATAACAAACTTTGTCAGTAAGTTTAACATAAGACTTGTCGAACCTTCTTCAATGAAAGATGTTGTGCTACCTAAAGATGGAAAGGATGGACTCATTATTGAAATGATTTTAATTGCATATTAAATGAGCTTGTTCTTGAAGGTCATTCATGATGAAATAACTGTTGTAGAAGATGTTAGCAATTGTTCAGACATTTTGAAGCGTATAGATGAGATAAGAAATAAGTTAGATAGACCGCAAAGCGGTGAGGGCGAAGCCCGTGAGAATGTTTATGTTTCATTGACTTTCTCCAGTAACGAGAACTTTTATGAGATAATATTGAAGAGAGATGATTTTAATATGGTGTAAATGGTAGCTTGGGCAGCTTTAGGCGCAATGGGAACAAAAGCATTAGCATTTGGAGCAAAAGCACTTGGAGCTTATGACGCAGTAAATAAAATGAGTGGAGGAAGGGTTTCGAAGACATTAGATGCAAATAAAGGAAAGATTGGAGGCTGAGTTGTAAAGAAGTTAAGATTAAATAAAATAGGGCTCATAAATAAAGCATCCAATTTGGTTGCGACTGAGTCAGAAAATGCTTTAGGAAAGGACGATGGGTTTGCAAAACACGCAAAAGACTTTAATGACCAGATGAAAGGTGAAACAATGCATTTAAATAGAGTCGATGGAACTAAAGAAAATGTTTCTTCTCCACCAGTAGTTCTTCCGTATGGTCCCTATGGAATGTATGGAAACCCTTACGAAAGACAATTTGACCCATTGACTGGTGGAAGTAACTGGTATCATTACGGCCGAAGAAGAAAGACAGTCAAGTTGGAGACAGACGTAAAGAAAGCAACTAAAAAGAAACCAAGGAAGAGAGTTATAAAGCAATGAATTCAACAGGGTAGAAATGAGGTTAGAAATCGGGTTAGATCTAACCTTCTACCCTAAATTTATTTTTGTGCTATGTTTTCATACGTGTGAGGGTGGTGATATCATTAATTTTTATATAAATGTGGGAACAAAAATAAAGCATTTCTACTCAGCAGGAATGAGACCCTTACTGACTATGTATTCGTTTAATGCTTGATGAAAACAATGGTACATATTATCGTATGGGTATACACAACGTCTGTTTCCATCGTCGTCGTATATGTAGAGCTCAAATCCAGTCCAACCTTCTTTTGTACAATATGTAGCTTTATTTAAGTATGCATTTATGTAGATAAGGCAATTTTCTTCATCGCTCCAGAAATAATTTTTGTTCTTTGTTGAAATAGTTTTCGTTCCTCTGCGACCATAAGGAATGTATGCAATGAACTTTGCGTCATAAGGGATTGTAATATATTCAGGGTTTCTTTCATCGTCAATGGGTCTGTCTTTGTTAAAATGCATGTTTCTCAGTTTTACTTGAGTTTTGAATAGTTCACGGAAACGTTCTGGGAAAGAGTCATAGTAAATGTAGTCGGACATGTCTTTGTAATGAAATAAAAAATTAAAAAAAAATAAAAATAAGGTTATTTTTATTTAGTGAGGACGGTAGTGAATTTGTTAGTGAAGTCGTTAGTGAAGTCATTAGTGAAGTCATTAGTGAAGTCGTTTATGTGTCAGACGGTTTTGTAATATTTAAGGTTAAGTTGTTGTTATGGCTGTGTTGTAAAATATACGTTACTGGTTTCGTAAAGTGTCAAACCGTTATCTTGGGTAAGGTGGAACGCAGTGCCACAGTACCCAAGATAGTCTTACTAACTCTCATTTATCGAATGGTTCAATGAAGAAAATCCATAACATTCTCTTAAGATTTTTTTTAATTTATCTCAATTAAAAATTTTATTATTACCTAAATTAATTTTGTAAACTATTTTTGAATAGTTTACGATTTATCCTAATGGGACCCATATGCGGGTTCAATTTCTGGTTTATCATCTAGATATATTATGAAAGCCACTCAAAGGATGATTGATTTTAGGATGTTCTTAGAAGATTTTTCGTTCATTTATATTAATTTTGTATTCCCGATTTACATTCACTAGCAAATCAATGCATTTCACACTTTAAATGACAATTAAATTCTAAGACATTGCTAGAACTGCAATTTCCATAAAAAGTTTTAGTGTAAATTGCTTAAATAAATAATTATTTTCATTATTTTTCTCCAACAAGCTTGAAAATCAAACGAAAACTTTACAAAATACTTATTTACTCATTTGTAAATATAAATTTCTAACAATTTTTATCCTGATTTTAACATAATACTGTATTTCTAAAATTTGCACTAGTTCATTCCTAATTGATGCTCGGATTTCGGTATTCCATATGTGGTATTACATATTCCAATAAAAGGCACTTAATGTGCATTTTCTAATTCAATTAGATTTGCACATTAAGTGCCTTATTATTATAATAACTTTAATATGGAATAAGTCGAGTTTATTCCAATATACGAGCTTATGCTCATATGTCGGGTTAAAATCTGGCGTTTGGCAATGTCGCAAAACGCCGATATGCTAATTCCTAAAAAATTTTTTATGAAAAAATTCTTTATTCGCAAAAGGTATAGTATTTGCTCATGTACGAACATATGCGAGAAATTCCCATTATATTTCAGATCACTCAATTAAAAAAAGCCGTCTTTCTTTCAAAATTTCTGAATTATTATCCTTTCAATTTTAATGAATAAAATCATATTTATTCTTCTTTAAAACACTTCATTTCTTTAATTGTAGTGTTGCTTACTGCAACACTTAAACCAATTGTGGATTCCATTGAATGGCCTTCAATGGAATTCACAATTAGTTTAAAATTAGTTGATGCATATCCTATGTATGGTCCTAATATGGTCTGGCCAACCATATTCTAGTTGGAAATACATAGGATAGTATCACTAATCAATACAATACATAACAAAGTTAAATGCGAAAACAAAATCAAATTACAAAATCGTTCAAAACGAAGAATGAATACAAAAACACCTATGCACTGAGACTGGCCACCTCAGTGCATTTCGAATAAACATACAAGTATATACAATTTAAAAAAAATATTTTATAATTTTTACAAAGACAAGAGCAACTATGTTTTCCAACTAGCTCCCATCATGATCTTTAGCCTAGCGTCCATTAATTCCTTACTCATGTTTAAATTTGAACAAGTTAAGATGAGACGCTGGGCTGAGATTGTTCTTTCACAGCTTGCCTCCGCACAAGTGCAGCAAGTTATGCGGAGGCATATATTTGCGAACAATCCCCAATTTTCATCATTGATTTTAAAATTAAAATCAAAAATGTCCAAGCCACTTACAGTTCTTGATGTTTTAAAGATATGATTGTTATTGGCAATCATATCTTTAAATAGTTTAACTATATCATCAATCACATCATCACTACGTCCTCTTTTTTTGAGTTCGCTTGTGAACCAGCTAATTGCAGCATCAACCATCGGAGAATCACAGAGCTCTTCACCCTCAGTATCATCATTACTCTCATGAACTTCTTCCTGCTCATGAAGATCTTCATTGAATCTATTAAGATCCTGGGCTGGCCAATTGTGCTTCAACGAGGGTGCTGGTGGTTCGGTGTTTCCTTCTGCTTCAGCGGCGGCGTCTCCCATGAAGATTTCCCTGACATCTTCTATCGGGTCTTCCTCTTTCTGCCGGTAGTGGAACATCTTCACGTAGCCGCTTGTTGGGGGAGGGAATTCTCTGCTATTGATACTGTTCCTAGCAAACATGAGGCCTTTGGGTGTAATGATGTATGCAAATGCCCAAAGGCCTCCCATTTGCGAATGAATGGTCTTCTCAAGCAAGATGTCCCTAAAGATTCTGGCGAATCTGTTGTTTTCGGCATCAAGCTCTTCCGGGGCCTTCATTGCATTATAGATGCAAGGATAGACCCTGGAAAGTGGAGACTTCGGGTCTTCGAAGATCAGGACCAAGCTGGCGAAGATGACGGAACACTTATAAAGATCTTCTGTTCCGTCAGGAATGGAATGGAATAATGTCACCTTCGTCCGCTTGGTCCAGATAAAATGGAGAGGATAGATGAAGGATACCCATCTTGTTTCGACATTGGATGGGCATCTTGATCCAAAAACCTCGACATGCTGGCGGCATATTTCGGCAACTTCCAGCAATTGATCCTTCAATGGTGAAATTGCTGGATGGTTCATTGCCGCCTTATAAGCATTGTGTACCCTGTGGCAAATACAGGGTACAACAATGATTTCCTTCATCCATTGCACCTTGGATAAGGCAAGGATGGAATTATCCTTACCAGTAAGTGCACCCAATTGTGCTGTTCCTCCATCAACTATGACACAGCCGATCTGCACGTGACAATCATGGATTGCCTTCAATCCATTATTGATCGCGAGTGTGTAGTTGGCAGTCTTCAATCCAGTCATTCTTTCTGTATGGGCTGGATAAGACTGAATTGGAAAGCAAGGATTTTCCAACACAAAGTCGAGTAAAGATCTCTTCTGTGTGGTAACTTCGTCTAGAGCGACACTAGCGTAAGGCATGCTGAACGTAGAGAAGCGCGCCATAATACTTGAATGAATCTCTTTGGATGTCTGTATGAGTATATCTTTGAGCTTATCGCGCTTGTAATGAGGGATTTTTTTCCATTCCAACTTGTATTGCAGTTTTTCCATTCTCCTTTGATGTTGTATAGCCTAAACAAAAGCTATACACAATTAAGTTGTATATTTCGTCACTTTCCCCTGTGCTGAGAGAGATATTATGCTTTGCTAATAGGATAGCTAATCTGCGAAAAATTCCATCAGCATCAAATTCAACAGAACCTTCCATTTGTGATTCTGTAGATAATATAAAATTTCGAATATCTTTTTGTTTTGCACTATCAGGGAAACATTTATGAAGCTTCCCATTGCTGATTTCTTTTTTTAGGTGATCATCTCTTTTTTTAAAGGCGCATCTGAATGAATCTCCATCTTGGGTGGGAACCTGAGCAGTACAACCCATAATCCAATGTTTGGATTTTGCATTATACTCTAATTTTTCATAAGTCCTTTCATCACCAGGATATTTTTCATATCTGGAATTTGTCATTGCTTATATAAAAATGATTAAATTTGTGTCTTTTTTAATTTTTTACACAATATACTTAAAATACTATTTTCAACATTTTTTTAAAATAAAAATTTTAAAATAATCTCTAAGAAAAAATTCTATTTGTGTTATTGTTACATTCATAACATCATCTAGAGTGATATAAACTAAGTATCAATATTTTGAAATTGAACACGCCAAAAATTTGATAATCCACATTCAATATTTTGTAAGTGGCGTACTTTTTGAATACTCGCCATACGCCTTGGAGTTCTCAATTTTGAATTCGCCTTTATTTGGGCGACCTCAGAAAAATACGCCATTAAGAAAATATTGTATGAGATTTTAAATTTGAACACGCTCTACCTTAAGGAATTAAATTTATTAAGATATATTTACATATAATAAACGAGTGCTTAAAAATGTATTTAATCGCTTATGTAAGTTCCAAAAAAATCACGAAAATAAAAAAATCAAGATTAAAATTTTATTTTTAATTTTTGAATTTCTCAAATGGCGAAATTTTTGGGCGAACAAAAAAATGTACGCCCGGTCAAATGGCGTAATTAGCGCATCCCTATGTAGAATTTTTAAATCTTCAAGCTTTCTTAATGAATCTTGATATTACAAAAAACTTTAAGAAAGGTTTTATTTATTCGCCTCCTTTTTCGCTTTTTTCTCTTGTGGAGTTTTTAATGTCAATTTGTGATGACATCAATACTTCAAGTGATGATGGATCGAGAGCCATTCATTTAGCCTCTGCATTTCATTGTAAAGAAATTGTAGAACTACTTATTTCAAATGGTGCAGATATTAATGTTGCTGATATCTATGGTTCTACTCCTCTTATTTGTGCTTCTTCTAATGATAAAGAAATAGTAGAGCTTCTTCTATTACATGGTGCTGATATTAATGCAGAAGACAAAGCTGGATTTAATGCTCTGCGATGTGCAGCTAAGCATAACTGTAAAGAAATAGTAGAACTCCTTCTTTCAAATGGTGCCAATATTACCGAAAAATATGAATCTGTTCGTTCTTCTCTTCATTATGCGATTATGAATAACTCTAAAGAAATTGCTGAACTTCTTATTTTACATGGTGCAAATGTTAATGAAAAAGAAATAAATGGATTCGTTCCTCTTCATTATGCAGCAAAAGGCAATTGTAAAGAAATTGCAGAACTTCTTATATTGCATGGTGCAAATATCAATGAAAAAGTAGAAAAGTGATTGACTCCTCTTCATTTTGCAGCTCAGAACAATAGTAAAGAAACTGCAGAACTACTTATTTTACATGGTGCAAATGTTAATGAAAAAGTAAAAAAGAGTTTGACTCCCCTTCATTTTGCAGCTCAGAACAATAGTAAAGAAACTGCAGAACTTCTTATATCACATGGTGCTGATATCAATTCAAAGGATGAAGAAAAGATGACCGCTCTTCATGTAGCAGCAGATAATAATTTTAAAGAAATAGCTGAACTTCTTATTAGGCATGGAGCAGATGTCAATGCGAGAAATATACAAGGTAATACTGCTCTTCATTATGCTGCGTTTCATAATGAAAAAGAACTTGCAGAACTATTAATATTAAATGGTTCTGATATTAAATTAAAAAATTTCAAAGGTATGAATCCATTTTACATGGCAATAGGCAGAAATTCTTTTGAAACTGCGGAACTTCTTATTTCATATGGAGCAAATGTAAATGAAAAAGATAATAAAGGCAACACCGCTATTCATATTGCAGCTAATTCACAAAATAACAAAGAATTGCTGGAACTACTTATTTCAAATTCTGCCGATGTTAATTCAAAAGGCACTGTTGTAAACAGAAATTCATCAAAAGTGACACCTCAGAAAAGCTAAAATATTGAATTTTTGGAACTTTTGATAGAGCACGTTTTTAAATATTAATTAAAGTAAATGAATATTTTGTAAAGATTCTTTTTAATAAAAAAATAAAATTTTGAAGAAGAACACAAAATCTTCTGAAAAATAATATCACATAAACTCATATTATTTTCTAATATATAACTATTTTATATAAAAATCAAATTCAATGATCTTCAAAGCGAAGGATAAACCTCAAAATTTACGAATATAATGAGTGGGAATATAATGCTTATCTATCATAAAACCATATGAAATATCAATTTTTGCTTTACGCCTAATTTTTGACGACAATTAGCAAAAAATGTTAAATGTTAACACTCAGTCCATTTGAATATGAAAAATAAAATTGACTTTGATTAAATGTTTTTATTTATCATGCAATTCTTCTTGCGACCAAAGATTTGAATAAAAGTTCAAAAAATAAGATAGCTTAAAAAATAATATACGGTAGTGTTTACTAATAGATGAATAGTATATAAATTCTATTAAAATGGATTTGATCCAAAAAAATATAAAACCAAAAATAATTGTTATAATTTAAATGAAGAAGTAATTTAAAACGATTTTATTTATGATCAAATTTTATATATTAGAAAATAATATGAGTTTATGTGATATTATTTTTCAGAAGATTTCATTCTATATGCCTATGAAAAGTACTCTCAAAACTAACTTTTTCCTAATTATAATTAAATCTAGAATATTGTATTATGCTTAGTATTATTTCATTTTTCTCATTCAATTTAGAATTTACAAATGTCAAAAAATTGAGAGCTGTCACTTTTGATGAATTTCTGTTTATTACAGCACTAATGGAATGACTGCTCTTCATTTTGCTTGTTTACAAAATTTTAATCAGTTAATCGATATTTTGATTTCAAATGGTGCAAATGTTAATGATAAAAATAATTCAGGACAAACGCCATTTCATTTAGCGGCAATTAAAAATTGTCATGAAATTGTCGAAACTTTACTATCAAGTGGTGCCAATATAAATGAAAAAGATAAAAATGGCTCAATTGCTATTCATTATGCATCTGCAAAAAACAATATAGAAGCTTTGGAAATTCTACTTTTACATGGCGCAAACATTAACGAAAAAGATAATCATGGATCACCTGCTCTTCATTATGCATCTATGTATAACAGTAAAGAGGCTTTAGAAATCTTAATTTCTCATGGTGCAGAAATTGATGCTAAAGACAATGATGGAAAGACTGCTCTTCAATATGCTGCAGAGAATAATAGTATAGAATCATTAAAAATCTTAATTTTACATGGTGCAAACATTAATTCTAAAGATATTACTGGATCACCTGCTCTTCATTATGCATCCTTTAAAAACAATATAGAGTCTTTAGAAATCTTAATTTCTCATGGCGCAGAAATTGATGCTAAAGACAATGATGGAAAAACTGCTCTTCAATATGCAGCAGAGAATAATAGTAAGGAAGCATTAGAAATTCTACTTTTGCATGGTGCTGTATGCGGCAAAAAATAGCAAAAAATACAGGAAATTCTTATTTCGCATGGCGCAAATAGTGTTGCTAAATGTTACAATTATGAATATTTTCATTTAGCAGGACTGATATTCCATGACCTTACTTTAATTTTCAATTCAGTTTTAAACAATTTTCTTTATTAATTTTACTTCCCCCACATCATTATCGAGAAAAAATTCGACCTTTTTCCCTAGATAAGTCTGCATTTTAGATGTATCCCAAAATTTACTATCATCTGAATGTAATACTCCAAATGTTATTTTTTTCCACCCGTTCAACGAACGAATCAAAAAAATGATTGATAACTATGTCACCGTCCAGAAGCACTTTAGAAGTATTTGGTGTGCTGATCATCATTTGACAATGTTTTTGAAAGGGGGCCTCGTAATCACATAGATCTGAGGCCTTAAAGTTGGGAAAATTGAGAGGAGTTAGGTAGTCGGTCGGAACCCTTAATTAATTTTTTTTTCAACTTTATCAACGAGAAAAAAAATTTCGACTTTTTTTTCCGATTTTTTATTTATGACTAGTTTACTAGATGACCTTGAAGAATTATGCAGGAAGATCAGCAAGCTGGTTTATAACAGAGAAGATACATCTTCTGAAGAAATAAGTTTGCAGTTACTTCTCAGCGCGATTATTTTTGATGAAAATACGAAATTCAAAGTTGAAGAATTTCCTGAGAATCTAATAAACATGATATCTTCTATTATTAAATCCAAAAATTCGGGCGAAAGAATAAGAAGATGCTTAATTCTCATTTTATACAAAGTTTATATAGAAACACCAGATAATGACGTAGCAAAACAAATCTTTAGCATTCTGATAGATTCATTCAAGATCTCATACGAGAGAGATGCTATTAGAATGTCATTAATTTCGATTTCGAAAAAATACAAAGACAACGATCTCTATTTTTCACGTTTTCTAGAGATGGTTTACCATATTACAAATATTTCGGATCGAAATTTCAAAAAAATTTATCCAGCAACTAATAATGAGTTAGTTTTAGTTCATATTGATTTTGAAGGTGGATTTAAGACCATAAACATCAACCCCAATTGGGGAAATAAAGCACTCACTGAATTTATTGCCAGTATCTATGGAGTTGAAGCAAAAAATCTTGAAATAAATTTAAACTCTCCAGATGGCAAAATAACAGATAAGCAAGTAATCACAGTTAGATTCAAGTCGAACAATGCAGAAAAAATGCGAAAAATACCAATTATTTGCCAATATCGAGGAATAAAAAAAATTATCTCAGCAACATCAAGTACATCGATCAAAACGTTGATCAACATCATCAACTACTCATTTCCTTCACCGATTACTACTCCTTGCACTTACAGAGTCATTGGAAATAATCCATTCGAAATTACAACGAAGAAAACAGTTTGCGATCTTTCATTACAAAAGGGTGATATCATACAAGTTGTTGATATCCTAGAAATCCAAAACAATGATGAAATTTACCATTCATTTTTCAAATTACTTTTTGAAGCGAAAGAAAAGGAAGCAACCTTCAAAAAATCAGCTGCTATTGCCAGCAAACTCCTGTCATGCTTACAACCAGGTAAAATAATGAATGATGAGTTCAAAGATGTTCAATATTTAATTTCAACGTTTCCTTCAAGGAATTGTACGGAGCAAAGGTATTATTTGGCCATTATGGTTAATGTTATGAACCAAGATCCTGACTTTTGCATTGAATTTTGTGAAAAACATGGAATTGAAATGTTAATTAACGTTTTCTTAAGCAAAAAGCTGCATTGCAAGGAGCTATTAGACATTGTCAACATGTTTTACGAGAAACCATACAATATAAGAGAATTTCTTTTCGAAATTTTCAAAATGAAAAATTTTGATTTTGCAAAAATGATGATTTCAAGGTTTGGCGATGAATGTGTATGTCTACCAGATGAGAAAAGCCTCATGATGCTCATTAAATCCTATTCTCCCGATGAAAAAACTCAATTTTTGAATTCATTTAGCGAATTTTCTTTACAAATGGATTATTTCGGATCTGTTATGAAATCTAACGGTCAAAATCCTGCGGTTTCTCCATTTTCTAAGGAAATCGCGTTTAATGAATTTAATAGACTCAAAATCACCGAAGATTTCGAGAAATACTTAGCCAATGTAACCAAGAACAATAGTTTTAGGCAGTTCCTTGATTTGATCCAAAATCCGGGCGCAAAAGATAAAATTATTAAAAATTTGGACATTTTGATACTCCCAATGTATCTCATGAACAATCCAGATGCTGTAAAGGCTTCTAATGACGTATTGATTCAATTATTGCGAGAAACAACAATTTTCCCCGTTATTTTCCAGAAAATTCAAACATTTATTTCTAGAAGCACAAGATCACCGAATTGCAAGCTCAGAAATGACAAATGTACAAGCCAAAGTGATTATTTCTTGATTCCTTTGCTCAAAATTTTGGGAGATTTTAATAAAAAGAATTTCATTTCAGACAAAGGCCAATGTGCTTCATTAATTGATTGTCTAGCCTTATACCTTAGTAAACACAAGGAATTCGATGAAAACGCCCTTGAAATTGCAAAAATAATTATTGAATTTCCAATTAAATGCGTTTTCCCAGAGAATTTCGTCGAAGAAGAGGATGACGATGACTCCTACTCATACTTTTCTAACTCTTCTGACGATGATGACGAAAAAGATCCGAAATACAACTCTTTTGACTTGGCAATGCTTCCTTACCTCACTCCTTTGGATAATTATGCCAAGTTGGTCAATATTATCCGTCAAAAAGCGAAAAGTGACAAAGAATATTCAGTTTATTTCAATTTGATATCGATTAGATGCATAATCCTTCAAATGCTTCATCGTAATCCTAATGATGAATGTATTAATACTGTTTCAAGCATTTCTGTCCAAGATTTCAACAAAATTTTGACAATTTTCAAGAAAAAGTACGGAACTAAAGGAGATAGAGAGGAAGTTCTCACAGAATGCTCTTACTTTATTAGCCAGTGCGAGAATAAAGAGCATATTCCTTTAATTGCCATAAAATTATTATTAATTTATGAGAAAGGCGATGAAATGGACCAAAAATACGTTGATCTATTGAGAAATGTCTTTATATGCTGTTCCGGTAAGGCTCTGGACTTCAGAATTGACATGTTACCAACATTTTTCCAAAATGTCTCCAAAACAAAGGATTTGGAAGACCTCATGGTCAAGATCCTTCCATATATGAAGCCGTGGGATGGTTTTCAGACCGCATATCTAAGGAAAAATGGAGAAAAAGTGCTAAATCATATTCATCAAATAATTATGAGCCAAGACGAGGTATACAAGAGGTACTACGCTCATTACGGAATCTCTTTAGATAAAATCGCTAAGAATTCCAGAAATAAGGAACAAATTAAACCGAAAATTCGGGAAATTAAGGATATCATATCTAATTCAAGTACAAGTTCATTATTAAGGTTTTTCAAAGATGTCTTTGAGACCTTAAATATTTAATAAATTCATAATTAATTTTAATTTTATTAAAAATAACAATTTTTTTCTAAATTAATATTTGTATCATCATATGGTTTGGAAGTAATATTCAATATTAATATTGATGTTTCGAAAATGCAATTTTAAAAATGAAATTTAATAGAAATCTTTGAAAAAAACTGAATTTGAACCAATCTCATATGATATTTATGATATAATGAGAAATGAATCGATGAAACAGTAATATGACCCATTAATTTCAAGAATTTTTGATGCCTCTATTCAAATTTTTTTGAGAGAGAAATGGGTAAATGACCAATTTTAGAAAACGTGAATTTATATATTTTCTCATTAAAAACAATAGTTTTTTTTCCGCCGTTGAGATAAAAAAATGTTCGCTTCCTCTCTTTAAGAAATATCCGACAACAAATTTGTTTTAATGAAATTATTGAATTGCGTTATTTCTGAAGCATTACTTCAAAACTGTGATGCAATGCGCACACTCAATTTAAAAACACTAAATTCTGTAGAAAATTTATATGTGAGTAATTTTTGCGTTCCGATGTTTTTGAATAAGTATTGAAAAACATTCAAAGAGCGAAACATTTTATATGATCGCCGAATATGATATATTCGGATATGAGATTTAAAGTAATTTTCTTCATGGTTTGAGCTGTGATTTTTTTGTCTCAATTATCTCAAACCTCCATATTTGAATCATTCTCAATTTCTAACAAATTTTCAGTGTTCACAAATTCTTTCAGATAATATTATTCCATAAATGTCATTGATTGATATTTTGCTGAAAATTTATGTCGATGTAAATAAAACATTTTATTTAGTGATTTTCGGAGATGAGTTCGAACATATTCTTATTTCGAATCATTAAATCTTATATTTATTGAAACTCTAATTTCACAAATTTCAAAACGATATGTGATGCTATTATTAGTAAATTATTTTATGCTATTCCAAATACTAAACCACCGATTTATTCCTTCACAAATCAACGGCGTGGAAAAAAAGTGAAAATCGATGATTTTGCTCTCCATAATGAACTTGTATTGGTTCAATCCAAATCAAATTGAAGATATGAATTTTGAATACATTCAATTATAATTTTGAATACTTGCAGTTATATTCAATTTATCATCTCATTTTTCTTCAATGTTTTACATTTTCACGCTCCATTCCAAATCGGATGAATTTTCGGATTGCATTGATTACATTAAATCAAAAGATATCCTCGAACCATTTAATTTGCATCATAGTTACAAAATAAAGCAAAACGAACAAATGTGTTTTACTGGTAACTTTATCTTTAGTTCTGATAAGAAATTTAAAGCAAAGACAAAGCTATTTTTAGACTCGGGCTATAATGGTGAAGAAAAGAAAATTGATTGGATCGAAAATCCAGTCGCAGTTGCTGGTGGTTGCTATCTAAAGGACGGTATTTCAATCTGTCGCAATGCATCTACTGTGGTCATGTGTTTGGAAGATGTATGTGACTTTACTGTTTATAAGATTGAATATCGTCCTAATAATGTCAGTTTCAAAGGAACACTTAATGGTGTTTCAGGATATGATACTAGAACAATTGATATGGTTACAATTGCAACAAAGGAAACAGGCACAATGCAACTTTATCGCTACAACGATTTGAAACTATTCAAAAATGGACATTTTGAAGGAACAGCGTTTCGCCATTACGGAATAATTGTACAGAATGGAAAACCAAAGATTGAAGCCAAAAACACCTCAAAAGCAACATCTTATCGACTTACAGAAGATGGCAACTCTTACTACTTTACCATAAACTCGAGGAAAAATGATATCTATCTTCAAGTCGATTACATGAAGGGCGAAGATACAGCTGAGACTAAGAAGTTGCATTTCCAAGAATGTCAAATCACTCTTAATCCAGAAGGTGATTTATACACAAAAGACTCCTCTAGTTTTCAATTCACTACTTTCAAGGAACCTCTTGACACTGCTATAATCGTTTTAATTGTTATTCTTATTCTTGCTATTCTTGGTACTGTTGGTGGTATTCTTTGCTGTGTTTGCCTTCCATGTTGCTGCTGCTATGCTTGCTGCATCAAGTGCATGCCATGCTGTGCTAGATCGGAAAATAAGGAATCAGCAGCTGCTGAAGTTTAAACTAGTGAATAAATATATAATTTTTCTGAATAAATTTTTAGCAAACTTTTAGAGTACTCATATCATTTTTCTTATCTAATGATTTGTTATCTATGTTTAGACAAAATATGCATAATTTATTTCATTCTACTTCCTCTGGATTTCTTTTTTGAATTGTTAATGAATTGATTATTTATGATAACAAATATGCATCAAGGTATGCTTTTCTTCATCCTCTGCAAACGCACCATAGAATGCAACCATTAGTTTATTAAGAAAACTATCATTTCTGTTATAAAGGTTAAGTGTGCCCTTACGCCCCCATGACACGGCCTTCAATTCAGATGTTTAAGGTTAATTATCAATGGAGCTTCATTCCAGTTGTCAGAAATTTGAATTAAAGTCAGATGGGAGTAAGTGCACTCTTAAAAATGTTTAAAATTGACTAAAAAGTGATCCGTTAAGGTTAATTTTCAACTTAATTGGCTAAATTTCATCAGACTATTTCAATATAATCTCCATTTTTAAATAAATTTTAAAAATCGAACATTGACATTGAAGTAATGTCAATTTCATATTAGTGATTCCTTAATTTGTTCATTAGTAGTTGGAGATTATACATTACTGATTACTTGTCTTTGGTTCATGTTTAAAATATAAATAATATAAACTTTTACAAACAAATTTAAAAAAAAATAAGTAAATAAAGTAAATTAATCTTCAATTGGATCAACAGCCAATCCAATTTCTGTGCATACAAGGTTTTCTCTTGAAAACAGCATATCTCTCACAGCTTTAATTTCATTCTCTGATACGTTTTGCATCAATTGAATGTATGGTCTTTGTTCAACTAATTTCAAATCAAGAACTTGTAAGTATCTTCTGTAACAAGAAATTGCATCACCAATGTCACAACGAACCAAAGCATTTCTAAATGCTGTTCTTGGCTTCTCACCAATTGCTCTGTTTTCTGGAGGCAATTTCTTATTTATGTCTCTCAAGAAATGAGTGAATCTGCTTCTCATGTATTTGATTAGCATCAGCAATGGTTGTGGTAGATTTGTAAGCTGTGATTCTAAGTTTTCGTTGTAGAAAAGCTTCAAAATGTTGCTGGATATTTCAGGCCAATCAGAACAAAATTGAATGAAACCTATTTTTGTTTGTTCTTGTTCATTGAAGACATCATCGCCTCCTCCGCCTTCTCCAAGAGAGAAATAACTTGATGAGTTCCTTCCCAGTCCAATCATCGAGTTATTTACTGTTCCTTGTGCTTCTCTTTCCAGTTGTTCCAAGGAATATCTCTTCCACAAGTTTTCGAGTTCTTCATCAGTTATATTCGGCTGAATAATAGTGAAGAACTGACTGAAAACAGCTTGTGTCATCGTGTTTATTCCTGTCCAGCCAACTAAAGAAAGAAGAGCTGATACTTGGCGATGAAATCTCGTGTGTGTCTCCCTGAAAAACATAATCATCTGCTGTGCGAATGCCCAGAAGTCAACAAGATCAACACAAGGTGATTTTGTTGTTGCTTCTCGCAAATGGCGCTCGTCAATCGCTGATTGGTCGAGATGAGGGAAAAATGCTTGTTGCAAACGACGAGCCATCTTCAAATGAATGAGGAATTGGGTGGAATCTGAGGTGAGATCCAAGTTGGAGATGCTGGGATAAATAAAAGTGAAAGATGCGTTAAATAATATCTTGAAAAAGATTAAATCAATGATATTGAGCTCATTGTTAATGAATTTCAAGAAGAATTGAACTAATGGCGATGAATGCATGTAAAACTGTGTTGAACTCATTAATTCTTGGAAAATCTTTTTTCCGACGTAAGGAGTTCCTCCTTTTTCTATGATTTGCTGCCTGACAATGCTCTTGCAGTCTGTATCTAATGATCCTGCATTGTCTGTGTTCGTCATTGTCTGGAAAAATGAAATTATGTGTCTTGCGACCCAGAAGAAAGGTTTTGGCTCGGAAATACCTTTTGTCTCTGGTTGATTCAAGTCCGGTACAGAATATAAAGAAGTTCCTAAAGGAAGTGGTAATAATCTGTTGACATAGTTAATCATCGTTGTTGTATCAAGCGGCTGGTCATTATCGATAGTATAATCTGCTGGTAATTGTGTCTTTGGAGGTTTAGCAGGCTCTCCTTCACTTTTATGTTCAGATCTTGCAGTTTGTTCGGTTTTTTCCAGAATTGAAGAAGCTTCGTCAAGCAAATTGGTATTTTCTTGTTCACTCTTCTCTTCTACGTCATCATCAAGCTTTGTGGATCCTTCAAAATTCGTAATTGTTGATGCATCGTCAGGAATATCATCTCCAAGACCTTTTCTGAAGTAATTTTGTGTCCCCGATTTAAGAGGTGATTTCGGTCTTGGTTTTTTATTCTTCTGCTTCAAACTTTCTGTTTGATCGAAAATTGAAGTTTGTGTATCAGTTAAATTAGTCGAAGACTGTTGCATACTCATTGCGCTTGCGTTTAGCTTGAAATTGGACGAACTTGTCATTGTCATTTTATGAGGATCTTTTTTGCCTTTCTTTCGACGTCTGTTTGTATTCTCTTCAGGCATATCAGTTATTTGATCGAAATCTACATACTGAGGCTCAACTAAGTACTGTTTTACATCTGATTTCAAAGATTCGTTTTCTTTCTTAATTTTTTCGTTTTCGCGTTCAAGTTCTGCGAATCTTGGGAGTAATTCATCACCGGATTTCTCTAAAACCTTAATTTTATCGTTGGCCATTTCAAGTAAACCTTCTAATTCGTCAATTTTCATGTGTGCATCAGCAAGAAGTTGTTTCGCTTGATTCTTTTGCTCTTCATTCTTCTGCATTCGAACTGCCATAGTATTATTATCACTAATAGCTGCATCTCGATTATATTCTGCAGTTTCTAAAGCGCTTTTGAGATCTGCGACTTGTGTATTGCGTCCTTCGAGTTCTTCTGAAAGGCGCATGTTGAATGCTGTATTTTGTTCAAGGGATCTCTCTGCTTCTTTTAAAGCTCGAGTTAATTCTTCGTTTTCCTTTCTTGTTTTGGATTCTAGATCCGAGAGTTCGACGAATCTCTTTTCGTAATGTTCGAAGAGCTGTGGAATTAATTCAAGCCTTGACTGGAAAAACTTTTTAATTTTCACAAAAAGAACAGTGTGTTCTTCGGAGTAGCTTCGTATAAGTGAGTTAGCTTTGTTCCATATCAAAAATACGTTTTGAGATGTTTCTAAGATCTGATTTGCTTGATCTGCTGGAGGTAATTCGATATTTAGTTGAATTCCGTCAATTAATTGATGATACTGATTCGAAAGAGATTGTATTTCACGAGAAGCAGGAACTTTTCGCTGTGTAGAGATGAGATCTGTAATTGGAGGTAATGGATTTTCTGAATCTGGTTTAATTCTTGAAGACACACCTAATCCTGTTTGCGGACGGATACTCGTGAATAAACTCTTAACTTTTGCTGGGTTTTGAGAACGAGATGTTGTTATTTCATTTGGTTCGTGTTTAATTTGCAGAGTTGACTCTCGTCGCTTGGTTTGTGCTGTGCTTATCTGTCTTCCGGCTAATTTTGTTTTTTTTTCATGATGCTCTTCCCTTTTTGGAGATTTTAAATTTTGATTGGGCTTTTCAGGTGTGACAAATTGCTGATTTTTTGGCACAAGCCCAGACGTAATCAAGCCCTCCATTAGTCCAGGCCGTGGAGCAGCTAGCCAAGCTAATTCCACTGGCTTAGGCGCCGACATTTTCAGAGTACGTTATTTAATTAAATTTTTTTATAAAGATTTTGAATATTTTCTGAAGAGGCATATTTGAATAGTTTACAATTCCGTAGCTCAAATTTTGAGATTTCTATAATTATCTATTAATCACAACCTAGTTTAGATATCTATATTTGAAAAATATAAATAGAACAAGTATGTTGCATAGTTTTATTAAAAAAAACTGATATATTATTTATATTTTTATATAAACTATCTTTTAAATGTTTTTATAAACATTGAGGTCTCCCTCAATCTTAAGTGATAGAGCATTATATATCTCAGTTATTGTGGATGCAGAAAGAGGTCGTGATGCTTCAGCAACAAAGTATGATAAAGGAAGACCCAATTTATTAGACCAGGCCATGTAAGCAATATGAATAAGCTTACTGGAAACATAAGCCTTACGGCAATTGACATAGAACACTCCATCTGCCTTTGTAATTTTGATAACTGTTCCGCCTAAGCATACAACTCTTTTACCTACAGCTTCTTGGTCAAAATCAATTTTGTTGAAGAGCTGTTTGGCAAGGGAAGACCATCTGCAGCGATTAAAATAATCTTGAACTCTATTTCGGTCAAGATTGAACTCATTAGCAATTTGATCAACAAGAGAATTAAGATCAGTGGTTGAATAATCTCGTTCAGTTTTTTGCATTTTGAGATCATAAAATTGGTATTGTATGTCGTTAGCAATTGGATCGTGGCGTGCATCATGTCCTGATTTTAACAGATATTTATCAGAGCTATAGGCTTGAGTAGAAAGCAGAAAAATCAAAAGCATTGAAATTTGTGTCATTTGACATTTGATTTCAATGGTTTTATCGGTTTCAATATGATCGCAATCATTTCGGAATGTAAAAACTAATTGATTAAATAATGTTAGATCTGTTTAAAAAAATTGACGAGAAAACTGTAAAAAGATCCCCAAGTAGTAGGATAGGATGGGTTTTGTGACTTTTTTTGTTACATCTATATATAGACGATGCATTAAAATATATTTATTTATAAATTATTAAAAAAATTAACATTAATTTTAAAATAATTTATTTTTTTATCTTTTATAAAAGAAGCTATATATAGATGATGTCAGATATTCCGCGATTAATTAAACATTGTTTAAATCCTGAATGGGTTAAACTTCAATTTAAAAATGAAGATTGTGAATTATTAAATGAATATGAAAGCCAAAATAAGCTAATGAGGTATAAATATAATGATAAAGAATATTTAATTTCATGGAATCAATGGAGTCATAATCAAAGACCTCATAAACGAGAAGAAGAAATTGAAAATAATGAAATGGAAATCATTGATGATATTAAAGAGGATTGAATTCCTAAATTTTGTAGAAAAACCTTTAGAACTAAGTTAGGAGCATATAAACGTAGAGTATTAAATCCTGAATATCTTAAACATCAATTTAAAAAGGAAGACTGTGAATTATTAAACGCTAATGAATATGAAAATGCTAAATCAAAACTGAGATATAAATATATTGGAAGTGATGAAAGGTGTAAAGATAAAGATAAAGTTTATTCAGTTTCATATAATAACTGGCACACGTTAGGGATAAGAAAACATTTAGGAGATTATGGGAAATGTTCCGAATTCTTCAAATCTAGTATGTACGAGAGAGTAAAAGAAATTAGAAATAATTATTTTCATGAATGAAAGATTCACTACCATAATGAAATAAAAAATAAAATATATTTATTTATAAATCATTAAAAAATTAACATTAATTTTAAAATAAATTCTTACATAAAAGAAGCTATATATAGATGATGTCAGATATTCCGCGATTAATTAAACATTGTTTAAATCCTGAATGGAATCAATGGAGTCATAATCAAAGACCCCATAAACTTTAAAAAGAATTTGATGAGTTCAACATAGAACTTTAAGAAACTAATGATTATTTGAATTTATGAAATCAATTATTTGATTCATTCTTTCTTCAATCTCTTCTATTCTTTTTGTTAAATCATCTATTTTCATTAATGAGGTGATTCTTGATTGAGGAATAGATTTCAAACTAACCACTCCTTTTATTTTTGAAATTTTGAATCCATCAACTTTAAACATTTTATTCAATTTACACGTTGTCAATTCTTCAAATAATTTTTTATTATTAGCATAATAGTCATTAAATTCTTCAACAGATGAAAAAATTTTTATTTCAGTAATTGGTTTAACAACGTTTATTTTTTGTTGAACATTTTCATTTATTTCTTCCTCCTCTGTTTCATTTATTTTTAAAATCGGTTTCATTTATCATTAAATAAAAATTAGAATATAAGTGATGAAATATATTTTTTAATTAATATTAAATCAGAAATGGCGGCAGGATTCTTTAAAAAATTATGGGATGGAATTAAGAAAGCTGCGGGTTGGGTTCATAAAAAGATTATTAAACCCATTGCAAACTTTTTGGCACCAGTAGCGAAAACGGCAGGAACTATCATAGGTGGTGTATTAGGTACTAAAGCAGGTAATCCGGCGATGGGAGCACAAGCAGGTAACGCAATTGGTGGAATTGCTGAAGGAATACTTAATAAAATAGGAGGTAGATAGTGGAAAAATAAATTATTTTAAAATTATTTTTATCTTAGTATCGGTTGTAGTCTTTGATAAATTTTTTCTCCTTTATTTAAAACTTCTCTTATTGGGGCAGCTTTTGGTGTTATTGATTCAGCAACGTCACTAATTGCTTCTTTATTCTTAAATATCCGATTTGCCCCCTTCTTCAATGTTTCCCAAACTTTACTCGCTCCTCTTTTTACTTTATCCCACAGTTTCTTAAATATACCTGCAGCCATAGTTGATTATTTCATCAAAATTAAAAATTCATTTTCATCTTTTAATTTTGATTTTTTATTTATTAATAAATGACGACTAACTATTTAGTGCCAAACACTAAACCGATTAATGGAAATGTATTTCATTCATTCGAAAAGATAAATGAAATATTCGCAAAGAATGACGGTAGAAGATATTATAGAGAACTTGAAAGTTCATGCTATGACTCTGATGCTCCATATTTTGATGATAAACAAACTCATTTAAGAATTACAAATCCGGCTCATGATGTGAACCAATTAGGTGACACATATATTAAACGCAAAGTTAAAGCAACTCTTGTTTCAAATAAAGCTTTCACATGTGATGCCGCTTTTAAATGCATGCGTTTATTCGTTGGTTACAAATCATCAAATCAAAGCTTTAAACAATTAGAAGTAGAAACTGAAAGAGGTGATGCCGGTTATCTTCAGATGGATTGCGCCCGTGAATCTTTCGCATTTGCAACATATAAACCGAAATCAGAAAGGAAAGTTAAAAAGTTTGTTCATTCGTTATATAATAATGTTCAAAAATATGATAACTCAGTATGTGGTAAATATATTGACCCTTCAGAAGTTTTCAAGAGAGCAAATGAAGAAGTTGATGTCACTTTTGATATGATTATTCCGGTAAATGATTTGTTAGCATTTCAGGCGTTCGATGATTATCCTAAATCATTTGGTGATATCATTCTTAAATATTATGTTTTCAGGGATACTTTAGTATTTTGTCAGGTTGACCCGTTAAGAGTTGCTGATTTACAAAATTACGTTTATGAAAAGATAACTGATGAAAATTATGAAAAGATTATGAATCATGTTTATAAATATGATCGCAAATTCCAACAAATCGGACTTCCTGCCAAATTAATTACAAGCTTAGCCGCTACATCTGCTGACGCAACAGTTGATGATGTTATTATTTCATGCACAAAGATGGAAGTTTTAGAGGATAAATGCATTACACCAGGATACGGTTTAATTGAAGAATCAGTTAAAGCAATACCACGTTTATTCAGTAAGGAAGATCCATTCATGATTCCAGCTCAACATATTGACGTTCGTTCACTAAATGGAGGTTGCATCACTCCTGAAGGTATTAGCTCAGATTTCTCATACGCTCTTCATAATGTTACAGATGTTGTGTTAACATTTCCGAAGAATGCAATGCAAAGAACAGTTTTAGAAAATCCAATGCTTCGAGGTCTTCAGGTCACTATAGATTCCAGAAACTTCCCCGATCAAGCGATGACCACAGTGGGCGACATATTCTTTACACGTATGCTTCAAGCTTCTGATTTAGATGGAGTGAATGAATGCACGGAAGAATACGAGGACTCATTAACTAGACCACTGAATGCAGATGATGGCACGCCATTAGCTAGAACATGGAAAGACCAAACTTCATTCTTATGCACTATTCCAGTTCAACGTGATGGAGCGGGTATATTCTTTGATGGATTAGAAACTTTCAACTCGCAAGTTACAGTACAAGTGAAAGCTTATCCAATCATTCAGGGTGAAAATGACACTTACTGTTCAAAGGTGACAAATCCTCCTCAGGTTTGGTTTACTAGGACTACATATTGGACATGGACACCGGACGAAGGTTTGAAATATCATCCAACAGGTACACCACCACAGTATAGAAGTTCATATGATGAAATATTGATGAATAGAAATGTTTAAAATTATAAATTTATTTTTGATTAAATGGATTTAAATTCATCCACCCCTTATGAAGAATTAGCAGGAGTATATAATACATACATAGATGATATGATTAATGAAGCATTGAGTGATAATAGAAATGCTCTATCTAAGGAAAAATTAATGAAAATTCCATATTCTGAATGTTACTTAAATTCAATCACTGCAGCAATTGGTAAACAGAATAAAGGTAAAACATTAACGATATTAAAACAAATTATCATTATTGCTAACACTTCCCCCTATTCACATGTGTTAATTTATATCAACCGTTCAGGTTCACCTTCAGATGATACATTTGAATCTTTAAAGCATTTAATCAAAATTCCAATTATTTATTTATCACAAGAAGAAGCAGAAGATTATTTAAAAAACTTTTTAATGTATAAAGAATTATATAATACAATCAAGAAGCAAGGATTAGAGGATAAAATTATTGATAAACAACGGGATGAATTATTTGAAACACTTTCTATTTCAAATTTTGATAGAGAATTTTTATTCACTCATTTTTCTAGATGATGCAGTGAAATCAAAACTAATAACAAATGAGAAATCATATTTTAATCAGTTATTAACTCAATGTCGACACATTCAGTGTTCATTCTTTATGGCTGTTCAATATTTCAAAGCATTAAGCACAAACATTAAATCAAATCTATCAACCCTTTTCATTTTCAGTGGGTTTAGTCGTCAACAGTTGAACGTTATGCTTTATCAAGTGAATTTACCAATGAGCATTAATGAACTTTACACACAATATCAGCAATTAGGTGAACATGGAAAAATAATAGTTGATTTAAATAAAGGAGGTGTTAAATTTGATTAACTTTTTATAATTAATTTTTATTTTTTATTTATAATTAAACATGACAGAAATAGCAAATCTTCTACAGGTTCCATTAAAACAAGGGACAAACAAAAAGGGTGCATATAATAGAACTATGAAAGTTCTTGATGGAATGAAAGAATTAGTTCATATTGTTGCTGGTCTTCAAAAAGATGTTAAACAAATGAGAATCGTTTTAACATTACCAGAAGCTCAAGCATATGCCAAACGTCAAGGTCCAAATTGGGAAGCACACGAAGCAGACATTACGGGTCCAAATGGAAAACCTGATGGTATAAATGAAGTTTTCGTTACTGATGGTCAAGGAAATATTAAAGTCATAAATGGTTACAAGTTAACTATAACTGATTATCCTAAACGTAAAGCATATAATGAACGTTATCCTATGCAATTTGATGAAAATGGAAAAGCTGTTAAACAATACATTGGAGAAGGTGAAAATGGTCCAATTAATTCATACCGTCATAATCCATATTCTTATTTCAATGAAGAATTAAATGCTATTGAAGAGGGACCGGATGGATTACCACGATATTCTAACCAGTTTGATGGTCAATATGCAAATATTAGACCTGAAATTTCAGCTAAGAAATTCTTTAAAGTTGCTTTATTCGATCCAGTTTTCGCAAATGTTAAAGATGAACCTAAACAGCAATTCCAACCAATTATAGTAGCAAGAATTGCATCGGGTGCTTTATCTCAATCATTCAAAGATTTAATTAAGAAACCATTATATCAGCAACGAGGTTTAACTTATGATTTAGTTAAGGAATCAGATAAAAGAAAATTTGAGAAATCAGATGATTATAAGAATGCAATTAATGAATATATTAGGTCTATTAATTACAATGAAACAGCTAAAAATCAACTTCATGAACAAATACAGGGAATAATAGATTCAAAAGTTCCAGCAAAATAAAAGTTTAAATATATTTTTTATTCGAATATAAATGAGAAGACGTTTCACTAGTCAAAAGAACACTAACGCAAAAGCAGAGATTACGGTTGGTTATAACGTAAATGATGATAAATCACGAATTATTCAAAATGTTAAAGTTAATGTTAGCCCTGAATTAACAAGGTCAGCAACTCAACCAAATTTATTAACTCGTGACTTACCGAAAAAGGAGGAGAATGAAGAAAACCATGAGAATGGAGACCCAATCATTTTATCTGAACCCGGTAAAGAACCTGTTGAAATTCCCACTTATCCAACATACCCCCCACCTCTTTCATCAAACATCGAGAACCCATATAAAATAGACATTAATTCTGAATTAATGAAAATTTACCGTGATATAATAATTAATAATTATGATTCAATAATAAATTTAATTGACCAATCCGGTTTAATTATTTTACTTTATGAATCATTAATTCACATTATCGCCATTCTTTGTGATGTTCAAGATTCAGACGTTAAGATTCAATTTTTCATAGATGATGAGGTTTCATGCTGCGGAACAGTTGCAAAAATAAATCCTATAAAGGATATTAGCACAATTAAGATATCAAAGAACGGAACAACAACTGAACTTCATTTAACATATAATGATATTTATAATAAAATAGTTGATGAATATAAAATATCACTTGAAAAATTCTTTGTTAAGGCTATTTAATATTCAAGCATTAACATTATCGAATAATAATCCTTTGAATCATAATCAATAATAATTGACCTTTCACCAGTTTCTATCGTTTGTTTTATTTCTTTTTGTCCCCACTATCCGGATCGGTCATTGTAATTGTTTTTGTTATAGTATCAGCTTTATCTTTAACTTCAATCTTTTTTCCATCGGGATATTTTAAAAACCAAATTCCAAAAATTCGATATTGTCAATCTGTTCATATTTTAATCTATCAATTACATTTTTAATACCATCTGAAAATCTTATGAAATGGTCATTATATGGGTTTGATTGAACTAAATTTGAATGAAGTGAAATATAACCTGTTGATGAATATGACACTGACTCATATTTTCTGAAAACACTAAAATTTATAACATGTGATGAATTTCTTATTCGTTGAATTTATGAATTCTTGAGGTAATCTTATTCTAGTTTATTTATCACTGGAAAATAACGCTTTACCATATTTTTAATCGTAATAAAAATGTCAATTATCAATATTATTTCGAATATATAACTGTGAATTAAATTTAACAGTTAGCGGAATTTATAATGTTACTCTCGTTTCTGTGAGTGGTAAATTTAATCCCATTCTTTTAGACCCTTCAGATTATATATCATTTATTAAAGATGACCTTGAAAAAACGTATGATATGTATATAAATGTGATAGCGAAATGGGTATATTACATGATTTTAAGTTATTTAAATGAATCATTTATCGTATGGTATGAAGAAAATTTTAAATCAAAACCTGATAAACTTTTTGAACTTGATGAAATAAATAACCTTATTAAATTCCAGCTGAAAATTAAATTTTGTACTCCTCATCTTCGTTCATTGTTGGGGATATTAAATTTTGAAAAAGATGTTGGGATGTTTTTGTATTCTGACACTGGTTCCAATTTCATTTTAATCAAATGTGATAAAGTTAATACCCCAATGAGATTTTCACATCAAACATTAGACCCTAACTCTTACCCATCAATACAAAACATTTTATCCATCAACTTAAACACATTTTCTTTATCATATCCGTTTCAATTATCCGGGAATTCATTTATTCTTCATTCAAAAGATTTATCAAATATTAAATTTAGAATAACTGACCTATTTGATTGTGATTTAGAATTTATGAATGAAATATTATGGCAATTTCAAATAGAGAAAATAGCTGATGAGATAACGGATTAAATATTTATTTTTAAATCATAATAAATGATTAAACAACAGCAACCACAACAACTTAAGGCGCAAAGCGCCCAGGTCCTTCAGACCATTACATACGCCATATATGCATATAATTCAAAGACGGCAGAACAAACGCAAAGGTTAAAATATGGAGATTTGGAGATAGTATTGAAAAATGACCGTTTTCGAATTCGTTTGCAAAGGTGGTGCAGTGATATCAAATATAAAAGAAATTTTATTTATGAATTCAAAATTAAAGGAATAACGGATGATATAACATCAATTCCACCAGAAGAACAGAGATATTACGCATTAAATGCATTTCCTAAAGTTTTGAAGATTGGAAGATTTAATTTAAATGAGGAATTCATAGAAGGTTTCCTAAACGACATAATGAAGAAGGTGGATAAGGAATATGTGGATAGTGAGTTAATGAAGAAGGCAAATTTGGTTTATGTTGATGAAAAAGATAATGAAATTAAAGAAAAGGTTGAATGGTATCATGAATGGACATCGGAGACTTTTAAAGTTAAAGCTGATACAGGATGGGTTTCAGGATGTTTAGACCTTAAAGCAGATAAAACTTATGTTGATGAAAAAGATAATGAAATTAAAGAAAAGGTTGAATGGTATCATGAATGGACATCGGAGACTTTTAAAGTTAAAGCTGATACAGGATGGGTTTCAGGATGTTTAGACCTTAAAGCAGATAAAACTTATGTTGATGAAAAAGATAATGAAATTAAAGAAAAGGTTGAATGGTATCATGAATGGACATCGGAGACTTTTAAAGTTAAAGCTGATACAGGATGGGTTTCAGGATGTTTAGACCTTAAAGCAGATAAAACTTATGTAGATGAAAATTATGCAAAGAAGTCGGAAGTAAATGATGTGATTACAAGCATGAAAAATGAAATACTTCAAACATTATATCCTGTTGGTTCTATTTATACGTCAATGAACTCAACAAATCCAGCAACAGTTTTAGGTTTTGGTATGTGGAAGCAGATTGTAGATAAATTCTTATACTGTGCTAGATATTCAAAGCAAACAGGAGGTTCGAAGAAAATTAAAGAAGCAAACCTTCCACCGCACACTCATACAGGAACGACAAACACAACAGGTAATCATACACATTCAATAACAAAAAGAGGTTTTACAAATCTTGCAGCAGGTTCAGATAGACAGGGAATGAATAGATATGATATTTCAAGTGACCCAGTAGATTCAGGCGCAGGTATTTTCTGTGGAACCACAGGAAATCATTCACACACTTTCACAACAAATCCAACAGGCTTGGGTAAAGATTATATGCCACCATTTGTGACTGTATTCGCATGGTACCGCGTTCAATGAACGCGCTTGAGCCCAGACCTTTGGGTCAAGGCTTACCGAATGAACTAAATATATTTTATGTCTGTAATTAATTAGGTAATGAAGTAATGGATGAACTGCAGAAATATATTTTATCGTTAATGATTTTAGGTTATTCAATAATGAAGCATTTTTGAATAACTGAAGGTGTTACCATGTTACCATGTGCTACCAGGTTAATTAACTTCTCTGAAAAAATGAGACAACATGACATTTTGACAACATTCCCGGAAATTTGATGCAGTCCAAAAATAAAGTTAGTTTTAAAATTATTTTTATTTTTTATTCCTATATAAATGACAGCAACAAACAACAACAGCAACTATATCGTTTCTGATGAAAAAGTTATTGATTTATTAGCTGAGGAATTAGTTACGGCAGAAACTAAAACCCTCAACGAAAGAATTGGTGAAAACAAGATTGATTTACATAACTACCTCAAACACGATGGAGGAAGAGGAAGGAAAACTGGTATGGCTTTATTAGTAAATAAAATATCAAATTTAACGATTATAGATGTCGATATCAATAAATCATACAATGATGAACTTAAAGAAACGGTTAGAAAAGACATTCTATCAAAACTTTCGGATAAAGATGTTATCGTTAAAACTGCTTCAGGAGGTCTTCACATTTATTGTAACACTAATTTCTTCTATGCAGTTTCGAACAGAATGATTAAATGTTATTCCTGCAATGATTATGATATCGATATCATGACTTCTATTGATGATTCAAAGCGTTCATTGGTGGTTATGGCTGATTCAAGAGTTCGCAAGAATGCAACAGAACCAATCAGTACATACTCATTCATTCGCGGAAGTTATGATTCAACATTAACTAGAACCGTAAACGATATATTAAATGATTTGAATATTAAGGTAAGAGTTGAACAGAAGAACGAAGAAATAAAGACTATCATGAATGAAAACAAAGATGTAAACATTGACGATAAACTTGCCCAGAGCATAGTTGATGGCATCAGTGATTTTGAAGTACATAATGGTGGTGGAAACATGAATTTAGAAAAAGAAGTTACATTATTCACACTGTTTCAAGCAATTAATTTGTTACCTAATCATTTAATTAATGAAGCATACGATAACGTTTATAACTTCTGCAGCTTAACTGAAAATGCAAAAAGTAATTTTGAAAAAGCACGTAGTAGATATGCACATTTAATGACTTCTCCATTTGTTTTAGTGAAGATTCTAAAACTATATCAAAAGGAATATTATGATGAATACGTTTTACCTTTATTACGTAAGCCAAAAATAACATTTGATATAAAACTTGATGATTCATTCTTGATAACAGATATTAGACGCAAGGCTGAAAATCATCAGTATAAAAACAGTTCTGAAGTAATTGAGGATTTATCACGTGTAATCCGTTTTGTAGATTGTGGAAACAAATACTTCATTCAAAAGGACTATAATATCCACGACAAAATGAATCAAATATCATTCGTTCTTCAATCAAACATGAAAGAGTCACTCAAAATGATTAAATTATTTAAAGAAGAAGGTAAAACAATAACAGCATGGGATGTACTACTAAATCAATTGTCTTCATTAACCGTTAAGGGTGTTTGCTTTAAATCTGATTCTCCAGATGTTTGCTCAACGTTTCAGGGTTATAAATACAACGTTCTCGAAAAACCAGATTACCCAAAAATTGAGATGTTTATGAATTTCATTAAAGAAGCCATTTGTGATAATAACGATGAAGTGTATAAATACCTTCTCGGCTGGATTGCATCAATGATTCAACATCCCGGAATCAAGAATGAAACAGCAATTATTTTGAAAGGACTTCAGGGAACAGGTAAAAACAGATTTACAGACATTATTTCTGAACTTCTCGCTGGTTATTCATGTAAAAACATTACCGAAATAAGTGAGCTAACGGGTAATTTCAATTCAGTAGTTGAGAATAAAATGTTTCTTGTACTTAATGAACTCAAGAATGTAGGTGAAGATAGACTCGCAAACTTCAACGCTTTGAAATCAATTATTACGGATAATGAGATTAGAATTAATGAAAAGAATCAACCCAGAAGAACTGCTTAGAATGTTACAAACTTCATTTTCGTAACTAATAACGTCTACCCTGTCAAAATTGAAGTTGGAGACAGAAGATACGTAGTTTTAAGAGTTAATGGTAAATTCAAGGGTCAATTTGATTACTTCAAGAATTTGATGAATTCATGCACAAAGGAATTTTATGATAATTTACTGACGTATTTTATCAATTACGACCTTTCATCATTTAATGTACGAATCATACCGATGACTGAAGCCAAACAAGATTTAATAGAATTATCAACAAATCCTTTAGATGTATGGATAAATACACATTATGATGAATTGTGTGTAGGTATGACGTGTAAAAATGCTCTATTCTACAAACCATCAGACATGAAAGACAAAAACTTTCAAATGAGTATTAAGGATAAATGTGATAGGAAACATAGAAGAATAGATGGTAAACAAACATGGTGTTATGTTTTGAAAGAAGAAATGAAAGGATTATATAAACAGGTTGAACCAAACGATAATGAGGATTCATTTACTGATGATGAAATACCCGTAAATGAAGCTTTATAAAGTATGATTTGAATTTATTTTTGCATTAATCCTGCTGTGTTGTCAAAATGTCATGTTGTCAGTAATTTTAAGAGAAGTTAATTAACCTGGTGACATGGTGACGTAGTGACACCTTCAGTTCTTCAAAAATGTAAGACATAAATGCCTTCCTCCTTTCGTACCTGTTGTCAAAATGTCATGTTGTCATCATTTTTAAGAGAAGTTAATTAACCTGGTGACACATGGTGACATGGTGACACCTTCAGTTATTCAAAAATAAATTTTCTTATCATTCAAATTAACTAAAGATGAACTTAATAAAATGATGATAAAATAACTGATAACAAAATTTTATTTTTATATAAATGGATACCCCACAAGCTCAAAATTTACCACGAATCATAACAAGGGAGGAAATGATAAAAATGATGCAAGAACATGTTAAAAATAACAAACCACTAAAACTGAGAAAATGCGGTTATGCAGTAATGATGGAAAGAGAGATGTTGTCGAAGAGGAATAAAAATTAAATTTGGATTGAGTTTAAAAATTCATCTTTATTAAATTCATCTCTTCCAATCAATTTATTTATTCTATTAAATTCTTTTATTTTTGCTTCACTCAGTTTAAGGATTGAACGGTAAGTTTCTAATTTTTCGATTATTTTTTTCCTCTCTTTATCGTTTTCAGCCCCACCGCATTGCGGCTTCTTTTTGTAATAGCATATTTTTGATTTAATTCTGTTTAGTTTCTTTTTATATTCGTTGTCTGGACTCTTGGCTGCTTCGTTGTCACTCATTTCTTACGAAATAAAAAAATTAAATATTATTTAAATATAATGGAGTAATAAAATAAATCGGAATTTCTATTAATTTATTGTTAACCTCAACTAATGCATTGCCATTAATATATCTAACAAATTCAGCTATTGTGTCAAATCTTCGTCTTCTTTTTGTCATTGATTTATCAGTTTTTCCATAATCGAGATGAATCAAAACTTTATCCCCTTGTTTAAAATTCATGAGCCCTGAATTAATTTGTTCACGTTTAACATCATTCAACCTTTCCATTTGCTTTCTAATATATTCCCATTCTTTTGAAATATCATTTTTCATTTCCACCGGTTTCATGTTTATAGTTCTATGCCATGTATTATTGTAATAATATACTAACTGCTGTATGATGGAGTCATGATTTCCATCCCAGTATATCTGACCGTTAACTCCTAACGCATCTCTAAGAGTTCTCATTACTGCATCAACTATTTTATTATGAAACGTATATGGAGAGGATGAAAAGTAAAAATTAATTTGTGGGAAATAATGAGCCATAGCTGCCTGAAATCCTTTATCACTATCACCCCTGATATTATCTACTCTTTCATGATCTATAAGTATTGAATAGCTCTTCTTGTTTCCTGTTCTGTTTTCCCTTTCACCGGAATGCAATATAAATATCTTGTGTTAATGTTAATGGCAAATAAATAAGTAACGTTTCCTTTTGAATATTCCAGATGATCGATTTCGTATGAATATGGATATGGTGCAAATGAAGGGCGACCAAATTTTTCCTTTAACGGTTGAATTTTCGGGTCAATTGGTTTATTTAATATCTTGAAATCCTTTTTAAAATCTTTTTGCTTCTTTAATGTTTGAAATGGATATAATAAAGTGAATGATGAAGGATTATCTGAAGGAGGAGGTACTGTTATTGGAGGTTTTGGTGTTGCAAGTGGTTTAATTTTATCTGCTTTGATTTTGGATGATGAAGTTTTGGATTTCATTCCCCCCTTCATTAATTCTGGATGTATTCTATTCATTTGTTTTAAATATGCTGTATATAAAGGTTTGATATACTTTCCCGCTTCGAGTTTATGTTGAAAGATGAATTCCAAAAGTTGATCTTCATTTAAAAGTCGGGCTGAATATGGTTTAACTAATGAATCATAAATTAAAGCTTGTGCTTCATTTATGGTCTGAAGGACCTGGGTGTTTTGCACCTTTAGCTGTTGAACATTTGTTTTTTGCGGCTCGGGATTATATAATTTATATAATTCATCAATATCTTCTTCTGTTAATACTTTATTTTTGAAATCTTTCAACTGTTTAAGTTGTGATTTAGTTTTTCCCTTTGTATATTCATTATTTTTAATTTTGTCTTTAATTTTAGAAATTATTTTATCATGATATTTCAAAATTTCATTTTTATAATACGAATAATAATATTCCATATCATCACCCGTTATATTTTTATTATATAGGGTGTCCAAAGGTGTGTTTAGCACAAACCTGAATACTGCGAATAGAAATAAACAAGTTACATATATATAAAGTTTATTTAAATATAATCACCATTGGATTCAATCACGCGTTCGCAGCGATCGATCCAGGCTTGAAAGACACGCTTTAAATCATCATGAGAAAATTGCTCAAATTGCTCTCTTACAAAATTTTCAAGATCATCTGGACTCGCGAATTCGCGTCCTTCAGCTCTCTTTTTTAGCGTGCCGAATAAATAAAAGTCAGAGGGTGCAATATCAGGTGAATAAATTGGGTTTGGAACAACTTTGACATTGTTTTCCACCAAGTAATTCATTACCTTATGACTTTTGTGAACTCTTGAATTATCAAAATGAATTGCAAACTTTTGTTTTTGTTGTTTGGATTTCTCAAACTCATCAGAATTGATAATTTGAGTAAGAACATTGTCAATTAGATACTGAGCATTCATCGTATTAGGTTTTTGAAGAATATCAATTGCGATGATGCCATTCACGCCCCAAAAAACTGACAACATCATCATTGGTGTGTCAATTTTTTTCTTCGGGAATGTTTGCGGATTTTCATCCTTCGGGATCCACATGATTTTGGCTTCTGTTGCATATTGAAACCAAGACTCGTCCCCTGTTACTAAAAAGCGAAACTTCTTGGATTGATACGCACCCAATATAGAGAGGAGCTCTTTCGAAGATTGGACTCTAGATTTTTTTTGAACTGAATTAAGGTTGTGCGGAACCCAACGTGTATACGCTAGTTTGTAGTTCAAATAATTGTGCAGATAATAACTGACTGTTGTACGTGGTATCTTTGTCATCTCCTCTATCCTTCTGAGTGATGCTCTTGGGTCTTCATCTAGCGCTTGAAGAATTGCTTTGATTTTTCTTTGATCCGGCGATTTTTTGTCAATTTTTATGATGGGCGCCTTTTTGTTCATGAAGTGATACATCCTAACATGATACGTTACAGTGGAATAGCTAGGAGCATCCATACCGAAGCATTTTACCAATGTCTCGTAGATTTTTTTACAGTCTTTGCATTTTTTTGCAAGAGCGAGGATGTTTTCTTTATGATTCATTAAAAAAATGAAAAAAATCCCGCCAAAATTTCCCGCGAAACCGCCTCTTGTCTCAAAATTCATTTTATATCCCGGCATGGCGCCAAAATACAACATACTCATTATATACATATATTCATATTTTTTATTATATATTTATAATCAGCATATATCTCCTTTAATAGTCTCATATAGAGCGCTGTGCTAAACGCACCTTTGGACACCCTATATTTTTGGAGATATGATTTTAATTCATAATAATTAAGAAAATTTTGATTAAATACTAAATCATCAATTAAATTTTCTAAATCTGCGTTATCCATTTATATAAAAATAAAATAAATGTTTTAAGGGTGCCCACCTCTTTGAATCGCATCATTAACGGTTCCTTTTGTCTCTTCTGTGGCATTTTATTAAATAAATGGCATACAACATCCATTTTCACAACATACAGCCTTAGTGTGTGCTCCTGTTAATGCAGTCTTACCGATTGTTAAGCGAGTCATTGACCCGTTTTTAAGTTGTAAATTAATATTCTGACCATCAAATATCACTTTATCATTTATTATATCCAAATAATTTTTAGGTGTTAATTGTTTATTTTGTCGTAAACTAACACCTTTCATTTTTTGTGCAATCTTTTTAAAATCACTTCCATCAATTGAACCGTTGAATGATGTATAACACTTAGGGCATAAAGCAACCATGTTATCACTTGTTTCTCAATTGCTAAACCCAATAACTCTTCTCATGTGCTTTTTCTTCAGCTTTATTCTTTAATTTAGGTTTAAATTTCTCATCAAAACAGAAGAAATCAAATGGTGCGAATTTGAAAATGTTTTTATCATAAAATTGTTTATCGGTAACAATTGCTTGAATGCTTGAGTGTTAGGAAGATTTGGGTCGCCAGCGATTGCCCAATAAGATGAATCAGTATCACCTTCAATGAAATGAAAACGATTAACATCCATGCATTTATACATAAAATCATAAATGAAAACTAAATACCAGTATTTTGCGTTATCTAAAGTGAAGAATGCCTCTTGTAAACATGTATCACATCTATAAAATCTATCTTTAAGCATCACTTGATATGTATCCTCACCTATTTCTCTTATGTTTTTAAACTTATTTGACATACATGCAACGCGTGCCTTCTGTGCATTCATTATTTTAGTCTTTGTGTAATTTTGTGTATTCATTGCATCGTAACCATATGATCCATTAAGCGAAATCTTGCAAAATAAACTTTTTCCTTTATTTCCTTCTAATTCAGCCTTTTGTCTTTCGTTCATAAATTTGTTCGCAAATTCATTAAAACAAGTGTTTTTCGTAAATGTTAAAATTGATTGAATATCATCGATGATAAAATGAAATCTGTCTATTAGATACCAAAGATAATAAGAAGAAAATGGTTGATATTGGTTGTGTGTTGATGCTAACTGAGTTAATTTCCTCTGTTTCTGGTCAACCGGTAGATTGTTTGATTTCATGTAATTATACATAAAACTGCCAATTGTTTTTTCATCTGTGATAATATCTAAGTTTCTTATTATCGGTAAAAAGTTTATGTAATCATTAATGTATTTTTCATCAATGTGACCCTTTACTTCAGCCACGAATAAAGTATTTTTCTTCTTAATTATTCCCAGTGCTTTTGCTTTCTTTGTTGCTGTATCACAAATGATAACACCATTCAATCTTCCCGGCATATACATTTTATGGTCAGTATATTGAATGAAATCATGAGGATTAGATGAAAATGATGAAGGATATAATGAATTAAAGTCAACACCAACGAAAATGAGTCATAATGTTGGTGGTGTCCTCATTTGATACAGTTTTAGTTTCTGGATTATATGAAAGTTTATTAATGTGCGTGATTCCTTTAAGATTTACTCTATGTTGAACATTTGATAAACCACCAGTAATTCCATTACGGAGAATGTGATAAGCTTCAACTGAATCTAAAGTCATTGGTAAATTATTTTTTAATGCATAATTTCTTAAATTGATTCTTAAACGTTGAACATCTTCATCTTTATTTGATTTTACGACATTGCAATAACAACACATTAACTGACAATTTTCTTTGGTATGTGGTTTTTCATTATCGATTCTATCCAATGTTGGTTTATTTGCATATGTAAACGCTTTACCACACATTTTGCATTTAGATGAAAGGATTAAATCGTGATAGTATTGAAAATCATCCATTGAAACATTATTTTTAGTATCTCTTTCTGCTTTTTCATCTTGTTTCTTATATGATTCAATTTTATATTTCCAATACTTTTTCGTTAATTCAAAACTTGATTCTATCTCTTCCTCAGGATATTTTTCATTAGGATTAAAGTCTTTATATGCTAAAGCGTAACGAATCATTGAAGCATTCGATGATAAAGAAAGATTATGAAGCATGTCAATTTTATAAACAAATGTTTCTTCAATAATTTTATCAATTGGGTCAATCATAATTTCAACATCTTTATTGCAATAATGAATAAAATATTCTAATCTATTCTTAAAGTTTTTAGCATCATTGAGATATATTTGATAATCACTATCTGATATAGTTTCTTGGGTTAATGCTGAATAAAATGAATCTTTCGTGAATGGTTCCACTTTATATAATTCTTCTTCGTAATTTTCCCACGTGATGAATTGATAAGGGAAAAAGGATTTAACACGTGATTTATTGTTTCCGAAATCTTGAGTGAATTGGTCTAATGTCCCACCCGCTATATAATTTCTGATGTCAATAAATCTTAATTCATATGGAACGTTTGTTTTCTTTACAATGACTTGCTTAAATTGTGAAGATGAACCCAGCATTGATTTTATTTTCCATTTTGCAGTGTTTAAATCACGAAGAATTAAATTTAAATCAAACTTTCCCGAATTAAAACCTATGATATTCACTTTATTGAATTCCTCATCTAGAAGTTCTTTAAATGCTTCCTTCTGTTTTTCATTTAATGTTTGCGACTTCAATAATTCATCGTATTGACTCATATTTGATTCAACAACTAATGAACAGGTTGAAAATAAAAACTCAATCCAATCAGAAATAAAAGAATCACTCGAAGTTAAGCAAAAATTCCTCGTGTATGTTTTATCATTTAATTTAACCGTTGATGATACCATGAATGGTTTTAAGTAAGCATTCAAAGTTGCACACTCAGAAAGTTGTAATTCTTCTTTAGTCTCTAATGTTTCAAAGTCAAAAGTAATATAATATCTTGTCGGTTTATAATATTTCTGCAAATTGTGAGCTAATAACCACTGATATATCTTCTGTTTCGTAATATGTGGTGCATATGGTTGCTGTGTCTTTTGCAATTGAACGTCTTGAATTAATCTCCCATTATTTTCTTTACATTTCTCACAATGCTTTAAAAATCTTCTTTGGTTTTTCCTTTCTGGATCATCACGGATAGAATAAACTTCTTCTTTACAATATGGACAAACTTTATAGCCGGTGAGTGCTTCAACGTCTGTTATTCTGTCAGCGTGAAGTTTTCCACATGGACTCTGTGTTAATAAAATATTTACTGTTTCAAATTCTGGATCTATCATTATTGATTCCACTAATGGAAAGTCTACCTTATTTATGTCCACGTCTTCTGGTTGAGGATCACAATAATAGAAATCAATATTAACATTTAACATTCTCGCTAATCTCTCACTTTCTGATGAAATGTCAAACCCTTCATATGCATCTATTGCTTCATTTAAATAGCTTCTACGAGTTTTAGGATTAACACCATCAGGAATGTTATAGAAGCGTTTAAATAACCTTCTACCTTCTGCTCTAATTTGATTATCATTCATTTTAGCTGTTCCGTTTTTGTTCATTTATGTAAGAATAAAAAATTAAAAAATAAATAAAAATAAAGTTTATTTTTTTAAAGTCCGTAAAATGAATTAAGAACACATAAATTTTTATCATCTGCGACGTGACGAATACATTTTAATTTACTCAAGAATGCGTACCCTGATACATTAAATCTAATTCCTGTCTTATTTAATTTCACAACTTTGAAAAGGAATGTATGAATAGCTATAAAATGATGAGAAGATGTTTTATGGGTTGCTTCCATTTTTTCTGAAATAAATGAATAAATATAATGTTTATAAGTTTTCATATCTTTTATGTTCTTAATAACGAATGGTATAGACCTTTCAACTTCGTCTTCCTTCGGTGCTGTTCTTTCATATGAAACATTATTAGTATCTTCAACAATGAAACCACAATCACACAAAATTTTATATGTTCCAATGGTTTCTTTTGATATTTTATCTAATAAATCAAAACTTTATCAACACCTGTGCATTTATTTAAATAATAATTTGTGTAAATATCATGATCTTCTTTCTTAATCGTATTAGTTGCATATGTCACGTTTTTAAGAGCTTTTTTGAATTTTTTGGAATCTAAAGGTGGTGAAAGTAGGATACAAGGGTATTCTTCATTATCAATAAATTGTAACTTATGTTTACGAATAAATTTAGTACCTTCTTCTGAAAGTGTTTCGTCTATTTCACCATCTAATAAATTTTGTGTTGATTCTGAGACATAATTTTTATATCTTTCTTCATGAGATTTCTGAACTTCTGATTCTGAAGCTGGGATATTCATTAAACCCTCTACTTCATTTTCATTATATTTTTCAACTTCTCTTAATTCCTTAATTTTTTCATTTATTTCATCTCTTATTTTTTTCAGTCTTTCAATTTCATCGTATTCATCATCTTTAATTCGTTCTTCATAATATTCGGGAAAAACATCAGGTTCTTTAGGTTTTTCTTCTTCAGATGTGGGATATAAGAAATTTATAACATCATCTTTATTCATTTTTCCATCATAATCTAAATCATTTAATAACTCGGCAAATTTTTGACAATTTCTTAAATAATATTTATTAACTTCATAACCCACCTCCTCTAATATATCCTTTATTTCCTCGTTTGTGAATCCTAATTTTTTAACGTTGTTAGTTTTGACGCTCATTTCATACAAAATAAAAAAATAAAATAATAAACATAACTAAGTTTTAATTTTTCGTAAGAAGTTTAACCCATTCAGGATTTAAACAATGTTTAATTAATCGCGGAATATCTGACATCATCTATATATAGCTTCTTTTATAAAAGAATTTATTTTAAAATTAATGTTAATTTTTTAATGATTTATAAATAAATATATTTTATTTTTTATTTCATTATGGTAGTGAATCTTTCATTCATGAAAATAATTATTTCTAATTTCTTTTACTCTCTCGTACATACTAGATTTGAAGAATTCGGAACATTTCCCATAATCTCCTAAATGTTTTCTTATCCCTAACGTGTGCCAGTTATTATATGAAACTGAATAAACTTTATCTTTATCTTTACACCTTTCATCACTTCCAATATATTTATATCTCAGTTTTGATTTAGCATTTTCATATTCATTAGCGTTTAATAATTCACAGTCTTCCTTTTTAAATTGATGTTTAAGATATTCAGGATTTAATACTCTACGTTTATATGCTCCTAACTTAGTTCTAAAGGTTTTTCTACAAAATTTAGGAATTCAATCCTCTTTAATATCATCAATGATTTCCATTTCATTATTTTCAATTTCTTCTTCTCGTTTATGAGGTCTTTGATTATGACTCCATTGATTCCATGAAATTAAATATTCTTTATCATTATATTTATACCTCATTAGCTTATTTTGGCTTTCATATTCATTTAATAATTCACAATCTTCATTTTTAAATTGAAGTTTAACCCATTCGGGATTTAAACAATGTTTAATTAATCGCGGAATATCTGACATCATCTATATATAGCTTCTTTTATAAAAGATAAAAAAATAAATTATTTTAAAATTAATGTTAATTTTTTTAATAATTTATAAATAAATATATTTTAATGCATCGTCTATATATAGATGTAACAAAAAAAGTCACAAAACCCATCCTATCCTACTACTTCCCCAACCGTTTCAACAGAATATGAGAAAATTAAGGTTTGTTCACTTAACATATTTATATAAAGTATATACTATCAATAAAAATGTAATCAGCTTTATTTTTGCAACCTTCGTTACAAAAAATAAAAAAGTTTGAAGAACAAAGCTTTCTAACATCTTAGAAGTACATACTTTTCTTAATGGTTAATGTGAATCTATGTTGCATGAAAACATTTATTTTTGAAATTTAAATTTCGAAATCAAACAATAAGGTATGTTAAAATAATCGCTGCTAAAACTACCGTTCGTAACACTCTCAATTTTGTATCGTTACGGGAGGGAGCGCCTGTGAATTTCAAAAATAAATGTTTTCATGACTCAAAATCTAAATATGGATATTGTTTTGTCCCCCATGGTGAATAATGTGTATTCCACTTTGGGGACACTGGTTTCAAGATTTGAGGAATTTTGTTCCTCAAGCGACATCCTTAACTTAAATAATCTTGAAACCAAAAATAAGTCATTCAATAACCATACATATACTATTCACTTTATCTATGGTACAAGATTAAAAAATTGTGTTGATAAAAAAAATAAATTCAATTTTTTTATTATTAAAACATTAATAGAACTAAAGTATACCTGCATAACATTCTTCTGGTGTTGAAGGATGTAAATCAGCTGGTGCTTCATCACCATCACCCTTTGCGTCACCACCAACCTTGTAATTTCTTCCCAATTTTACGAAAGGTTGATTTTTATGAGCGAATTCAAATTCATCTTCAACTTTCGGATAAAAGATTTTGTTTTCATCCTCGAACTCAGCAACTTTAGGTTCTATTTCATAAGATCTTCCTATCATGTGGAAAACTCTCTTGGTGAAATTCAATGGATCATTCAATGTATAACCGCCTGCCAAAAGTGCCGCGTCAAAAATCAATCTAACGTCTTCCAAAGTTGCCACTTTTTGTTCTGGTTTTAGATTTCTATATGTCATAATTCTATTGAACAAATCCTTTACAGTTGGATGGTTATAGTTCAATTCCAATGTCTTCTTGCTCATATACAGATTATCAGCCATTTGGGAGTCTTGTACCATTTGTGCACGCATCAATCTCTCGTGTGATGCTGTATATCCGTATCCTGAAGCTGTGCAAATGGCTGGAACAGTCTTGAGACGTTTTGACAAAATAACGTTCTCAATTCTGTCTCCAACCGCTTTTCTTATCCAAGGAACGATTCTGTTGAACTGGCGCTGCGTTATTCCTTCGAAAGAAGAGACGTCTTGGATCTTTTCTTCACTGAACTTGTCGCCTTGGTACTTTTCTGGTGAATCTAACGGAATTCCGTTGTATTCGTCCAATCTCTCGAAGCAGTAGACATCGATTGGCTCCAGAGCGAATAGAATCTCGTATCCTTTAGAGAGGAGATCTTGTGTGTACGGTGAGTTCTTGGCTTCTTCAAGAGATGCGGCTCCAATCCAGTAAATTTTCTCTTGGCCTTTCTTCATACGAGCAAGGTAGTCGTCCAAAGTGGTCAGTTTCTTGGGAGAATACGAGGTATAGAACATCAAAAGTTGGGATAATAATCTCTTATTCTGTTCGTCATCGACAACGCCGTATTTGATGTTGCCGCCGTACTTGGAATAGAACTCAGCGTATTGTAGAGGGTCTTCCATGAACATTTTCTTGATAAGAGATAATATCGCGGATGTTACTTTGTTTTTGATCAATTTGAGGGTGTTCTCTTTGATCAGTCTGTCTCTGTCGACATTGAGGGATAAGTCGTTTGAATCTATGACACCTTTGATGAAATGCAAATAATCTGGCAATAATTCATCGGTCCAGGAGTCAGAAACAAGGACTCTCTTGACGTAGAGCCTCACATTGCGTGTGAAATGTGAGAATAATTGGTCGGCTGGTGGAGGAACGTTTGGAATGAACAAAAGTGAAGAAAATTGAACTCTTCCTTCGAAATTCTTGTGTAAATGAACCATTGGACCCTTTGGCTCCTTGAAGAATATGGTAAAGAACTCATTGTAATCACTTTCGACCACTTCTTCCGGTTTTCTGAGCCAAATTGGTTTTCTATCGTTAACTTGTACCCATTGCCATACTGTTTTGAGTGTGGTTCCCTTTGGTTTGCTCTTCTTTGGTTTATCTGCGACCTCTTCGTCTGAACTTTCTTCGTCTACAACGACATCATCGTCATTAAAGATATCATTAGCTTTATCTTGGTCAAGAGCTTCATCAACTTGTACGTAAACTTCTTTGAAGTGCCAGATTTTAACAGGGAAATCGACAAACATGGAATAATGACGAACGATTGCCATAATACGATCTCTGTCAACGTAATTGTAACAATTGTCTTTGAGATGAAGAATAATTGATGTTCCGCGGCCAAGGGTGTTTCCACGAGGGTCTTCTGTGACGGTGAAAGAAGATGAAGCATCAGATTCCCAAATCCATTGCTTTGTATCGTTGTTTGACTTGGAAATGACAACAACTTTATCGGATACAAGGAATGAAGAGTAGAAACCAACACCAAATTGGCCAATTAAATTTGTATCTCCAGATTGAAGCATTTTTTGAAATTCATATGTACCTGACTTAGCGATTCCACCGAGGTTATTAATAAGTTCGTCTTTTGTCATACCAATGCCTGTATCTGTAATTGAAAGAGTTTTTTCTTCCTCGTTGATATCGATCAAAATTTCGAGATTCTTAGAACCCTTGTCAAGAACTGTTGGATCGCGAAGAGCTTCAAAGCGAATCTTATCAAGTGCATCATTTGCATTTGAAATAAGTTCTCTCATGAAAATATCTTTATTGTGATAGAGGTTGTCAATTAAAATACCAAGGATTTTGGTTGTTTCGGCTTGATATTCGTGAGATTCTGTTGTTGATTCAATTTTTTGTTTTTCAGCAGCGGAAAAATTGACATGGAGCTTCTCACGAAGGTCCATATCAATGTATTCAACCTTTTTATTCTTCGGGATGCCTGCTGCCCTTAGAATAGAAAAGAATAAAAATATCATAACTTTTTTTGGTGTCAAGTTTTTTCTGACCAAATACCTACCTCAATATTTTACGATTTAAATATTTAGAATAGATTCGCATTCGATAGTAGTATATGTGTTCCACATCAAATTTTTTATTCTTCATAGATTCAGATTGAATTTTTCTGAATTTTTGTTTATTTTTAAAGATTAGAATATCCATCTGCATGATGATTCAAAGATTGGATTTTTGCTCAATATTTGAAAATGCACGTTATTTTTAAATTTGTCACTTTTTGTGCGATGCCTCCAAGAAAGCTCCTTAAAACTACAAAAGGAGATGAAAATATGCACAGTAACACTAAGCTCACAAGCTCTAGAAATATTAAAGGAAAACACGATCCCAAAGAAAGTACAGATAATACAGAACCTGAAATAGATCCGATGGTATTGATTGAAGAAATGCTAAAAGAAAGTAATGAAAAGATTTTAGCAGCATTACAACAAAGACAGGAAAATCTTTCGCAAACACTTGCAAGTATTGATACTTCATCTTCATCTCCTCCGAAAAACACTAAGAAATAAATGTTATTTGTTTATTATCGTATTTGAGCCGATATTTACATATTGAATATTTGATTTACTAAATAAATATTGTAATTGTTAAGATATGAGTTAGACTATATTGTGTATTTAAAAATTATTTAAAAACTCTTTATGTAGATCAAATTAAACCTTTTATTATGTTTCAAGCAAAAATAAAATAAACAAAAATGCAAATCTAAAACAGCATTCATAATTATTCGTCTTCTCCTTCTTTCTGAAAAACGTCCTTATCGACTTTCATCGTTCCATCTGCCTCCAAAGTATAAATGTATGTAATTGCTGAATTTCCTTGAATATTAATGAGGATAAATGATGGACGAGGTTCTGGGTTTTCGGCACAGAATGCTCCTGTTGCTGATCCAGGATTTATGTATAATTTGCCATCTTTTTGATACATACCAGCTTGATGGCCTCCTCCGAAAGCCAAAATGTCAGCATCTAGTTCACGAGCCTTTGCAGCAAGACGTGCTTTATCATTTGAAGGAATAAGTGTATAGGAAGAAACCAAACCAATCTTGAAACTTCCAACTGTAACTGAGAGCTGCTCACATTCTGTAACATCATCTTCATCAAATTCTCCACGTACTATTTGAACATCGCTGCAGAATTTTCTCAGCATTTCGATTTCACTTCTCGTACAAAGGTTTCCTGTGCATAATATTTGATGAATTTTTCCTGTTGACAAAGATTCTTTGAATACAGCTGGAATACTGTAACTACGGCTTGGTATATGAAGATCGCCAATAACTAAAATCAGCATTTTTTAATTTTTTTTTTCTAAAATGTGAAACCCACATTTGGTTCCGAATAAACATGGTTTAAATCAATTCACTCCTCTAATATCTATTTTGTTTCCGTTTTCTCCATTTTCTCTACCTCCAGATCCATTTTAAATTTAGAACTCCCTACTGTTTCATAAAATCTATTCAGTAAAATTTACAATTAGTTTATTTCTATTAAATATTTACTTTTCTTTGAAGAAACTAATACTATTGTATAAGTGCTTTAAGCTAGTTTAGTATATTGAAAGAATTGAAGATATATGCTGGATATTTATCTATCAATCCTTGAACAATTAGTGAAGTTAATTTATTCTATTTATAGATACTCTCTCATATACAAAAAGATTTTATAATGATGATATCATCTATGATTGTCAATTTTTTTTAAGTGATGACAACTACTAACAAACAGGAGGGTATTCAGCTTGATGCTTTTAAAACTTCTATGGTAGAAGAATTCACAAAACTCGTTGCTGATCTTCCACAGCCAAGAACAGTTGTTTATCCAGATTATATGCATTATTATATTACTTCTACCATTGGCGCTTATTTCAGTAAAAATCCTGATGTGAAAATTGCAAGCCTAAACGCAATCAAGCAATCCGATGCACACCGCTCTCTTATTTATATAACTCCAGCTAATGCCGAATTTATTAAAGAAATTATTCCAAAATATGAGCTCGTACCAAATTACTTAAAGGCAGTATTCATTATTCCTCGCTCAAATGCTTTCGTTGAGCAAACTCTCCGTGAAAATAATTTTTCACCAGTTTATGAGCCTCCCAAAGACCTCAAAACTGATGTTTTATTGCGCGAATTTCATGCTGATTTCATGGCTGTCGATAATTTTTACTTCCTTCTTCCAATCAAAAATTGTTTTGCACATACTTTCATCCAAAACGAGTCTTCTGACATATTTTCTGTTTCCCGTGCTCTTGCCAAGATCCAAACCATCTTTGGAAAGATCCCACAAGTAGTTACAGTCGGAACTAAAGCAGAAATGGTCAGAGACTTAACTTTTGGCATTGAAAACCAATGCAATATCTCAGCATCGAATATACCTCAAATCGATACCTTGCTTATTATCGATCGTTCCGTAGATTTGATAACTCCTTTGTTATCTCAGAATACTGTTGAAACCTTATTAGATAGCGTCTTTGGAATTACTTACGGACGTGTTAACATTGATCCAATCATGATGATGAGCTCAAATAACGCGGCTATCAGAAAAACCCGTCATTTATCAATTCCTGGCTTTTCATTCGAAATTGGCGAGGCTGTAAGTAATACTATGAGGCTTCAAGCAGAAGCAAGGAATGTAAGAGGCGCAACCGACATCAGAGACAAAGCAATACAATATACGGAATTTGGTCATTTTTCTGAGAATCTTAACAAATTAAGGGACAAGGTCGACGAAGCCCTTCACATGATACAACAGAAAAGCCCTGCTGCTAGCAAAATTTACAATGCTGAAGGAAATATTCTTGACTACGGTGACTCATTTCAACTTCTCGAGGAGCATTTGATATCTATGTTCGATGACTGGCCAAGTTCGCTCAAATTAATAGCTATAGAGTCAGCAGCTGGAATTACTCATTCAGATAAGTTTGTACAACTCGTACAGCGCGAAGCGATTGCAGAATTCGGACTTTCAGCCATGGAATCAATGATGAACTTACAAAAACTTCGTCTTCTTTCATCACAAAAATATTTCTATGATTGGTCGGATCTTAAAAAGCAATTAGGACTTATCTGTAAATACGAGGTGAGAAAGGAAGACAATAGGAGAATATACAAAGAACAAGTTGCTGAAAGTTGCGAAGGATATGTCCCAATTTCAATCAGACTCGCTCAAAAAGCTGCCGAACTTACAATACCTACAATTAACGCTCTTGCTTCAGCGCCAATGGCAATGTCGGTCACTGGATCGAAGCCACAACGCGTTGAAGGAGAAAAAAGACGCGTTTTGGTATTTTTCATCGGCGGTGTGTCTCCATGCGAGGTAGGAATGCTCATAAACTTAGGAGATCAATCAGACGGAAAGGTTGAATACATCGTTGGAGCAACAGACCAAATCAACGGAAATGATTTGATCAAACAGATCTGCCCAATGCTTAACTAGATTTTTATGTCTTAAAATGGATTATTTCTTTTGTTTCACAAAAAAAAATATTTTTATCAAATTTATTTATTTAAAAAATCTATATATTTTCTTATGAAAACTATTTTTTCTAGACAAAAAGTAAATATTTTTCAATGTTTTTGATTCCTATAATAATGTCAAATCAAAGAAGGTAATTTTCAATCTTTATCATTTGAAATGATCCATAGACAATGCAAAATTATTCAATTTTATTGCATTATGATGCTATAAAATGAAATTCACTCCAAAATAAATATTTTATCTTAGAAATAGATTTATATGCTGTTTAATCTAGAGTAGTGTTTAAATGTATCAGTGTGCAGGACCTTTCTTGATGTAGAAAAAGAACTTCAACTAACTTGTAATGTTTGTAATATGCAAGTAAATTGTGATTACAAAAAGTGCTTTGATTCTATTCTACTCATCAAAACTGTAAAAAATTGGGTACTATCCACCTCAGGAAAAGAACTTTAAAAAATCAAAACAAATTTTTAATTACTTGATGATTCAACTTCTGTTGGATGCGGTGTTCTATGTGGAAGTGGAACAAAGTTGTATGGAACAGCACCAACTGCATGTGATTCAATATTGCAGTCATCAAATCTACGGTTAAACTTCATGAAACCGTTAAAGTTTGGGATACCAGTCTGCTCACCGTCGTAACGGCTTGTGATATAAAGTCGACCGTTACCGTTACTGGAGACTAACTTGATTTGATCCTTAGCTTGAACAACTTCAATTTTGTTTGTCTTGCATTTTTCTGAATTGATTCCAGAATTGCAAGCTTCATATGGAATACCGAAATTACTTCCAAAGTGTGGGATGACCCACCACCAGCGTTGAAGTCCCTTAGTGTGTGAAGAACTATCTGTGGATAGATTAAGCTTTTTCTGGCCCCAACCAACAATGGTAACATCAAGCATACCAAGAATTGTGCCCCACAATGTGTTATTGCCAACAACTTCTTCGTTTGAATCTTTTTTGAAGTAACCTGAGTAAATACCAGAATTGTATATAAAGATAGATGGGTAAACAGTTATTGAAGAAGTAACAGCACCAACTTCCCAAAGATGGGATTTGATCCATCTCCAGTTGTAAAGGAAGTAGATTGGACAACCTGTATTTGAAGCACCTGAATTGCAACTGCCGGTAAGTGCCCAGTGACGCTTGCAGTTTGACAAACCTGGATAGCATCTGTTGTCAGCGCAATTTTCTCTCGTGAAATCGGAACGTGGAGCTTGCAAATATGAAAATCTCTCTGATGATAAATCTCCTGGATTATCCCAGCCATGGAAATCCGGTGGATGATATGTCCAAAAGAGTTGGTATGCATTAACTGGAGTACGTTCAACGCAGGAATCTCCAAGCATGTCACAGTCAAGAACGTACTGAAGAGAGAAGTTAACGAATTCACCTGCCCAGCGTGAAACTGAGATTGTCATTGCAGATGTTACTGCTGGTGCCCACGAGCTGCACAAATTTGTAACATCAAAAACCGGAAATTTAACTTTCTCGACATAAGGATAAATAGATCTGCCTGGTTGAGTTCCTGAGTAATCCTTTGAATTTTGATTAGAGGCGTTAAGATCATTTGGAAAAGCAGCAACATTTGTGAGACCTGTAATGTAATTATTATCAACCCAGTTGAAGAATTCTTCGTTAGCACCAACTGGAACAGCTGAACCTTGATTTTGTGGTGGATGGCGAACTGGTGACAAGAAACGCTTTGCATCACCGACAGTCATCTTTGCAAACTTTGGATAAAGTTTTGCTTTGAATGGTGCATTAGGATCGTTGTTAATTGCATCAACCATCTCCTGTGTGATGAGGGGATCAGAATCCCTTAAAGATCCAACAAAACACAAATATATAAACATTAATCCGAAATTTTGTGATGTATAAAAAGTGGCACTGTTTTTTTTTGACTTGGCCTTCAATTCAATTCTAGTTACAGGTACCGAAAAAACTCGATAGTACGGGAAAAAACTTGATAGTACGATTATTTTCCCCTCAAATCCATGATCGCACTATCTAGTTTAATTTGAGTGTAAAAATAGAACCTACTAACTATGTAGATTCTAAAAAACTTATAATGATGTCAAAAAAATTGAATGAAATTTCATCGCTGACCACGGTTGCCATATCCCAAATGGGGTCGAGATAGGCTTTCCAGTGGTAGTAGGTGTCTTTAACTCAGCCTTCCGCCACACAGATAGAAACTATCATCTTCCATGATTGTCTATCTGCAGTAGGGGCTTTGGAAGTGCTCAAATTTCCGACCTGCTTGAAATCTTCACTCCAACTTCAAGAACATCGGGATTTTACTGTGTCAGTAGGTACAAATAACGATGTTGTTGAAGTTGGGACGGAGTGTTTCAGCGGGTATGCCAAATTTGGTATGCGGTGCTCGAAGAGCGAAACTCGAGAGTATCGCAATCAAATGCAAACAAACAAAGAGAGTACATACCGAGGATGTCATACAAATCGTAAAATATGACTCTTTGGTTTTGCAATATAAACAATTGTTTAATTTGGAATAAAAATATCGTATTTTTGCATTTTATAAGTTGTTTAGCCTTCCTTATCTGTTATTTGAAGGTTTTTCCACCTTGGACCCAAAATTCACTGAGAATTAATGAAGTCTGGGTGCTAACGTATGAAAAAATTGAGGGACTGTCACTTTTTCTACTACCGAGTATTCTGGCCACTAACGAATTTTTTAGGTACCTGTAGCATGTGAGATCCTTGAGCTGTTTGCTGTAAAGTTCGTGATATATCAAGCTTCAATTTTATATCAACATGGTAATTTGTATCAATTCTACTGCATAATTTTGATATAAGATGCATTTTTTGATAGAAAACTGATCGACTTCTTTTTTGGATCACATCATGCCAATTTATAAATTATTTCTCTAGATAATTTGTGGGGATAATATATAAATCTAAATTGTATTATATGATTTACTCCAAACTCAGCTTTCTACATATATACGCTATGCATAGTCTCTAGCCAGAGTTTTAGACCAAAATTTTGAAAATCACGCAAAAGGTCAAAATTTCTGAATATCTAATAATGGGATGTTATTGAAGTTTCACAACATTCTCATATTTTGCAATATCAGAATGAGAAAGGATATATGATCATGATTATAAAAGATTAATAGTTTAAAATTAATTTCAAAACATATAGATAATAAAGATTATTCTTCTGGGACTGCAGATTTATTGATATCACTAATATTTGGTGGATAAACATCTTGCAGGGAAGGTATATTTGTTAAGCACCATGGTTTGTTTTTAATTAGATTTTGACATTGTATTTTAGGGCAGAATTTGCACTTTCCATCAAGTAAATTATTCTTGATGACAAATGTTACAACAACAGAGAACACAATGATCATAATAGGGAATGCCAAAAATGCAGTGATTCCTCTTGCAATTGCAGCGCATTTTGTCTTTGTGTTGTTCGGAAGAAGTGCAAGAGAAAGTAAAACGCCTAAAACAAATCCTCCAACATGTTGGAAGTTGTCTACATAAGGAAGAATTCCAACAGCACCAATGAAAATTATCATGAATATCTCTGTGATCAAATAGCAAACTCGCTTTTTAATATGGAAACTTGCAATGAGTCTTGTGAGAGAAAATCCTAGCCAGCCGCATATAGCTCCTGTTGCACCGCAAATAACTGACTCAGAGATGATGTATGAAGATAAAACGTTTCCATAGAGTCCGCATAACAAGAATATTAGCAAAGCTGACCAGAAACCATTGTATCTTTCAATCTCGTAGAGAAGTCCCATGTAAACAATGTCAATAGCCAAAATTGCAACTCCTGGTTGAAGAGAAATAGCAACGAGAAGTCTCCACCACTCTCCATCATAAATCCATGGTGGATACAAAGCTCCAACTCTCATGAGAAGCTTTGCTGAAGGTCCGTAGTATAAATTCTCTTGAATGTTGTATGATTTGAAGTTTGCGAAACCTTTGTCGCCTTCTTTGTACCAAAAATAAAAAGCAAATCCTAAATGAATGGCAGCAAGTACCATAAAGCCAATTGTCCATATCAGTGGACTCTTGAGATCAATTAGGAGGTAATCTTGCGCACTTTCATTGTAATTTTTAACATGTTTCAAAGAAGTTGGGTCAAAATCTACAACTGCATCATTATTTGCAAAATCATTGCCTGATTCACTGTTTTTCGGCCTTATTTCCATTGGTTCATACATTCCTGTCATTAATTCTGTATCTTTATCTGGATTATGAACTCTTGGCTTGTTATTTAATGGCTGATTAATCTTTGTCATGAGTGAATTCTGTGCTTGCCACCAATTTGCACCATCTTGAACGCTGTCAAGCATATCATCATTATCCTCGAAATATCCTCCTTTTTTAGAAGATTTTGATGATTCTTCTTGATCACTATGTTTTATTTTGGTTGTTTTCGTTTGTTGCTTTGAATCTGATGAAATATCTGATAAATATGTTGATGATTGATCTGAATCAGAACTTCTCCAATTAGATTTAAAACGAGATTTAGCCTTTGATCTCTTTGACTCGTGTCGAGAACTATCTGGTGAATCTGATGAGTAATAGCTGCCTGATGATGAGGATTTATCACTCATATAATTTTCTGAATTCAATATATTAAATTTTTCAATGAAAAAAAATTATCTTTGCCAAAATCTTGAATACTGCGTTATTGATACTATAAAAAATTAGAAATAAAATAATTATGTCAAATTTTTGAGAGGCATTCGGGTTTTTGAGAGCGTGACAAGAGAAGTCGGGTGTATAACATATGCACAAACAATTTATATGAATGGAGAAAAAAATAGAGTCGGAATTGAAGCGGATCCAACAAAAAAAAATTAAGAAAATAAAATGATAAATATTAATTGCACACTTGTTGTAAACAGAAATTCATCAAAAGTGACACCTCAGAAAAGCTAAAATATTGAATTTTTGGAACTTTTGATAGAGCACGTTTTTAAATATTAATTAAAGTAAATGTATATTTTGTAAAGATTCTTTTTAATAAAAAAATAAAATTTTGAAGAAGAACACAAAATCTTCTGAAAAATAATATCACATAAACTCATATTATTTTCTAATATATAACTATTTTATATAAAAATCAAATTCAATGATCTTAAAAGCGAAGGATAAACCTCAAAATTTACGAATATAATGAGTGGGAATATAATGCTTATCTATCATAAAACCATATGAAATATCAATTTTTGCTTTACGCCTATTCCCACTCATTATATTCGTAAATTTTGAGGTTTATCCTTCGCTTTTAAGATCATTGAATTTGATTTTTATATAAAATAGTTATATATTAGAAAATAATATGAGTTTATGTGATATTATTTTTCAGAAGATTTCATTCTATATGCCTATGAAAAGTACTCTCAAAACTAACTTTTTCTTAATTATAATTAAATCTAGAATATTGTATTATGCTTAGTATTATTTCATTTTTCTCATTCAATTTAGAATTTACAAATGTCAAAAAATTGAGAGCTGTCACTTTTGATGAATTTCTGTTTATTACACACTTAGGCTGTGTAATGACAGGGTATTGATTTTTCTTTATTGGTGTTTTTCTGGAATATCGCCAAATAATCTTATGAAGAAATAGCATTATCACATTATTTTAAGTTATTACATGAACTGCGTGGCATGATTTCAATAGTTTGAGTAAATAATTTGAAGAATTGAAATTTGTTGGATTTCATTCCAAGTCGAAATGAACTTTTAATTCCAAATTCAGGCTTCTTGATGATTTTAGTCTTGATATTCATAAAAGAAACATGTTTTTATTGGGGAAAATTTCACAAGACGATATGTAAAGTCTTGGTCCCGCCTTTGAAATGACAACTCTTGATGTTGATATTCTCCACCCAACTGTTGAGCAAGAAGCTCACACAAACAAGAAGATGACACTCGTTCCAAATCCACGTTCCGAGTTCCTCTCCCTTCGCTGCCCATCCTGCACAGGACTTACAACAGCATTCTCACACTCTAACGTTCCAGTTTTCTGCAAGAACTGCCAGACACCACTTGCTACACCAACAGGCGGCCGCATCCTTCTTGCTGATCAGGTCGAAATCCGCCCAAGAGTTAATGCTTAAATTTATTTTAAATATGCTTTATTAATACTAATATTATTGAAATATTTACCCCAGACATTTTTTACCACGAATTTCTCTAGTACAACCTCTTAATTTTTAATTTTTTTATTCGAATTTATTTAGATAGGAGCTTCCATCTTACAGATACTTAGCCACTTTATGAAAGGAATAATTCCACCTGTTTTTGATTCTAAATTCAAGATAACGATAATAAAAATTTTGATATTGCAATAAGATTATCGAAACATTGTTATCTTAATTAAACGCATTTGACCAAATTTGTATTGGTTGTATAAATGTATTAAATTCTTGTATATTTAAATTATAAAACTTTTTACTCAAGAACTTCTTTGATTTCCATGAAACTTTGTGTATGTCCGCAAACAGGACATTCCTTTGGAGCTTCTATTGCCTCTGTTGTATAGCCGCAGTTACGGCACTTCCATTGAACAACACGAGTCTTCTTCCAAACAGTTCCTGTTTCAACCTGCTGAGCAAGAAGAGCGAAACGAGCTTCATGCTCCTTCTCAACTTGAGCAATCAAGCGGAATTTGTTAGCAATCTCTGTAAAGCCTTCTTCTTCGGCAATATCGGCCATATGTGGGTATGTTTTTGTCCATTCTTCATTTTCACCATGTGCAGCATATTTAAGATTCTCGAGAGTTGTTCCGATTGTATAAGAAGGAATTGTCATTTGAACATGGACTTCTGGATTAGCTTCCTTGAGGAATTTAAGGAAAATCTTACCGTGTTCTCTCTCATTTTCAGCTGTTTCAAGGAAGATAGCAGAGATTTGCTCGAATCCTTGCTTCTTTGCCTTGCTAGCGAAGAATGTATAGCGAGTTCTAGCCATGCTCTCACCAGCAAAAGCAATAGCAAGGTTCTTCTCAGTACGGCTGCCCTTAATTGGTATTGACATCGAAAAAATGTGATTTAATTCTGTAACGTATTCAATTTTTACAATGAAAAGAGAGTTGAGAAATTGATACAAAACTATACCAATAATTTGAATTTAGCACCACATAGCTATGATTAATGATATCCCTGCACGATCAGATTTTATTTTTAATTAGCTAGATATTTTTGACAAATTTACGTGTCAATTTTCTATCGATCTGGAATGCATGAAACCTTTTTTGTATCAAAGAAGTCTTAAAAATGAGACAAAGCATCAGAGAACAGTATGAAATTCAAACGAATGTGTGAAATGTAATTTGTCAGCAGTTAGTCACATGATGCATAGTCTGCACAAACTACACATATGTTTTGTAGTCTTGGTGTATAGAAAAGTAATGTACATAAAGAGATATAGAGAATCAAATTTTTCAAATTCGTTTATGATTCAAAAATAAACTAATTATTGAGTAGCGTATATAAAATAAGAATGATCTATCCTGTTAAAATTTTGTAAAATCCTCCAAAAAAATCACAATTTTAAAAATCTGAAATCAAAAAGTATATTTTTCGAAGCGAAATAAAAATAAAAAGTGAATTTTTTTATAAAATGGATGTTTTTCTTGAAGAACAAAGGCTTAAAAAGCTAAGAGAGGATTCAGTTATCGGAAAGGGACTCCAGAAAGACCTTGAATGTAGAAATAGCGACGAAAGACAGCTTGATTTCGGGATTTATTCTTTAAATAATTCGATTGACCAAATATTATCAATCTTTGAAGAAAATCCTGAAGACGAAAATGCATTATTTGAAAATTTTGTCATCTTTTATGTTGAACTTACAGGTTTCATTGGATATATCGAAATTTTTATCTCCAAATATCAATACATTCCAGCTACAACATTCAGAAACTCGAATATTCATGACAAATTTTTAAATTTGCTTCATTATAACCTTCCAATTTCAATTATTAATCAAATTTTATTCATATTTTCGCAGTATTATTTCAGGAACGAACATTTAATAAGAATTATTATGTCTACAAACTATTCCGAGTATGTGTTTCAGTCAATTTTCAATAATACAGCAAATTATTCTACATATAGGTACATTGTTTCTTCAATTGATCGATTAGCAGCAAACAACTATGACATGTACAAATACATTGTTGACAATGACCTGGTATCAAAAATTTTTGAATGGAAAGGAATTCTTGAAAATGCTTTGAAAAATCAAACTGAAGAACCTCATGAGCCTGAAGAAAATCAAAATGCATACGAGACGCGTGCTCAGCCACTTATTGATGAAAATGATATAATTTGGTTCAATATTTCATTTACAAACATTATTTCAGCATTATTTAGGATTACAGAAGCAATAAGTTATGCATCAGACTTGATTCCGAAGCTTAGAGACTTCTTGACCATTCCAAATCCGATAATTATTTGTAATATCTTCAGAGCAATAAGATATAGCATCAAAATATCACCGGCGCAACGTGATCATTTTTATACTTATAATTATGATCGAGATATCATCGATTTTATCAAAAATCCAAAAGATTTTTCAAATTTCGATGTTGACATCGAAGCTTTCATGGCTCTTTGCTTCTTATGCCAGAATGACGATGCTGCATGTGAAAGATACCTCACAGTTGACTTCTTTACAAGTCTTGTTAGATTAACCAATAACAATCCAAGAGATTTAGATCCGTTCCTATTTAATCTTTCAATGTTGGTCATCGAAAACGATTCTGTTATTTCAAATTTCGTTTTTTCGCAACTTTTTGAGTCAGTTTGCAATTTGTTCCAATCCGAAGCTTTTGTTGTTCGTATCGATTCACTAATGGTACTAACAGCCATCCTGAAGAAATCACAAGACTTTGACATCTTAAATACGATTCTTCATACAAATATTTTGGATTGCTTCGAAATTATGGAATCTGTTGATGATAAAAGCTCTATAATATATTTCCAAGAAGCAATTGAGAACGTTTTGAACTATTCTTTGAGAAATAATAAAGATGATTGGATAGAAATGATAAAAGAGAGAGAATTCATTTATCCTCTTGTTCAGGAACAATTAGAAAATGAAGATCCTGAAATTCAATGGCATGCAGAAAATTTGATAAACTTATTTGAAGAAATAGGAGTTACTGACTAATTCTTTATTCATATAAACCTATAAACTGTTATATTTTTTAATTTTGACTTTGTTTTGATTTTTTTGTCATGTAAACTAAGAAATTTTGTAAACATTAGAAATGCAGGGAGCATCGAAACTGGAACAAATTATTCAGAACGAAGACCAAATATGCAAACTTATCCGTGGCAATTTCCTTAAAATACAGGGCGAAGTAAGACAAAATCGCGCGAAAGAAAAACCATTATCCGAACAAATTCAATTTATTATTAATCAAGTCTTTATCAACGTCGGACAACCTGTACAAATATTAAAGTCACTCGGTATCCTGATTTTTAATAAAGCAATTGCATTTCAATTTTCCGTATTTACCGCAAATATTATTGTTCCAAAAACTATTATGATACAGAAACTCAAAGCAGAGAATTGGAAACTTGCCGGTACGTCATACGATCAAAAAATTGCTTCATTAATTGGACAAAATGAATTAAAAAATTGGACCGCTTTTGAATTACCAGATAATTGTCCGCTAGTCCATTTTATAGAGTCAAATCCTAATTTAATTGCTTCAGAAGCTTGCTTTGGCCTTGATACTCATCCAAAATTCCCATTCATTGGTCCAGGTATGCCACCTGAAGATGTGCTGATAGAACCGCATTTCCCATTAGTTTCAATTCAGTATGAACGAGTAACAGAAAATGAATTAATTCTTCATTACGAACCATCTGGAACTACACCAATAAATAAGAAGTCCTGGAATATTACACCAGCAAAGCATTTCGAAATTGTTTGAATTTTCTTCCCTTTGTAATTTATTTTTTATTAGTAATTGTAAAACGTTTTTATATTCTCTCGGTATATCTTTCTTTTAATGTGGTTTAGAGTGTAAGAAGATTCTAGTTACATAGTCCCAAAAATTCCTGATATTCAAATATGAAAAATAAAAAACTGGATACTACTATGAACCATTGAAATTTTACTCATAATATGGTAATTTAAATTGCAAACATGATTATATTAATGAATAGACAGAGGATGATAATTTTATCAATCTAAAAAAACACTATTTTTCTCCAATTTAAAAATGAATGACATTGATATGTGTTTTTATATTAAATTCTAATCTTAAATTTAGATAAAGCCTAATATTAAAAGAAATTTGAATCTCAAAGAGGAAATAACCTAAAAACAACCATTGAATCGGCCATTTCATCAATAATTCAGATTACTAGCATGCCTAGATTTTGAAATAATTAAGAATTTGGCTCCATTACATTGGCAATTAACTCAAAAATTATTTAAATGCTTAGATGACCACGAAATCATATACAATTACTTAGCCTATCAGATTATTAATAAGAGTTAGTCCTTGTCGTAGATTAAAAACTTTACACTTTTCAAAAAATTGGCGTTAGTTCAGAAATAAACGTTGTTATTCAAAAGTGATCGAATAAATGCTGTTCATGATAAGAGGTTCGAAAATATATGAAAAATGATAAAATATAATTGTAAAATGGGAATATATTGATTTATCAATGAGATTAGAAGAATATGTAGTAAAATTAAAATTTGAAATTGGATCGAAATAAGAATTTCGCTTCGCCGTTAATCATAATGACTTTATTGATTGATTCTTATGCAAAATATAGCAATCACGAAGAAATATACTGTACGAATGGTATCGAATGATGCGATTGATAATTTCCATCGAAATTTTCGATTTAATGATCAATTTCATATTCATGATGGTATACTGATATAGTATGAATAAAAGATTTAAAAACCTAATCCTCTCTATAAAATATATTTTCAAATTTAGACTATTTAATTACAAATACCTTATATGTATAGTTTATTTATTTTTGAGGAAATCTAGATTCAAAAGTGATTTAAAAATTTGTTTGAATTTACAGGAAATCGTTTGAAAATGATTCATATGGCCTGATATGATATAAAATTATTATCAAATAAATTTACAAATATCATATAAAAAACTCTTAAAAAATAAGATTAGCTATTTAATATATTCGGAAGCAATAATATCTTATAATAAAATTATTTTATTAAAATATAAATATTTCAATTTGATTATAAATTTGAAGAGTAAAAAATTTCAAGTTAAATGCGAATCTCCATTTGATTTTCCTTTTTATTAGCCATCATGATATTCAAATCCTTAATTCGTTTCGTTGAGGTTGAATAACTTTATTTTAAAATTATTTGTTTAAAAAATACTGATTATATGATATATATGTGCATTACATAATTGACCAAGTAATTCAAATCATTCTTTCAATTTAAAATTCAATGCATGTTCGATCATTGCTTATTATAATTGTATCTTGTAAAATATAAACAGGATTTTTAATTTGAATTGTCTTAATTTTGAGAAGAAATGTCAAATACTATACATCTCAGCTTTTTCATAAATTTGATATCATATTTGATTCAATTATTGATTTATGATATTATTTTAAATTTCATTCCCATCAATTATCGCAATTCAAATTTTAATCATCGGTGTCTCTCAAATAATTTATCCGAACAATTTTATCAGACATCAATACATCAGCATACTCTAATAAAATTTTTAATGGCACGTTATTGTTGGCCAACGTCAATTTTTATAGTTCTCAAAAAATTCTTTATCGTTCACAAATTCCAACGGAGTTATTTGTTTTATGATAGCCCTCCAGAACCAAGCTGACTACAATGAATATTTAAACCTTCGTGCTACTCTTGAAAAGAACAGGATTCAAGATACTAACAGGTTACAGAAGAAACGTGCATTTACTGTCTGCGAAGACGCCATGATCAAATTTCTCGCAAAACATTATAATGGAGATATAAATTGGAAGGAAGTTGCTCAACAAATCCCCGGAAAATCCACTCGTCAGTGCCGCGAAAGATACCAGACCTACCTTGCACCCGGAATTAATATTGCTCCATGGACCAGGGAAGAAGATGACCTTCTGCTTAAAAAAGTTACTGAGTTAGGTTCTAAGTGGTCAATTATCGCTCAATTCTTTAATGGACGATCAGCAAATTCGTTAAAGAATAGATACAACGTACATATAATACACAGAGGACGTAATTCCAAAATGCATAGCGAGCCCTCCTCTGACAATTCCTATATTCAATCATCAACTCCCGAGCCAGAAATTATCAATCAGCCTCAAACCTTTAGGTATCCTCCAATTTCAAACCTTATTCAAATAGCTTTGGGTACAAATGGCATGCCAGTGGATATCTATCAGCATATTTATGTTCCTCCGTGTTAATTTCAATTCATTTTTTATTTTATACTTTTGTTTTTATTACTTCATTGTTTATTATATTCCATATATAAAAATAACCATTTTAAGCTTCTATCTTTAAAATTTTTCCTTTACAAATTTTTCAAAAACCCATAAACACGAAATTTATGACGATGTTTGCGTATTGAATTTAAAGAACTATTAGAAGTTCATATCGATTTTTTACGATTCTAAAAAATGGAGAAATTTTCTCAATACAAATATATGAATATAACCTGTTTGAGCTGAATATTATAAACGCTTAAGATAGTTGTATCTTAATTACTGAAGAGTGAAATAGAATTTATGGTTATAGTCATTATGCATCGAAGATTTCATTATCACAGTCCTAAATCTGGTAATCTACTGATAACAATTGAATTAATCTATATAAGTATTGAATAATTATGATGATAACTTGTCTTAGATCAAGTCTTGGACAATACGATTATCCCTTCCGAATAGGTTTCATTGCTGAGGTTGAAATATATTTGTTCGTTTGATTTTTGTTAAATTAATGCAAAAAGAAAATAAATTCGTTCTTGATATTGTTTCGGAAATATGGAAACCGATTAAAAAACAAAAAATAATATTACAATCATATTTACTCACACAAAAACTATAATATTTTAACAAATATATCGCAAAATTTTGCATCCTCAATATAAATTAATTTTTTTGATGAGGACTTATTAAAAATTTCTCTATTACTTCCTCTTGCTTACTTTAGCAGGCGAAAGGTTTTGAGGCGTCATGGCACCTCTTCTAATTAAAAACTGGTCAACGGTGTTCAAACTCGTCATATCTTCCGGTAGAGCCACTTTTCTCTTTTTTATTCTTGGCGACGGTTGTGAAGATTTATAACGATCAGTACTCATTTCTTTTTGTTTTTCAATCTGTTGCGGTTGTTGTTCAACAGATTTGTTTCTTTCCTGATGCCTATGGTGATGATGGTGGTGATGTTTCCTTTCAACACTTGAAGATCTTCTTACAGCAGCAGCATTTGATTTCTTTCTTTCTTCACTTTGATTTATCATTTGTTGTTGTTTCTTTCTTTGTTCTTCTTCCAATCTACGCTTCCTTTGTTCTTCTTCTGCTGCTCTTCTCTTCATCTCTTCTTCCATCGCTTTTCTTCTTTGTTCTTCTTCAACTTTTTGTTGTTGTTGTTTTACATCAACTGATGGTTTTCTTTCTTCTTTTGATTTGTTGAGATCTATTTGGATGATTCCAGCTGTTGGTTGATGAGGAAGAGGCTTACGAGATGCTTGGCTCTTCTTCATCTTCTTTTTAACAACTTTCTTCGTTCCTTTCTTAACAACGCGTTTCTTTGATCGCGATGCTTTCTTCGGTTCGTTATCTTGAATTGTGACTTTTTTGTCGTCGGCAACAACCATGTCAATCGTGTTTATTGGGGCTCCTACGTCAGGCAATGTTACTTGTGGCTTGATCATCTTTTCTTGGGAGCCAACTGTTGCGAATTCGCCACTTTTTACGGCATCAACTGAGAAGTATTTTTGATCAGAAGAAAAAGTGGCGTTAACAGCGTAATTTTGACGTCTCTTGTGGACAGTACGACGTGGAACAGCACCATCCATTGTGGAATATGGTACTTCTGACCAGTCGTATTGATAATCGTAAACCCAATTTTGGCTTATGAAATAATTTCTGAAAAGTGAACGATAAGTGACGTAATCTGGTTCTTGTTCGAAAGATAAGCCACGAGCCATAACCAGAAACTGTGCAAATACAGAAGGAAGGCCTTGGCATAATACTTCTGGACTTGTTTTACGTTTTGACTCACAAATCTTGGCGTATTTCTCTTTCCTATCTTTGGCATCAATTCCCATCCATGGAAGTGATCCTTTACATAGGTAAATTAGTACATACGCAAGTCCTTCAATATCATCACGACGAGACTGCTCGTAACCAGCAAGAGCATTAATAGAAGCATATCTTGCGGTTCCTGTAAGTGATTTTCCTGATGAAAATTTTATATGTTGATGCGTATTTTGGTCTCTGTAACGTTTGGCGAGGCCATAATCGATAATATACAGTTTATTTGCGCAGTTACCTTTGCCCATCACAAAGTTGTCTGGTTTTAAGTCACGATGAATGTAATTTTTTGAATGAAAAAACTGAACAGAAGTAATCATTTGTTCTGCAAGCATGCAAACAGTCTTGACCGACATGTGACGATTGCATTTTGTAAGAAGGCCTTCTAAAGAGTTGCCTAATAATTCGATTACGATTACATTTCGATCGAAATCTTCTGCTTGATAAAATAATCGTGGTATATTTGTCGAACCAGCCATAATTTGATATATTCTCGCCTCAAATAATAGTTGAGGAACTGAAACGTTATTATCTTCGACTTTGACTGCATATCTCTCTCCAGTATCTTTATCAATTGCAATATATATCTGTCCGAAGCTACCTTGACCTATTTTTTGTTGCAGGATATATTTATTGTCCACAATATTATCCATTATTCTGCAACAAATAACAGAAAAAGTTTAGATTTTTTTTTCCCAAGAAAATTTCCAACGGGAAAAATGATGTGATAATTCAAATGTGTGGTTGCTATTAATGTCTTTTTGAGAAAATTTCTAGAACGGCTACAAATTCAATCTGAAATGGGGTGAAGAATTGCATAAATTGACTTAAATATTAGATGAGATGGATACGTTAAAGAAGAGAATCTTGAATAGATCACCACTTATGATTAATCATTTTCAAAAATCAATTGATTTCAAGATTATTTCAATTATAAACTTAAAAATAAATCAAAACAAAGAAACTAATGAAATCTCTACATTTGTTTTGATTGCCTGAGATTTCGGAATGAGAATGGTTCCTAACTCTGACAAAAGCAATTTCGATATTGATAATGAAGGTGAGCCTAATTTCTATACTGTATCTTGGGTAAAAAAAATCCTTACATAAGATGTAAGGATTCATTGAAAATTAACCTTAAACGCAAGAATTGAAAATATTGTCAGACGGAGAAAAAGTGTATCCTTAACAAATATCACTATTTATTATTTCACAAAAAGATATTCTTTATTTAATTTTCATTCTAGCAATCATTGCATTGATAGTAGCACCATATGAAATTAGAAGTTCCGCTGTTTCTTGACTATTTCTATGTGTTGCAAAATTAAAAGCGTTGTATCCAGTTTTATCTTTCTGATTGATATTTACACCATAAGAAATGAGGAGTCCAACTGTTTCTTTACTATTATGTAATCCTGCAAAATGTAGGGCAGTTAGTTCATTTTTAACTTTTTCACTAATATTCGCGCCATTTGAAATAAGAAGTTGGGCAATTTCGTAATGATTAAAACAAGCCGCAAAATCGAGAGCAGTATATCCAGAGTCATCTTTCTCATTGATATTTACACCATATGAAATAAGAAGTTCGACCGTTTCCTTACTATTATAATATGCTGCCCAATGAAGCGCAGTTTTTCCGTAAATATCTTTTTTATTGATATTTGCATCATGTAGAAGAAGAAGTTCCACAATTTCTTTACAATCATTAATTGTTGCAAAATGAAGAGTTGTTTGTCTGTGAGAATTACTCACATTGATAAATGCACCATGTGAAATGAAATATTCGCATAGAGATGCAATTTCAAACATTCCTGAATAGAGTAAACATTTGTTAAAATTAAAATAGTCTTTGTAATTGTGATCAGAATAGACTAACATTGATTCAAGATTATTATACTGTGCACAATAAAATAAATCGATCCCTATATTGTGTTCCTTCATCAAAAATGTAACAAAATCAATGTTGTGTGAAATAATTGCATATTCCATACATTCTTCATCTGGTTTTTGATATTTCAAACATTCACTCAAGATCTCTTTGTTTCTGCCTAAAAATGAAAATTGAAGGCATGTTTGAGTTATTTTTGAGTTAAATTTCACTCTTAAAAACTTGAAACAATCAATTGCTCCGTGATAACAACATAATTCAAGTAATGAATATCTTGCTTTAGATTCTGGATATAAACTGCTCTTGAGTTTTTTATTTTTATTAAACCCTTCTCTCTCCGTGAATGAGATGAATATATCTAGGTCATTATACATAATTGCTCTGTAAATTGTATCTTCTGAATGAACATCGAGATTTGTTAATTTAATTTCGCCGAAACCTTGAGAGTTGTTTAATTTAATTCCATACTCTTTATAGAACAGGAAGTTTGAAATATTTATGATATCACTGACCTCGTTGACATGATATTCATCAAATATTAATTTTGCAAGTTCCAAATATGACTTTGCATAGCGATTATTATACAGAATGATATTTAAAATATTTTTAATAACATTTTTGGGATGGCATTTCTTGGAATCAATCAATTCCATTTTGATCATTTTGTAAATTTTCCTTAATTCTTCCTCATTTTCCGTTTTTAACTGATATAATGCAATATATGAATCGATATAGTATTTATAGATACTTCTCAATTTACTGTATTTTATTGGAGGAATCTTTGGATATGGCATCAAAAAATATAAAAGTCTTAGTTTTGCATGTGAAAAGCATTGACTGCAGATATGTTTTATTAAACACAACTAAGCTAGTAGATATGTAATGAATACATCACAGAACTAAAGTCGAACGCATTAAGATATTGTAATTTCATCCATAAACTATTATTATTTTCAAATAATGTGCAAAATTTATTCACTTAAGTCATAAAATTAAGTATACATTCATGGATGATATATAATGAAGATTATATGTTAGAATTATTTTTTACGTAAGAATATGCATCAAGCGTTTAAATATCACTTAGAATCTTGAAGTTAGTATTATTTATACTTGTATCATGTATAGTTTTTGAATGATTTATTAATTGGTGTGGAAATATGTTTAATTTCAGCCTCGATGAGGTGTGGATTAATAATGTTGTTCGGTTCTATAAATATTCATGGTTCTTTTGGCCATTAGTATAAATTTTACATATGCTCACTGAAAAATACAATACTGAAAAAAATTGAATAGGCCGAAAAAACGAACATTCATGGAGAAGGGGCTAATTCAAGTAGTTCCGGACTCCGTCCACTTTAGAGACTTAAAAGCAGGTGAGTCCGACTCGATTCAAGTTTGGGCCACTAATTGTGGAAAGTCTCCGATGCCAATTAGATTCAAACTTTCACCAAATTCACCATTCTTACTTTTCACACAGCCAACAATTATTGTCCCACCCGGACTCGAAGTGAATGCTACAATTAAATATTCGCCAAAAGATGATCAGCCAAAATCTGCTGAACTTTTTGTTGAATGCCCAAAGCAAAAGATTTCAATTCCAGTCACAGCTACACCTCCAAGTCCTAGAATTGTTCCTGATACACAAAATATCAGACTAGGATCTATTCCTACAGATTTCGCCTACAAGTTCGCATTTTCAATGACAAACATTGGTGTAAGAGAAGGCTCATTCGAATTAAAATGGGAAAATGATATACTTTCTCTCAGCCCTTCAAGTGGAAATATTGCACCAAGTAAATCTGTCGAAATTTCTGCAACAATTAAGATACCTCAGCCAGGTCCTGTTACTATAAATCTCAATGTTAATGTCAAAGGATCATCAGAGCAAGTAAAACCAATCGTTATTACAGCAGAAGCAGTCGCTCATACTTTATCTCTCTCATATCAAGGAAAATCCATTAAAAGTTTCGATTTTGATACAGTCTTCTTTGGACAGAAACGTATTATTACAGCACAGCTCATAAACAATGGAGCTTCAAAAAGATCATTTGTGATTTTAGGTTCAGAAGACACCAACAAGGGAAAAGCCAAACCTAAACGACCTGCAGAAGAAGAGATTGTATTCAAAGCTTACCCATCTGAAGGAACTCTTGAGCCAAATGGAAAAATGGATATAGATTTCCAATTTATTCCTCCGATTCCATCCAAACCGATACTAGAAGATATAGATTTACAATTCAACCAAGTAAATACAATAGAAGTCGTGGAAACCGGACAACATTTGGAATTTTCAATGTCCGGTAAGGGAGTTCAAAGTTATTTGAAGCTATCTTCGTATGATTTTGTCTTTGACAAGTGCGAAATCGAAGCAAAAACAGTCAAAGAACTTACAATCTTCAATACATCAAAATTCCTTCCGATTGAATACAAAATTGAGCCAATTGCTCACTTCAGATTCGAGCCTTCCAAAGGTACAATACCAAAGGAATCATCATCAGTCGTAAAAGTGATTTTCTTCCCTAAAAATTACGGTGAATTCAATTTCAATACAAATGTCACTTTTAACGATGGTTTAGTTGTCAAAGAAATCAATTTAATTGGAGTTTGTGGGCAATTATCAGACAAACCATTTAGACGTGTTCCTGTTTACGAAACCAATGAGAACGCGAAATATTCCGCAGAACATCCAGACAGAAGGTTTACTGATGGTTTGGAAGGAATCAGACATTCCAGTCAAATGAGAGAAAGATTTGATGGATACATTACTGAGTATGCAGCCAAAAGAGAGTCAGTAACTCGTCTCCAACAGTTGAGATCGAAACTAAAGAGCGAAGGCGAAGAATACCTCAAAACAACACAAGGACAATTCACTAAAGAAGATTTGAAAGAATACGTGTCAACACAAATGAAAACTCTTAAGTCAAAACAAGCCGAAGAAGAAGAGAAAAATGATGATTTGTATAACGGTTTGCAACCACCCGAACCAAAGATTTTGGACCCTTCAAATCCTTTGTATTTCTCAAATACTTCAAAAAACGGTTATTCCTCTCAAAATGGAGATGATCCCGATCAAGTTTTGAATACAAAACGATCGCATAATGATGAGAATGTTCTTATCAAGAAGAAATTCAAACCGAAGCCAACAACACCTGCAGAAATTAATGAATGTTCTAAACCATTAACACCAGCACAACAATTATTGGTTTCTGCAAGTCATCAAACTGTTAATTTTGGCCATGTTTCTGTTTATTCAACATCAGCTAAATCATTTACAATAACTAATAACTTGCAGCAGCATATTGTTGTTTCCATGAAATACGAGTACGAAGAATTATCGAAATCATCACCATCATCACAAGTAATTTTGCCAAAACAAACTGCTGGTTTCGATATCAGATTCTTCAGTACAAAACAACAGAATTTCATGAGAACAATACAATATACAATCAACGGACATCATAATTACACATTTAATGTCTCTGCGCAAGTTGTTCCAATAGAATTACAATTATCAAGACAGATGATTGAATTCAGATTTTCGCCTGACTCTGTTTCACCTTACATCAAGGAATTCGTGACAATTATAAACAAATCGAATTCTATTGCTGAATATTCGTGGACAGGGTTAACTCCGGTTTTCAGTTTATCACAAACAAGTGGTAAAATCGATCCTGATTCAACACAAAACATCGAAGTTACTTATTTCCCACAAACTCATTCCCATGATGAAGCAACTTTGTTGTTGAACGTTTCAGGAGGTCAAACGAGATCTCTTAAATGTGTTGGTGATATTGGAGCTCCTAAATGTTCATTGAACAAGAAATTCGTCAATTTGGGATTGATACCTATCGGAATATTAAAATCTCAAGCACTAAGAATCAAAAATTCTGGTGATGACGATGCAATATTCAGCATTTCTTATGATAACACTGCTGAATTACAGATTATTCCAATGAATGGTCGTATTCCTGCACATGATTCACAGACATTACAATTGAATTTCAAGTCAGTACATGCTGCTGCATTTGATTTTCCTGTTAATATTCAAATCGCTGGTTCCAATCCATTGACATTTAATGTTACAGGACAAAGTGAATTACCACATGTACAATTATCTGTCAATGCTTTCGAGTTCGGAAGATTGTTTGTTGGTTCGAGTTCTTCTATTGAAGCAACAATACAAAATACCGGACAAATTCCTGCGATCTTATTCTTGGATTTAAGTGCACATCCTGATTTTAGAATTGAATATTCAACAGAACTCGCTGATGGAGCAAATAATGAAACGACAAACTCAATTTCTTTAGTTTCGAATCCGATTTTCGTTACTAAAAATGAGTATTTGCCAACAACTGAATCTACTTCAACAGCCATTGAGAGTCAAATCAATGAATCACAAGCAGCAATCTCTGAAACAAGTGATGATGACAATAACGGGTTGGTTTACAAGTTCTATTTATTAGAAGGAACATCAATAAAGTTCAATCTTGTTTTCCAACCTTCAACAGCTGCCGAACATTCATTTGAACTTCCTTTCACGATGATGAATGTTATTTCAGCATCATCTTTCCATTTACAACCAATTGTAAGTGCTGAAGCCATCAAAGCGCCAATAACTATATCAAGTACTGCATTGGATTTCGGAATCATGCCTATTTATAATCCACAAAATCCACATGCAAGATCAATTTCTCGTGTTATCAGTTTAGTAAATGAGAGCAAAAATCCAATTCCTTGGAGAATTGATAACTCAGCACTTGGCAATCCAGCTGCTTTCTCTTTCGAGCCATTCAATGATACAATAGCTCCTGGAGCAACAACTGTTGTTCACGTGTTATTCACAGCAAGAGAAGCTGTTCCTTATAACGTTCATTTGCCACTTTTAGTTAAAATGGCAAAAGAAAAAGAAGAATCAATGGTCAGTGAAATCCAATTAGCAGGTGTTGGAACATCAAAGCTCTTCTCAATATCCCAGCCAAATGTTGTTCTCCCGATTGTTCCTTTAGGCGTCAAATCTCAAATGACAGTTTATGTAAATAATGACGGTTTTATCGGTTCAAATTTGAGAGTACAAACATCAGCGAGCGAAACAAGCTTCCCAGTAAAAGTCAGTTTCCCTGATGGCAATCAGTTGTTGCATACAACTGTTAAACTACCTGTTGTCGTCAGTTTCCAGTCGAACAAACCAATGGCGTTCAGTACAATGATAGGTATAATTGACGACAGTGGAAATGGTTGTTCATTCACTGTTACTTGCGCAACAGATAATTCTGTTTTCACTTTGTATCCGTTCTTTTACTCAAACAAACCAGAAATTAAGTCTTCTAAAGGATCTCCAATAACTATTGATGCGAAAACAATTGAAACATCTTCTTTCCTTCCTTGTAGATTCCTCAACGCTGCAGATATAATTGAACTTAAAGGTCAAGAATGGAAATCAACTTATAATCCAAAAACTGTCAAATTTATTTTGAGATATTTGAATGCTTTATCGGTAAATACTCAAATTTCTGACTTCCCTGGCGATTTCATAAGAAACAACGGGTCCACACTATTAGAACTGGTTGAGAACATATCAGGAGGAAGACGTCCTAATGTGGATAACAGCGAGAAAGTGAAAGATGACATAAATTCACGACAACTCGACGCAATGAAGAAAATTGTCAGATTTTTGCAATCAATGGGATGTTTAGTTAGCCATATTAAACCAGAGTATCTATTAGATAGACAAGAATTCGTCAACGTCATGAGATACAGAATAACTAAACAGCTCCTTGGAATTGACTATTTCAACGCTCCAAGTTTGTCTTCTTTTGACCAAACAAAATTAAGTGAATTCACAAATTCGAAGTCATTCTCCAACGCTTTAATGCAGAGATTAAAGATTGCTGAGAATTTCTATTCAGAGCTAAGCAATGAGTGTTGGATGTTCATCATCATGCAGCTGTTCAAAGTTTTCATTGTTGGAAGAATCGATCAAGAAAGATTGAATCAACAACCTGGATTTTCTGATGCAGTAAAATCATTGACACAATCTACATCGAGATTCGCCAACATGGATGACACTTTGAATGAGATATGCAGACCGAACAAGAATGTTCCTTTGTCCAACATTTATTCAACCGCTGAATGCACATTGTTAAAATGGATTTCAGTTCATTCTTGTGTTCAATACCAAGATTGGCAGAAATCTGTAAATTGTTTTGATGCTTTATCAGATGCAACATGTTTTGCAGCCCTTCTTAAAGCACATACAACTGCTTTAAAGGTACCTCTTCCTAACCCTTTAGTTGATCATTCAACACCTGAAGACAACGCGATTTTATTCACTTCTTCATTGAAATCTTTGAAATTGGCTTTCAGTCCAACAGCCGATGAGATTTCTTCAAAGAGTGATTGTGTGTTGGCCATTGTTTCAGCTTATCTGTTTGAGACATTGCCAAGATTCATTCCTATCTCTCAAGTTGACTTCACAACAACTTTGCACAAAACAATTTCAAAAGCTGTTCAAATTCAAAATCCTTCGAAAGCAGAAATAACTTACAAAGCGGTTTTAGAAGGATCTGCTGCCTATTCACTTCCTAATGACTGTCTCGTCATTCCTCCTAACTCTTCCGCAGACTTGAATGTCATTTTCACTGCCAGAACAATTAAGAAACAAACAGCCAGATTGATTTTGACACCTTTGAGACCAAGATACATAACTTCGAACACAGAAGATGGAGAAACAATGCCGACAACGACAAGAAGAGAGTCCCATGTCCCTATATTCTCGGCGCCAATTGTAATTGACATTTACTCCGATGTGTCAATCGTTCAGCCTGATATGATTTCCGCTTATGAAGGAATCATTTATCAACCAACGAAAATTAACTTAAATGTCAAAAATTTCATTGGTGTCAAAAGTGAGGCAAAACTCTTTTACAAGATCTCGAAGATACAAGACGAGAACGGCAAACAAGTTGGCTCAAACAAATCTATTGCTACACAGATCCAAGAGTTCATAGCAAATCCATATGAATCATCAAAAGAAGAAATAGTTACAAGCCAATCAAAAACTTCCAATTTCACTTCACTTCTCAAAGCACATCAGAATTTCGTGATTGATCAGACACATGTTGACTTCATTGACGAGAATTCCACACAGACAGTTGCCATTGAGTTCTTACCAATTGATTTGTGCACTTACAGATTGTTACTTCTTTTCGAAGACACAAATGCAGGAGAATTCGTAATCCAAGTCGAAGCGAAGTCAATTTTACCAAATGCCGTTGAAGTTGCCGCAAATAAGATGAAATGTGAAGCAGGAAAGAAGACATCGTACTCTGTGAATGTTGATCCAATCAACCAAGCCTTGATTAAACAGTTGGCTTACAGTTACGAAAGAGTCAACAATTCCGGAAAATTTGCAAGCGACAGGAAACTTCAAGACATGATAACTTCAAGATGCAGAGAGATGGAAGCGATCTTTAAGTCATCATTCAACCAGATAAAGTTCAATGTCTCTAATTCTGCTTCGACTTATTTCGATATTCCAAGCGAATTAGTTCTTTCTAAAAACGCTGATCCGAAGACGAAACCAAATGCACTTCCTATCACTTTCAAACCGACAAAAGCTGGTGAATACCCTGTTAAAATTGTTTTGACGAGTAATTATGATGTCAGACTCTTTAAAGCATCAGCAACAGCTATTCCTGCTGTCAAAGAAATGTCGATCGAGTTCAATACTGTGTCTGGAAGACAAGTACATCAAGATATTCCTTTGACAAACCCTTCAGAAGAAGTTTGGAACTTCAAAGTCCAAACAACAGGAGATTCTTGTTTCAATGCCCCGCAAAGAGTATCTGTAAAGCCTGGAACAACTGGCCAATTAACAGTTAACTTTGTTCCATTAAGAGTTGGCCAATTCAAGGGCGAATTGATGCTCACAAACGCGTCATCAGAAGCAACAGTTATCTACAAATTAACAGGTGTTGCTGATGAACCTCCTGCAGAAAAGAAGATCAATGTTAACTGCAAAGCAAGAGTTCCTTTCGAATACGAATTGCCTGTTAAAGCATTCGTCAAAAACGCAACAGTTAAAGTCACCACGACTGTTCCAATCATTTCTTTCAAGCCAAATATTGTTTTCGAGAATGGATCAATAACTGAGCCATTTAAGTTCAATGTCATTGCACAAAGAAGTGGAGTTTCCGCAGGAACATTGACATTCACGGATATCGCAACAGGAAGTTATATTTGGTATGTTGTAGAGATCCATGTTGATTCACCAGCTCCTGAACAAACAATTACTGTTAACACATCGGCAAGAAAGAGTGCAACTGTATCTATAAAGATCCAGAATCCTAAAGACAGAACAACAACATTCACAGTTTCTCTTTCCGACGAAGATTTGTTTGGTTTGAAGGAATTCATCGTTCCTCCACACGGAAATATGACTTACGAATTGGTTGTTTCTCCTCTCAAAGCAATGAACAGGACTTCCTCTGTCTACTTCTACTCAGATGATGACAGCGAGTTCTGGTATGCTTTGAAGATTAACGCTACTGAAGCTCCAGGACAAATTTTGGCTCCGATGTCTTCTCCTCTTGGAAAATTCGCAACGACAACTGTCACTTTAGAGAACCCATTATCGAAGCAAGCGAATGTTAGAATAGAGAACACTAATCCTACAGCATTCCAGGTTATGGCCAAGCGTTCATTGCAGCTATTGCCATTGGAAAAGAGAAGAATAGAGATCAGATACATCCCGACAAGTGTTGGACAAAAAGAAACCGCCGAAATTTCATTTTTGTCACAAGATGTTGGTGATTGGACATATTCTTTAAGTGGTAATGGTAAACCTCCTCAGCCATTCTCTCCAACAATTGTTTCTTCGCAGATTGGTGTTCCTATGTCTGCCTTAGTTTTGTTCAACAATTCATTCCCTTATCCATGCAGATTCAACATTTCCATCGACAGCGAGTGCGAAGAAGGAGTTTTCCAATTCTTGGTCAGAAAGAAACTCTTCACTTTGGAGTGGTTTGGCGAGGAATACCAAGTTCCATTCACTTTCACACCTGTAACTAAAGGACAATTCACTGCCCACATCATTGTAACATTTGCAGGACCAGCACGTGGTGATTTACCAGATAATTCATCATTGTTGAGTTCTGTCAGATGGATTTTCCCAGTTATTGGAAACACTTTGACAGCAGCAGCTGAAGCCAAAGTAATCAAAGCAAGAGCCAATGAGTTTGTTTCTAATAACATTACATTGCCTTTAGTTGGAGAAACTGAAGAGTTCCAAGCAAGTGAATATTCAGTTCAAGTCAATTTGAATCAGACAAATGAATTTCTCAGACAAATTTTGGATATTAAACCAATAGAAATTCTCAAAGATGGAGATTCGCCTGATTTGATTGTGAACTGCAATTTCTCGCCAATGAGACCTTGCAATGGAACAGCACAGTTAAGAGTGAAGAATCCTCTTGGACAAGAATGGCAATTCGATTTAACATGTACTGCAGAAAGAGGAAAACCAATTGATACATTGCAAATCGAGTCACTTCTGAACAAAACAGGTGAAGTTTCAATAACTTTGCCAACTGTATTCAGAAGCCAGACACCTTTCCACGCGTACATGATTTCAGGAAGTGCTTCTGAGTTCACGGCAACTCCGGAACATGGTTTCATCGAACCTCAACCTGGTCCAAACACTGAGACATCAATTAAAATAATTTTCGCTCCGAAAATGTACGGAAAAGTGCTTCGAGGAATGCTCGTTATCGACACTTTGGATGCACAGTTCTTGTTTGATGTTGTCGGAAAAACTCCTGAATATGTTCCTCCAACTGTAACTGCAGGAAGCAGATTAATGCAGTTGCAAACAACAAGGCAATCTGTTCCTTCGAAGAATTCGACAAAGAGACAAGAATCTTCAATGTTAAGGAACTCAACAAAGCCAAGAATTATTTCTCCAAACCAAGGAAAACATAAGATTATTTAATTTTGTATTATCAATGTATAATTGTAATATATTAATAAATATGTTTGATTATTTTTATTAACAAATTTTTATAAGATTGATCTTTTTTTATAAGAATAAAAACAAAATTTCAATATTATCCTAAAGCCGTACAAAAACTCGTAGAAAATTTAAAAATCTCCATAATTGATTAAATTTGTAACTCCTTTAATGATGATTGTGCAATAAAATATTAGGAAATTTTTTCATAATTAATTTTTTGTTGAAATCCTTATGCAAAATAGCAAAAATTTTAAGCTTATCAGACATCCTTGAATATACAACAATTTCAAGGGATATTAAATATAAAATTGAGATATATTATAATTTTCTTATGAAAAAAGATAATGACGCAAAATTTATTAAATAGAAAACGAAATTTAATACTCAATCATAAAAATAAAATAATAATAAATTAATTCAAGAGAGGATCAATAACATTGCTCCAGTCATCAATTGTAGAATCGGAAGAGAGATCGGATGCTACACCATTAATGTAGAATGTTGGTGTTCCGTCGATGTTATGAACGGCAGAATATTTGAATTCGATTCTTGTGTTCATTTCCTGTGTTCCAAATGCCTTTGTAAGATCGTTTACTGTAATTCCTAATTTTTCTGCTGCCCATTTAAGAGCTTTCTTTTGCATATCACCAGCTGTCACGGATTTAACTTCTGAGCCCAAAAACATGCTCTGATTGCCATCTGCATATAGGCAATTTAAGAGAATTGGTGCGTAGGATGTGTTGATGGATTTTGCAGCCATAATAACTTTAGAAACCATGAAAGTCCATGTGTGATATGGTAATGGTAATAAGTGGATAATGAATCTAGCGTTATCTTTGTATTTTGTTATTGCTGCTGACACTGCAGACCACGAATCTAAACAATCTGAGCATAATGGATCAGCATACATCTCAACAATGATATCCTTAGCGTCTGGGTTATAAACAATGCCCGGAGGACGGCTAGGAATTGGACATGATAATGCTTGAAAAACAAAGAATGAAAGCATTAAATAATAAAAAGTGACGATTTTATTGGCAAACTCTTCACCATTCATCAACGAATAGAATTACTAGCACCATGAATAGAGAAATAAAAATTTGAGAACATGTGTGTTAGTTTAAAATGTATTAGAGCATTCGAATATGCGATATAGATATAAATTCAATAAAATTCAAAAGATAAGTTTAATTCTCATTGTTTTCTTTTAATCCTTTTGTTCTTTATATATTTTCTATCCTTTAATCAGAAGTGATATCTTTATCATTTCGAAATTAAAAGATTGCAAGGATGATAAAGGAAGTTGATTTAAATTTTTATGTTTATCGAACTTATTAATTAACGTGTATATGAAAGGGCCATCTATGAAAAGTGATTTTTATTTGTCGGCAAAAAAATTGAGGAAATTAAAAACTGCAATTATGTGGAGGGAAAAAAAAGAAAAATGATTTAGATTTTCTCACGACTTTTCCCAGAAATCGCATAAAAAAAATGAATAGGTTCATAAGTGATACTTCTGGCCTATTTGATGAATTATTTCCTCATTGTGAAGCATACAATGATGCATTTGCATCATTATATGCTTTGAAAACTTATGACAACGCGGAGTTGAACAAAATTTACCAAAAGATCAAAATTAATTTGATAGATTCTAAAATATCTTCAGCTGAAGAGATTATTAGAACTATGTCTGAGATTTTTTTATATAATAATTGTTATTTAAGATCATACTTCACAATTTTCAAATTGAGCTATGAAGAATTTCATCCGAATCAAGTATTGAACATAAATCCTCTTTTCGATTACTTTGTTTATAAAGAATATGGAAAATCACTTGATAAAAATAACTTAGAAAAAAATTTCAAAAGATATTCTTGGAAAGATTTTTCATTAGATATTCATCAAAAATACACAATATATGAAGCCATTATGCATGACAATAAAGAGCAATTTATTTCGATCGCAGAAAATAATGATTTTGATGAAAAACAATTACTATCAAGCGAATTCTATCCGGAAAATAACAACCGCTATACATTGCTTGAATTATGTTGTTATTATGGAGCAGTTGATTGTTTTAAATTTATTAGGACAAAGTTCGATTCAATAATTACAACGAAATGTCTTGAATTATCATTTTTAGGTGGCAATCCAGAGATAATGCACGAATGTTTGAAAACATGTTATCCAAATGAAAAGTGTATGACCAATGCTATCATTTCCCACAACATTGATTTTGTAACTTTTTTGATGAATGAATACGAATTAGCAATTAATATTGAGGAATGTCAAAGATATCATAACATTCAAGCATTTTTGGTTTATTATGATTGCATTAATATGAATGACATCAACGATTGCTACATTCAATCAATAAATTTCAATCATATAGGAATAATTGAAAAAATACTTTTTCTTGGCGCAGATATTAATGCAAAAACTAAATCTGGTGGTACTGTTCTTTATTTTGTATTGCAAAGAAAACTGAACATATTAGCAGAGTTTCTTTTATCACGTGGTATTTCAATTAATGCAAAAGATAATGGTGGATTAACAGCTCTCCATCTTTCAATGAAATTGCAAAATAAAAGTATTATGGAATTTCTTTTATCGCATGGTGCAGATGTAAATATTGGTGATAACTTCGGATTAACATGTCTTCATAATGCAGTATGGAATAACAACAAAGAAATAGCAGAACTTCTCCTTTCTAATGGAGCTAATGTTGATGCCAAAGAAAGCATGGGATTAACAGCTCTCCATTATGCTGCGATGAATAATTATCAAGAACTTGTAAACCTATTGGCATCTCATGGTGCAGAATTAAATGCTAAAGATGATAATGGGAAAACTGCACTTATTTCTGCAGCAGAATGGAATAGAAAAGAAACAATGGAGCTTCTTATCACTCTTGGTGCCGATATCAATTCGAAGGATAATAATGGGAAGACTCCCCTTATGGCTGCAGCAGAATGGGATAGAATAGAAACAATTGATTTTCTGATTGCCCATGGTGCGGACGTTAAAGCAAAAGATAACAAAGGGAAAACAGCATTAAATTATGCAGCATCGCGGAAAAATAGAAACACAATAAAAGCTCTAAACGAAAAGGACCATAACCCAAGATAATTCAAGATTAGCTTTTGTTATAAAATTCAAATTTTACAAAATATGTCACGTTTTTTCTACGTTAATTGAAAATTTTTTTAATATGAGTGTTTATTTTACTGCTAAGCCTGAATATTTTAAATTTATACGAGATTTAGAGGATGAAGGTGAGGAGTATCGGCAACTCCACCATAAATTTCAGACTCTTGCCCAAAAATCGAAGGAAGAATTTAAGCAAAGCAGAAATAAAATAAACGCAGCCATGAATACTATTAAACCACCTGTTAGAGGAATCAGAACAGCGGAAATCCCATCGGTTCTAAAAAAGAAACCAGAAAAAAGGGCGGCAACTCAAACAGCTAATTTACACCCAAATCCAATATTCGGACAAATACAAAACTCTAAGATTCCTACAACAGTCTATCATGATGCTGTTCCTGCAAGGTCAAATGGGGCACAAAGAATTCTCAATCCGAAACGTTTACAGAAGTATAGAGAAAACAATAGGGAACCACCAATGCTTATAGGTAGAGGAGTAAATTCCATTGGCCATGATAATCTAAATATGGATTCTTTATCTTTAAGTAATTATCATTTTGATATCGTGAACTGAAAACTTGTTTGTATTGTATGTTGAAGTACGCACTGTCTTATTTCATCTTTTCTCATTTTTTTTATTTTCTTGAATTATTCCGAATTCAAGATTTAAAAGCAAAGAGCAATTCAAGAATACTAGTTTCTAACGCATCGACTACATTATCAGCATTCTTTGTTTCCTAGCAGAAATTATTTCGTATTCATTCTTTGCGCACCTAAAACTATCCAATTCATTCGTAATTTTACCACAAATGCAGCAACTCAGTTGCATCGGTACAACTTTCGATTCTAGATATTTTTTTTTTTGGAACATCTTTTCACTTAATAAACTTTCGAATATGCAGCATGCTCCTAATTCCAATACTACATGACTTTTCTCGAGTCTTAATAAAAAATGTTTTCTTTATTTCCTATTTCATTCATATTTTTTTCCAATATTGATGATTTTTGGATATAATTCATAAATACAATGGTTGTTGAATGATTGTATGGTTCACAAAAAGTTAGTATTCAAAAGGATATTCGATATTTTTAGCATCGTTGATGTTTTTTAAGTTTTGTAAATGAATAGACATGGCAACTTGATGTAGGTCCTAGAAAAATCATTCTGATGGTTTCTCAAAATCCAAAAAAATTGAATTTGAAAAAATAATTTGAAAATTTGTTAAAAATATCATCAAAACTGAGAATTTAAAATATTTTTGGAAATTTTCTCATTGACAAAACCTTTTATTTATAATATTTTACATATTCTCTATTTAAATCATGTGTCAGGTTATTTAATTCGATAAAAAATTTTTGTTGAAATAAGTATTTTAGAGTTATTCTGGCAAACACACCATATAATATAACCAGTTATCATATTTATTGCATCAAATATGTTAGATTGATGAAAGACGATTGAAATTCTTTTATTCCTTTGGTTGAACTTAAGAAGGACTCAGGTTCAATATCGCCACTACAGAAAGTTAATTTAAAGACTGTTATTCATGCGTATATTTGCCATCTCTTCGAGGAGATAAAGATAAATTCAATTTTGTTATTGGTGTAACAAAAATTATTACTCATCATATGCTGACTTCAAAACGATATTCCAAATTCTGATTTAAAAATCCAATATGTCACTTTTTGATAAAAATACGATGAATCAAGAAGTGTTATCAACAGATCGAAATCCATTCAAACCTTTACCATGCATTTTTAAGTCCCTCTTATACAATCCATTATTTAGTGATTTCACTCTGTTTTTACCAAACGCACCTCCAGGAAAAAAGCAATATATTCCTGTTCATCGCTTTATCTTCGACGTTCGCTGCTCGTTTTTCCATGTATTTTTCGAGAGAATGCCGAATGAAAAGACCTTAACTCTTTGTTTTCCACAATGGGCAGCACCAGACGTTTTTACAGTCATTGAATACATATATACATCAGAGCCAATCAATATTACGAACGAAAACATCGCTGCTATCGCGTTTATTTCATTAATTTGGGATTGCAGTGAATTAATTAAATTAGCAACTGATTTTATCATTCATAAAATAGATCCAAAATACTCTCTTGATACTCTCAACAAACTTTGTAATATCATTAAGCATGATGCACCTGCTATTCAAAAACTTTTGAATATGGTCGTTAATAACATCGCAATTTTTAATCCAGATGATTTCAACGAGCTTCAGTTCGATCTCTTCGAGTCAATAATTAATACCGTTTACTCCAAAAGACCAGAAGATATTGCTGCAGAAGCTTTATGTAATTGCATCGAACACTACTTCATTGCCAACGTTGACAAGCTCGGCAAAGATGAATTTCGCGTTTTAGTACAAAGATTTATGATGAAAACTTATCATAATGGCGTAATTACATTGTATAAACATGCTATTCGCCTTAATTGGTCAATTGCTCATTGCGAAGCTAAGATTCTCCACTCGTGGCTTCACTTAGATCAGAACAAACTTGCTACAATTCCTGTAGATCGCTTAGCCGTGATTTTGAACGAGAATTATCTTAATTGCGGTAGCGAAGATGAACTTTTCAAGTTTATTCTATTAGTACATGAGGTACAACCCACTGCTGACCTTACTCCAATATGGAAATGCCTTCGTGTTCCAGCATTAACCGAAGAATGCAAAGAAAAATTAAAAGAATGCGGAATTGCACCTCAATTCGTCATCGACGCAATTAACAGTGCAGGTCGTTACATTGATTTCCGTCGTTTGCCAAGAGCAAGGACACATTGTTTGATTATCGGAGCTGCTGACAACTGGGCGCTTGAAGATCTCAAGGAATTTATGGGATTCGCAGGTTTCAACCCCAAAAACATCACTGCAATGCGCGCAGCTCCAGATATGGATGCAGATTTTTACAAATTCCACGCAATCCTTGTATTTGGCTTCTATAAATTCCCACCGAGCCTTTCTAGTAAGATAGCTACATACGTTTCCGACGGTGGTGGCCTTGTCGTCGCTTTCGGAGCTCATAGAAATGATGATTTCGGAATTGGCGAACCAATACTCTCAATGCTCCCAATTGAGGCATTTAGACAAGAAATCGCAGAGGTTTGCTACGTTCGCGCTCCAACGGACTCGAATTTCAACGATGGAGTAGATATTGCAAGTGAAGAGAAAGAACAGATCTTTACTGGCTGCAAGAACATGAGAATGCTCTTCTCCGTTAAAGAAGGAGCCAGCGTTATCTCAAGTTGGGATGATGGAGTTCCTTTTGTTGTTATTCAGAACAGAACAGAAAAGCATGGGACAATAATTGTATTTAATGCAAGTCCGGTCTCAAATGAGATATTCCCTGAACAATGGAGTAAACATGACAAGACAATGGCAAGAATTTTGTCGAATTGCATCATCACGGCTTCCAACAAGGTTTTTTCAAAGGCTTCGAAGGACTGATTTATTATCAATATATTATATATAGTATTTTAAATGTAATTTGTTTTAAAAATTTTAATTTTTTTTCCCCTTTCAATAAACTATTTATTTACCCTTTTCTAATGATTTATGAATTATCTAAATTTGTTTTTAAGGGTTGGTTCTGATATTTATTGATTTTTTTTTTTTTTTGAACTATACATCTGATTTGTAATCCATGGTTTCATAGATTTAAACCCTTTAATATAATAACAATTTTCAACTTAATCATTACAAGCATGTTTGAATATAATCATCCGGATGAAAATCTTATTGCTTCGACTTTTCTATTGTTGTTGTATCATTTAATACCTATGAACTTAATTAAAGTTGATAAATTATTTCCGAAATCTTTGTGATCATAGATTTCCGCACGTCTAACATATTATTTATTTCTTATAATGAGCTTAAAAGATGTTCATATATTAAAATACAAATATGTCCTTTTAAAAAAATACTTACCGTTAAATTTTATATAGGGAACAGGACAAATTTGCCACACGGCACTTTTTTTAAAAGAAAATTAATGGAGCGGAGCGATACTCTGCTGCAGGAGCCCCAAGGCTCCCAATCATTACGAAAGGGAGCCTCAGGGCTCCTGAGAATCCATCAGCAGAGGCCTTTTCATTTGGCCTCTGCTGATCAAAGATTCGGCGAAGCCATTCTTCGTCTCAGGAGCCCCAAGGCTCCCAATCATTACGAAAGGGAGCCTCAGGGCTCCTGAGAAACCTCTTTGAGAAGGTTTTCTTAGAGAAAACCTTCTCAAAGATGATTGTCAGCATTCACTCAAAATCTACCAAGAGTTTCAAAGTTTCAAATCTATCTGAAATGAAGCTTTGAATCTCTTGTATATCTAATTGTAGAGGTACCTTTTCAAAATGTCTTCTATTGATTAAATTTAATCAGTAAAAGTCATTTTGAAAAGGTACATCTCTATAATTGCTATTGAGCATTCACTCTTGGAACCTTGGAGCTCTTGTGTAGTGCATGAAAACTCCAAGATTCTAGCATAAAACATATATCATAGACAGAATTTCTTCAAATATAATTTAAGGTTATTTTTTTAAAAAATTAGAAAAGCGTAATTTAAGGTTATTGAAAAAGTGACACTTAGCAAATTTGTCCCGCACTCATTTTATATATGATACCGTTAAAATTTAAATACGATTCCAGTAAAAATTAATACGATACAAGTGAAAATTTTCGAAAAAATGCACGTTAAAAATTGAGACGTTTCGTGGCCTTTTACGATTTTTTAATGTCCGACAAAGACATTCATCCAAATAAATTTAGCGAACTGCGAAGTATCGGTAAATACTACATTGATTCATATAATGCGTTGTATCAGCTGAAAACTGAAAAGGAAGAAGATTTAAACTCAATTTACAAACTGATCAAAACAGAATTGATTGATTCACATAAACACCCTCCCCAAATAATTATTCGAGACATTTTAAATATAATTCCGTATAATAATCGCTATACAAAGTCATATTTATACCTTGCCAAACTCTTATCTGATGATTACCATGTCACAGAGGTCAACTGCGTTGAAACTATTTCAAAATTCCTGTTTTACAAAGAATATTTTGAAATAGACAAATCTGCCGATTTTGAAAACATGAATTCAGAAAATCTTGAAATTCATACAGAAGATACAATTTACATAGCAATTATGTATAATGACTTAGAAAGATTCATTACATTCACTGAAATAGATGGATTTGATAAAGATCAAACACTTGAGAATAGTTTATATCCAGTTTATTATCAAGGATATTCATTACTTGAATTATGTTGTTACCATGGAGCAGTTGATTGTTTTAAGTTGTTAAGAACGAAATTTAGCTCAGAAATAACTCAAAAATGTCTTCAATTTTCATTTTTAGGCAGAAACATAGAGATCTTGAGTGAATGTTTGAAATATCAAACACCAGATGTAGAATGTATGGAATATGCAATTATTTCACACAACATTGATTTTTTTACATTCTTGATGAATGAATACAATATAAAGATCGATTTATTTTATTGCGCAAAGCATAATAATCTTGAATCATTTTTAGTTTATTTCGATCAAACTAATGATATTAACAAATTCTATATTAATTCTGGAATGTTTAATATTCCATCTCTTTGTGAATATTTCCTATCAAACGGTGCAAATATCAATGAAAAAGATAAATATGGACGAACATCTCTTCATAATTCAACCTACAATAATAGTAAAGAAATAGCCGAACTTCTTATTTCACAAGGTATAAATATCAATGAAAAAGATAATTTTGGACAAACAGCTCTTCATTATGCTGCACAAAAAGATAGTAAAGAAATAGCTGAACTTCTTATTTCTCAAGGTATAAATATCAATAAAAAAGGTAATGATGGACAAACCGCTCTTCATATTGCAGCAGAAAATAATAGTAAAGGAACAGCCGAACTTCTTATTTCTCAAGGTATAAATATCAATAAAAAAGATAAACATGGAACAACCGCTCTTCATTATGTAGCAGAAAATAATAGTAAAGGAACAGCCGAACTTCATATTTCACAAGGTATAAATATCAATGAAAAAGATAATTTTGGACAAACAGCTCTTCATTATGCTGCACAAAAAGATAGTAAAGAAATAGCTGAACTTCTTATTTCTCAAGGTATAAATATCAATAAAAAAGGTAATGATGGACAAACCGCTCTTCATATTGCAGCAGAAAATAATAGTAAAGGAACAGCCGAACTTCTTATTTCTCAAGGTATAAATATCAATAAAAAAGATAAACATGGAACAACCGCTCTTCATTATGTAGCAGAAAATAATAGTAAAGGAACAGCCGAACTTCATATTTCACAAGGTATAAATATCAATGAAAAAGATAATTTTGGACAAACAGCTCTTCATTATGCTGCACAAAAAGATAGTAAAGAAATAGCTGAACTTCTTATTTCTCAAGGTATAAATATCAATAAAAAAGGTAATGATGGACAAACCGCTCTTCATATTGCAGCAGAAAATAATAGTAAAGGAACAGCCGAACTTCTTATTTCACGTGGTGCAAATATCAATGAAAAAGATAATTTTGGACAAACCGCTCTTCATAAAGCAGTAATTCATAATAATAAAGAAACAGTCGAACTTCATATTTCACAAGGTATAAATATCAATGAAAAAGATAATGATGGACAAACCGCTCTTCATATTGCAGCAGAAAATAATAGTAAAGAAACAGCCGAACTTCTTATTTCACGTGGTGCAAATATCAATGAAAAAGATAATTTTGGACAAACCGCTCTTCATAAAGCAGTAATTCATAATAATAAAGAAACAGTCGAACTTCATATTTCACAAGGTATAAATATCAATGAAAAAGATAATTTTGGACAAACCGCTCTTCATAAAACAGCACGTTATATAGATAAAGAAACAGCCGAACTTCTTATTTCACGTGGTGCAAATATCAATGAAAAAGATAATGATGGACAAACCGCTCTTCATATTGCAGCAGAAAATAATAGTAAAGGAACAGCCGAACTTCTTATTTCACGTGGTGCAAATATCAATGAAAAAGATAATTTTGGACAAACCGCTCTTCATAAAACAGCACGTTATATAGATAAAGAAACAGCCGAACTTCTTATTTCACATGGTGCAAAAATATAATATTCTTATCTAAGATACTCTTTTTTTCTTTTTCTGATATTTTCAAATATGGATTTCATTAGAAATAAATAAAAAACAATATTAATGAAATGAAAATAAATTTTAATTCCCATCAATTCAAAATTTGATTTTAACAAAACTATATATTTTTCAGTGAGTTGCAAAGAAGTTTTTTAAAAATATAATAAAAGATATGTTTATTCATAGACAATACAAAATAAAATAACAACAGGATGTTTTGATATGAGAATAATTTTGAATAGAAATTTCGTATGACCATGAGCAATTTTCAGTTCTCTGAGGGTACAAAGAGAGCACTGGATGTAAGAATGCGTTTGGCGAACGCAGGAAGGATAATTTCTACGTCATTTTGAGAAATTGAATTTGATTTGAAAATTTGAGGAAAAAGCCAATATTTAAGGGTGCACTTACGCCCCTATGACATGGCTTTCAATTCAGGTGTTTAAGGTTAATTTTCAATGACGCTTCACGCCGATTGTCAAAAATTTGAATTAAAGTCAGATGGGCGTAAGTGCAGCCTTAAGCGAGGAAGAATAATGGAATTCAAATGTGGAGCTAGAGACTTAAATGAATCAGGTATATTATTAAAGATTAACCCTAAATTAAAGCTTGCCTATTATATTATTAAAATTTTTCTGTCACTTTTTATTCAATCACTAGAAAAAGCCGAGAGTCGATACGAACAGCAGACTTTTTTTTCGTACCCCCTCTCAATTTTTTTTTTCAGTTTTCGTACTTTTTTACAAAGCATAGTATTTGATATCCAATGTTTGCCTTTGATCAGAACTTGTCTTTCTCCTGTTCATATTTCAATCGCTAGTCTAGACATATATCACATCAAATATCATATTTGATTATTTACAATTGTTTAAAAGATTTTACTAGCACAAGCATAATGTTTTGTGCAAAGTACAATTTCAATGTGTTAATCTATAAAACTTGAATTTTATTGCATATGCAATTAGGCATTTTTTTTAAAATAGAGTTTTGAAGATAAGCATATATGAGAATGATATGTACTTGTTATTGTAAATACATTTATTGTTATAAATTTACTCAATTATCATTGATGATGAAATAAATATTTTATTATATAAAAAAGAGTGTTTATTCATTATAAATAGAGTTCCGTTAAGCAAATATTTTATTTGTAACAGGTAAGCCCTAAATTAGCATGTTTGAAATATTGAGATCAAATATTTGCATGCAATCAATAAATTTGCTGCAAAATTATAATCTCAAGCATGTACTATTTTGAAACAATAAAGCATCAGAGAGCCTTTTCACTATGATCTTTCAGAAAATGAAAGATCATAGAAAAACTACCCTTTATAGAGATGCCCTGACCTCAACAAGGGTCAGAGCCTGTATCTGTATGTCTTTCAGGGCCGAGATAAGAGGATATCGTCAATGATGTGGGCGATCTCCGTCAAACTCGGCCCTGAGGATTAGTATTGGAGGCTCTGACACATGTTGAGGTCAGAAATTCGGGTTTGCTGTTTCCCTCCATAAAAACCAGAATTTATCACCTCGGGGAACGTTTCCCAGCACTTTCCCACCAGAATCGGCCACCTTACATGAACCTAGATGATTATATTAAATTGCAATTCCAAATATGTTTTAATCGGAAAAATAAAGAATGAAAACATTGATACTAGCATCCATAAAACGAGTTAATTCTTTATTTATCTAGGATTAATTCTTTATTTTCTTTTGTGAGAATCTGGCAAATTCTGATTGCACTTCACGCCGATAAAAAGTAAAATCGGAAAAGCTATGATTTTCAAAATCCGAAGTTAATTTCAAAAACAACAAGTGTAAGAATAATTATATAAAAACAACCAATAAAAAGGTATACAATGTAAAGATATAGAATTTTTTTTTGTAACGCTTGTCAAACGTTAGACTCCCCAAATGTCTTTTGAGAAAGCGAAGAGCATCATCGCTGAGTCCGAAAGGGAACTCCGCAAAGAAATATCAAAGATTATAGATGAAAGGAGTGTTCAGAACAAAGTTCTTGAAGAGGCAAAGCAAACTGCAGAAATTCAAGCAAAACATTTCCTAGATGATGAAGTAGCTCCTCCTCCAGAGATCCCAGGCATTTTAGCAGATAGTGACGAGAAAGATGAATATCTTTTTGTTCTCGAATACCTCGAATCTCTCGGATTGAAAATTACACCAACAGTTCTTAGATATGAATCACAGCATCCAGAAGTTCAATGCGATCGCAAGAAACTCGCTCGCAATTATAATCTTAAAAACTACGATAGAACACCTCTTCTTGTTCAATTAATCGAAGAGCGTCTTAGAAATATGGAAGTTACTACTACAATGAACTAGATATGATTTTTAAAACTTACTGTATACGTCAGAATATAATAATTAGAAAAAGAAATTTTTCATATATAATTCGATCGAATATTATGTCGTATAACTGCTTGATTGGAATCAATTGATCAATGGTTTTTTGAAGATTTCTATTTGAAAATTCCAATCTTTTGAAATTTATGAAATGAAAACAATTTTTTTTCTAAAAATTCATTTCGATATAGCTAATCATTATACAATGAAATTTCATGATGAAATAATTATCATTTTTATTGGTTTTTATTGACAATAATATCTAAATAACTGATTTCAATATCAATTTATAAATAACTTATTTTAATCAATGCCCGCATTGTGTCACATAGCATTTTGTAAGGAGATCTGCTTTTTTTCTTTTGGGAAAGGAATGTAGAGTCTTCTTTCTATGATGTTTCCTGAAGATTTTTATTGAATACTTTACAATGTAAGTACTAAAATGTTTTTGGGCTTCTTCTAATGGAATATAAAGAAAATATCGATACTAATACACAAAGAGATATAGAAAACACACAACTAGATGCCCAAAAAGACTATTATCTATTTGAAAGTTTTGCAACTCAATTAAAATTTTTAACTGTTTCAAGAGAAATGCTAACCAATGCAATAAAACTGTTTAATAGCAAGATTCAAAGTGATATTGACTCATTTCCAAACATATCTTTTTTACCAGAAATATTTGTACAAGAATTCACTAAATTTATGCACGAAAACTTTTTTAATGATTCTGAACCGATGAAAGAGTTCTTTGCTACACTAAAAATATTAATTTCAAATGCAGAAAGCTTTAATTTTCTTGTTGTAATCGGAATCTTCGATGAGATAAGTTCAGCATTTGAAAATGGAGAGAATGTACTTACATTTATTGAAATATTTGACCTAATTACAGAAATATCAGAAAATTATCCAGATGCTATCGAATATTTTGAAAAAATCGACTATTTTTCATCTTTAAAGTACTGGATCACTCAACAAGGAACTGAAGAACATTATCTCAGATTTTTTTCTTCTAATATCTCTGAAAATAGCACAGATAACTATATTTTGCAATTTCTTCAGATAATAACCATGACAATTCAGTTCGATCATGTACAAAACCCAGAAAATTATATTTATTCATTAAGTACATTGTTTTCAGTAGATTTTTCAGATTATGTCAAATCCCAACTTGAAAACAATCAAATAATCATCGATTTCATATTAAAAACAATGATGCAGCAAGAGTATTCTGATGTTTGCATTCCATTTATTACAAATTTGCCGGGAAAAATAAATATTGATTATGATCCATTTATTGCAAATCTGATGATCCTATGGAATGAAAAAATACAACCACAATATATACTACAGTTCTTTATTGAACTAATGATTAATTTTGAAACAAAAAATTTTGTTCATGATTTAATCCCAATATTAGTAGAAATTCCACAATATTATTCGAGCTTGGAGTTCGATTCTAAGGATGTATGTAAGTTTTTTATCATAATTTGTCTTCTCAACTTACCAAAATCAGATTTTGGCTCATTCATGACAGAAGAGTTCCAAGAAATCCTAATTGAAATGCATGAAGTCACAAAATACCAAAATCAACTTTACAAAGTTTATTTACGAATTGTGACTGAAATTAACCAAGATTTTCGAAATAAACTTGAGAATATAGCCGAAGATATTGCAGATGAAGAGATTAATGAAGAAGAGGAAGACTCTGAATACCAAGATTTAATACTCCAGGTTTTATCTAATTGAGAATGATGATTTACCATTCTGTATCTATTTTGTTACTTATAAAAATCTATATTAGACATATAAACTTAGACATTTTTTAGATTTTGATAGATTCTGTCTTTTTTTTACATTTTTAGCAAAGAATAGAATAAATTTTTGAAATGTATACAAACAAAATTCATCTATATTAGTAAAACTTGCTTTCGATGGAAAAAATTTTGAAAAAAATATAACGTTTCATATTGGCCAAGGCGACCTTTTAATCGAAAAAGTAGAAGGTAATATGAAAATATTTTAAAATAATTATAAGAAATGTACGGGGGTATTTTGTAAAAAAATATTTCGGATTTTTAGCAAGGATAGTAGTCCTGGACAAGATTGATAACTTCCTGGAGCTTTCTTTCTTCAGCGCGAGCCTTAACTTCAGCGGCATTTTGTGGTGTTAAGAGCTTCTGAAGGTTGTTCATAGCAAGGAAATCAATTTCGAGAGGATCGCGAAGCTGATAGTTCTTGCCAGCTCCGAAGAGATCGACAAGAGCAACAGCATCTGTTGGGTCGAGTCTGCCAGTATAGATATAGCCAGCGAACATTTCAAGAGCTGCCTTGCACATATTTGGATCACGGAACTGAAGCATTGTTGAGTTAGTTTCAAACTGTGAGCGGAAGAAGCCGGAACGAGCATAGAGCATGAAACGATGAACGTTGACGCGATCTTCGGAATCACGTGGAATTAAAGCAAAGTCCCATGATGATTCATCATCGAGGAGTTGCATCATATCGCGATGATATGTTGATTCGAAAGGAATTGAGTCAACAACTTTGCATGTCTTGAAAGCTGGAAGATTTGTTCTGGCGACTGGGGTATTTGCGTAAAGGTGCTCAAGAATTGCTTGAATTGTGTTATGTGGAAGCATCTGAAGCTTCTGAAGAGCCTGTGCTTTTTCGCGGGCATAGAATTGCCAACGGTGCTTGATTAAAGGCTCGTAAACATGGACAGACCATTGTCCATTTCTTGCCTTGATTTCAATCATCTGTGAAGCCCATGGGAATGAAGGTTGCTCAGACATCAGATATCTTTTTGCAAAATGGGGGGCATACAAAAACCGCACTATCGGTTTGCATCGTCCAGATATTTTATCTATCAAACAAATATAATTTACTATTTTTGGTTGTACTATAATTTACTCAGTACGAATATTAAAAAATTATTAAATTGACTGTCTTTTTTTTTCTTTCATCTTTGGAGAAATGAACAAAACTTTCAATACCATCATCGACCACTTAGCTATAAAAAGGCCGGTATCCAATGCTGAGCTTAGTACAATCCTCAACGGCCGCCTTTATCATTGAAATTTCAAAATTTGGCCAAAATTTTTTGAAAAGTTAAATCGCCATCTTAAATATTTGCATCGCAGTGATATTAAATTTGCAAAACATTCAAAAAATCTATTTTTGTGGGAATATTTTTTTACGACAAAATTTCTCCAACTTCATAAAATTAGCAACAAATTCCGAAAATCCGAACATAGGCACTTTTTATAGATTCTGTTGTTATACGATATCGTAATCCCTTGAACTATGCAGATAAACATCGATTTCGTTTGTAAATTTTTCATTTTTTTCCCTATATCGTCAGATGATTTTGTTAAATAACTTAAAAATTCAAGACTTAAGAATAGATTTGAAGTAATCCGAAAATACGATTATCTGAATTAAAATTTTCAATTTTATTAACTCAGAAATATTAACTTGTATAGATGAACATTAATATCTCAACATGGAAAATATATTTGGATTCAATATCACGCATAAACATACAAATATTTTAAATTCAAGAAATTAAATATGAATTGTCTTAGAAATAATAGTTTTGGCAGCTTCCAAAACAGCTTCAGATAGTGTAGGATGAGGATGGCATGTCTCAGCAATTGCATCAATCTTCAATTTGTTTCTAATTGCAATTGCTCCTTCCATTATCGCTTCTCCAGCGTTAGGACCAACAATCTGCATTCCAAGAACAGTTCCATCCTCTCCACAAACAAACTTTACGAACCCTGTTGGATCACAAATGATTCTAGCCCTTGAATTTGCAGAATAGGGGAACATCCCCACTTTAATTTTGAGAGCTTGTTTGGCCGCATTGTTCTCGGTGAGGCCAACCGTGGCAATTTCGGGATTAGTGTATATAACGGAAGGAATTACGTTTGGATTGTATGAAGATTCTAGTCCAGCAAGCATTTCTACGCATGCAATTCCTTCTTCTTCGGCTTTCTGAGCGAGTTGCGGGCCTGGAACGATGTCTCCGATAGCGTAAACGTTCTTTTCTGAGGTTTCAAATCTGTCGTTGACTTCTATAAGTCCATTTTTGAGACGTTTGAGATTTAATTTTTCTAGTCCGAAACCATCGAGATGTAACCGGCGACCAATAGCTATCAAAGCACGTTCTGATTGTAATTTCTGGTCTCCGATAACAACTTCGACGCCATTTTCTGTTTTTGTGCATGAATCAACACCTTTTCCAAGGACAAACTCCATTCCACGTTTCTCAAGAATATCCTGCATGAAGCGACCAATCGATGGATCTACAGAAGGGCCACCAATTGTGGGCGCCATGTCCACAATTGTAACTTTAGATCCTAATGAATGGAAAATACTGCCAAGCTCGAGACCAATAATACCGCCACCTACAACTGTAAGCGTTTTTGGTATCTCTTTCCAATTTAGGACTCCTTGTGACGTCGCAATTATTTCTTCATCTACTGGGAATGTTTTAGGGAACCATTTATCAGTTCCTGTAGCTATAAGAAGATTCTTTGGATTGTAGGTAATGGTTTTGCCATCTTCTAGTGTAACAGATATATCATTCTTTGAATTAATTATTGCTGTACCATGGACAAGATCACCACCAGCACGCTCAATAAGATCTTCGATACCAGATGATAATTCCTCAAGGATATCATTCTTTTTCTGCTGCGCAAGAGCCATATCAACTGTAACATCTCCAGGAACTTTGATTCCGAAGTTCTCAAATTCATGATTAGCTTCATAAACTTTATGAGACATATTTAAGAAGAATTTGGATGGAATACAACCCTCTCGCAGGCAAGTTCCTCCCATTAACTTTTCTTTTTCAACACAAACTGTCTTTAATCCAAGCTTAGCACCACGAATAGCTGTCGCATATCCACCTGGACCTCCTCCAATGATCAAAAGGTCAGGATTTTGAGTAAAAGAGGGTTCCACAGAATTCAATTTTTTTTGACATAATTCAAAGAAACATTGTTCAATATAATTTCATAAGAGACTATCGAGAGTTTGCAATTTGCAAACAACTCCTAAAAATCTATGGCCCAAGACTTGCAAAAGATGCAATTTCAATTTCTCAAAAACAATATCAATTTGATCACACAAATGAAAATTATCAATATGTCTGCAATCGAAATGATTCGAATTCTTGGTCATTATATACAAATCCAGGGGATTATCTACAAATTGATTTCAAGAAGCCGTACTTAATACAAGGAATGATTATGCGAGGAACAAATGCTGACCTACCATTAACATATAGATGGACTGAACATAGGCCATCATATTCCTTAGATTTTTCTGAAGATGGATCAAATTATTTAACATTATTTCAAGAATATAATTCAACAAGAATATCAGATACTATCCAAACTACAGAATATAGATTTGACAAACCAAGATACTTCCAATTTTTTCGTCTTCGATCGATAGATTTTGCGGAAGGGGAAGAATTTCACGGATTATATATTTCATGGCTTGATTTCTATCCTTTTATTGACACAAAATGCTCGAATATTGCTTACGCTTATCGACCTTCAATTTTTAAATTTCTTTTTATTATTATATTTAATGTTGAGTCTTGATTGTAAAACATCCCAATTTCATTCAAATTTATTCTTGCTTTGATTTTATAACATTTAAATTCCTCTTTGAATATTGAATTATTATTTTTTTTATCATAATCTCTTATGTTTGATAATCATGATTCATTATTTGCAACTATTATAATTTTTAATCATATTATTATCTGCACTTAAAAGTTATTGAGATAATTATTTGAAACACAAAAAAGTGTTATCATATTCTCTGTTGTTGTTGTTGTTAAAACTTGTTCCACCAAATATTTATTGTCCAAGTTATCTATGTTTTATTTTGAAAGTTTTACCAAATGCAAAGTAGGCATTCCTGCAATTCTTTAGAGTTTAATCTGTTTCATATTAAGTTCTGTCAAAATGTAAGCTATTGAATTTTTTGAGAGGGAAATAATCGTCGAGGAAGTAAAAAGTGACGCTTTAGGAAATATTATTAGAAATATGATAATAAATATATTTGGAAAAAATATGTTTTTTTCAAAAATTGAAATGTTCATAGAATATTTTGAAATATGTAGGGAATTGAATTCGGTAATATATGATAAACAGGATTTTTAAATTTCAAGGAAAAATAGCTTTTGTGAATACTTTTGAGAACTCTTCTCAAAGATCATGATTCAAATATATTAAGGAGCCAAAATATTAGAGATGAGTTCACAATCAAAATTTTCTCACTTTTCTTCCAAATTGACATCCTTACTCACCACTTTCAAGTTTTTCATACATATATCTTACCCATTCATTTGGAATACGAGATCTCGAGTTTTCGTTCATTTTTTTTACTTTACAAAACTGTTTATTTTTCAGAATTTTTAAATTTGAAAAAATCCATTCTATATCTGATAAATAATATATTATTTTTCAATCAAAATATTTTGATTATCATCTCAAAAGTGTTCTCAAAACCTAGTTTTTCTTATTTTGGATAATCTTAATATTTATATTATTATAAACTAATTGAACACCATATGTTTTTGTATACTTTTACAAAAAAATTGATAGATTTGTGATACTTTCCCCGACGATAGAATTGAATAGCTTACATTTTGACAGAACTTAATATGGAACAAATCTTTACATGGAAATAACTTGAAGACTGATAGACACTCATATCGAAGCTAAATAATGTATTCTGTGTCTTATAATAAATTAATTTTATTATATTAGAGGATAGGTTTTTATTAATATATCATAAAGACTTCATTTCCATCTTCATCTACCGTAGAAGTTGCCCAAGAAACTTCATGAGCATAATTTGTATCTGCTCCACATTCAACTAGAAGAGCCGCAGCCTCTTTTTCCATAAATGAATTTGCAATATTATAAGTATTAAGTCCACATCTATCTCTGGCATTAACCTGAGCACCATGCGATATAAGAACTTTGATTGAATCAAGATTATTTTTGAAGGCAGCATAATGAAGTGGGGTTTCACCTTGCTGATCTGGTGAGTTAACATTTGCTCCAAGTTTGATAAGAGTTTCTATAATTTCGGTCATATTATTTAGTGCAGCCAAGTGAAGGGCAGTTCTACCACATTTATCAACTGTATCCACTTTTTCACGATGTGTAATTAGAAGATCTATTATATCTCTACTATCAGACTTGTTTTTAGCTGCATAATGAAGAGGAGCTAATCCGACTTTACTCTTTGTTGTGATTCTTATTTTAGTAACTTTAGATGATTCTACCAAAAATTTGCAGATGTCGAAATTGTTATAATAAGCTGCAAAATGAAGAAGATTCCTTTTATCACGTCCTGTTTTAGAGAAATCGATACCTTCGTTTTTAATAATATCTAAAGATTGTGGAAATGCTGCACACCAAGGAACAATTGAATTCTTATCTTTATCAAACATCACAAGCATTGCTTTTATGTTTTGTGATTCGATTATAGCATGAATTATTCCTTCAGATGGTTCAAATTTAGTAATATATCGTTGGAACATGTAATCAAGGAATTTATTGTTATGCGATGAAACAATGAAGAAGAAACTATCAATGTCAAATTGCGAAGTCTTAAGACATTCATTGATGATATCAGTATTATTTCCTATAAAGGAGAAATCCGAGCATCTCTTAGTGATTTTGTTTCCTAAGGAAAGAAGGAAAGTGAAGATATTAACAGATCCAAAATAAGCTGCTGCTTCAATTGGAGAAAGTTCCCATAAATTATGGATGTCGATTTTTATTTTATCAATTGACTTCTGGGAAATATAATCTCTGAATTTATCAATTTGATCATACATAATTATGTATTCAAGTTCATTCTCTTTTGGAAAGAATTCTGAATGAAATACAATTTGATAAACTTTGTTAGAATTCTTCTCAAATTCGATTATCTTACTATTATAGAAAGTGTTAAGACAATCATACCTAAGTTTTGTAATAGAATGCGAAGAAAAGATTTGATTGAGTAATTTTGAGTATAGTTCTGTAGCACGATAATTAAATTTCATTGCTTGGAGAATGCAAGCAATAAGATCAAATGTATGCATTTTGTATTTCGAATTTAAATTTGTTGTTATTGAGTTTAAAAGATCTTCGATTGATTCAGTCGATTTAGCATGAAATAGTTTTTCGAGTGTTTCAATAAACTCGCTGTTGTAAACAGAAATTCATCAAAAGTGACACCTCAGAAAAGCTAAAATATTGAATTTTTGGAACTTTTGATAGAGCACGTTTTTAAATATTAATTAAAGTAAATGTATATTTTGTAAAGATTCTTTTTAATAAAAAAATAAAATTTTGAAGAAGAACACAAAATCTTCTGAAAAATAATATCACATAAACTCATATTATTTTCTAATATATAACTATTTTATATAAAAATCAAATTCAATGATCTTAAAAGCGAAGGATAAACCTCAAAATTTACGAATATAATGAGTGTGAATATAATGCTTATCTATCATAAAACCATATGAAATATCAAATTTTGCTTTACGCCTAATTTTTGACGCCTTTGGGCGTCAAAAATTTTCTCACTGGGTTTTCGTCTATCAATCCCAGCTCATTATATACGCAACCAATCAAAAATCTGATATGGGAGTCCAAGGCTAACTTTTTGTTGTCTACCTAATAAAAGAGGAAGCAGCATTAGTGAGAATAATCGCAAATATTCAATTTAAATTATCTTTTTATTCTTAATTTAAAGTGCCAAAAAGAATAAAAAACCTATTCTAAGGCATGTTGTTATGTAAATGAGACTAGACATCATATTTTATGTTATGAAAAAAAATATTTAGAATTTTAGAACAAAATAAATAGAAAAAATAGCATAACTTATGGATGTGCGTATATTAAATTTAATAAATTAAGAGAAATTATTTTTGGCGCCAAAATTATTCGTTAACTCTCAAATTTTTCTGAGTCAATAAGCCGCCAAAAAAGTGTCATTTCTTTATAGGAAAGGAAACCTATTTGACGAACAATCCGGACACTAGTGCCTCAGCGAATTTCCCCAAACCCACCAATCCCCTCCCTGCTGTTGTGCACCATAGATGGAAAGTAAGTCATCAATAGTCTCTTTAGTTAGTATACATATCTCGTGTACTGAGGCACTGCGTTCCTCCGTACGCAATACTTGTGAATTTGACACTTTACAAAACCGTTAACGTAAATTTTACAACACAAACGACAACACCAACTTAACCTTAAATATTTATAAAGCCGCCAACCACTTCACCTTACTACTGTAAAAATAAACGTTCTCACTTACAAAAGTATTGCAACTCTTCCCATTGCTGTGCTTCACACAATAGTTCATATTCTTCAGTATCGCTGCTGTCGCTCCAATCGTCAGAGTCAAAGTCACTGTCAAAATAAATGTTAGTAAGTTTTGACAAAGCTAATGAAACACGTTTACCGTTTGTATCGTATGCTTGTATAAACTTTCCATTCTTCATTCCTTCATAAACGCTCAAACTAACTTTACCCTTTCTCCCTCGTATCTGATAGAATGTATTTTCACGAGGAACGAAGAACAAATTCTTGAACTCATGACCGTTGTAGTTTGTTATCTCAATAGTTTTCGTCATTTAACATCAAATAAAAATTTCAGTAAAATATAAAATAAACTTAAAAATTAATGATATCACCACCCTCACACGTTATGAAAACATCCATTAAATTTAGGTGAAGTGGTGAGATGTCACCTCTTTTTTCACTGTTTTTTCACCCTCATGAATTCATTGCTTTATAACTCTCTTCCTTTCTCCAACTCTTCTAACTTCTTCTTAAGTTCAGCAATGTTGTCCTCATGAAGTTTAATCTTCCTTAATATACCTTCTCTATCTAATGGTTGCTTTATCTTTCTAAACTGAACTCTACCATCCTTCATAGTATGAACGTAAAAACCTTCTGGAACGCTCCTGATTTAATGTATTCTACCAAAAACTTTTGTTTCATTGCTTCAGTGACTTTAGTCGTCATTTCAATCAAAAATAAAATTTTAATATTAAATAAAAATAACGTTATTTTTTCAGTAAGGAAACGCAGGAGTTTTACGATTTATTTGAGGAGTAGGTTCTGGTTTAAATGTTGGAGTCGGTTTAGGAGTTGACTTTTGAACAGGAGTTTGTACTTTCATAGGTTCAGGAGTCATTGAAGGTGTTGTTTTGTGATGGTGTCGGAGTTTGTTTAACTTCAGCTACTTCAGTATTATTTACAACATTTGCTTTATTTCTTTTCAACATCAATAACTGCTCCTGCTGTAGCTAGCAAACCTAGTGGGAGACCATATTTTATATAAGGACTTGACCAAATGCTATTTTTGACAGGAGCTGGTGGAACACCTAACCTTGTGAGACTGCTCTTTGCCATTGTGCAGCTCGTAAAAATATTCAATAGGTGCTCCATAATCGTTTGGTAAAGTTTGTTTCATAGATGGTGAAGGTTCACGAGAGCTTGATGAAGAACTCATTTATAAGCTTTAAAAATAAACGTTCATCCTTTATTCCTCACTGTCGTCCGTGGCTAAGTTATAGTCATCTAATCTTATTATTGGGATTCCATTAGCACGCACCTGAATGGCAAAGCAACAATCCCTCATAAATCCAATAAGTGGCTTTGGTACGTTTTCAGTTGCTAGTTCAATAGGTCCTTTAACAGACAATTTGTATGTTATTGGAGCAGTAGATGTTTGACCTTGTTGGAAGCAAAAGTCCACTTCTGTTGGAAAACCACATAAGAAATGTGTGTTGTCATAGCTATCCCATTTATGTTCCACACTACCATCATCCACCAATGACCTCATAACATCTTCATTAAATCCTATCATATCATGTTTTGTTTTGCAAGCGTTCGCAACCATTTCATAAAATACAGGTCCATATGATTTTTCAGGTTCTGCAGGCATATTTCCATAAGCTCCCATGGAAAGCTGAAGATATTTAAACTTAGGGTTCTCAAAATTAACATAATAGTTGTCTTTCTTTCTAAATAGTGCCCAAATACTTTAACATTAATAGGCGTATAAGCTGCTGTAAATGTTGCACTTGAACTATCTGTATTTTTTGAGAATGAACCGTCCATAGAGAATCCAATCCATAACTTTAACAGGAAAACATAAAGCCTCGTTTGTATAATGTTCTACAAGTTCTGTATAAATGTTAGGGTCTAAAGAGAATGACTTTGGATGAATGAAACATTCATTAAAATCCATCTTTGTTCGAAATAGTTGCTGGTTTACAGTTGTAATAGTAACTGTTCCACTAGCTTCTACTGCCTTCGTTATCATAGTGAATGGTTCATTCCATGGAACAAATTTATTTGTCGGTGGATTTGAATCTGAAGCAAATGCAACTTTAAGAGTTGGATTGAAACAATGATATCATTTACAGATATAGATGTGCATTGTAAGGCGTCGCTACTGAACTTTACTTTAAGCTGAATGTTTCCTGCAAAAGCTGGAATAAATCGAATAGCTTCTAATGGAAGGAATCTTCTAACAGGAATTCTTAAACGAAGCTTAAAATCAAATGATTTTCCTGCTGTAATTGGACCACTAACAATTTGTCCTGTTCTGCATGTTCCCGAATGACTCCATACATCTTCATGTCGAGTCTTTGAGAAAACATCTACTTTCTTTATTTGTTCGGTAGTTTGTGAGTTTGAAGTTATATATGCTTCTTCTCTTGCGTTGTCTTGAGAATATACGATACGACCATTTGCAAGGATTTGATATCCAGCAACTGCATAGAAAGCGTCATCGAAACCAATCCAAAATCCTGGTGGGTTTTGTTTTATTGGAACCTGAATCAATTTCTTTATCTACAATAAATTGACCTTCCATTTTATACGTAATGAATGTATTGTAAAGGTCCAACATATTTTCACCAGGAGTGAGAGATTGAATGTTACCATGTGTTATCTTTAGCAGTTCCAGGTTGTGATGGAATCTTTGCGTCAGAATATTTTCTATTAGTGTCACCAATTTGAACTGCATTGTCTATGATATCGAAATATGAGCGAATCTGATGAATATGCTCTGCTGGAGTAAATTCGTTTAGCTGTTCGTTCTGCATGTATTTACTTCAGATAAAAATATCTATTTACTTCATTATTCTCACTCTTCTCTTGGCATTCGTGGTGGAAGTTGTTTCTTGACATTTTCAATGAACTGTACATTCTCTTTTGTCTCAACTTCTTTCACTGGCGGGTCAGGGTTCTTTGACTCGTTTGCTTTTCAATGAAATTCACGAACTTTGCATAAGCTCTTGGTTCGTTATTGAAAGAACATCTGGCTTCTTTCTTCTTGTTCTATTGACTTTTCAGTTTGAACAGAAGGTTTTATATATGGGCTTCGTGGGCTTCGCCCTTGCCATGCACCTTAATGTTGTCGCTCTCTGCATTCGCTAATGGAACCTTTCTTTTTCTTACATATATTTTACCATCTTTACTCTGACTTACATAATAGAAAGGATGTTGTATTCCTCTGGCGTCATTTAATATAATAGACTCTCGTTCTGATTTTGACAAGCTCATTTTACATCGGTTAAAGTTTTAATTTAGTTTTTTATCTGCAGTCAAATGACTCAGACAAGCCCTACGGACAAGACCAAGGGGTCATAGATGTTGAAGCATTGAAGAAAGAAATTCGTGAGCAAATTTTATCCGAACTGAAGAACAAAAACAAGAACAAAAGCCAGAGAGACCAAAGAGAAAACTTAGTGAAAACAACTTGCTGCATTAGCTGCTGGAAGACAAAAGAACCACGTTTGCTGGCAAAGAAAGCTAGAGAAGAAGCTGAAGCAAAAGCTAAAGAAGCTGAAGCAAAGAAAGAGTAAATGGTTTATTTTACCGAACTAAATGTATAGACAATACCTTTATCTGTTGCGTTCAGTAGTGAAAACCCTGACGTCAAAATAAAGGGAACAGAGTAACGTTTAAGTTTCCAACAGACTGGATTGTGAACATAAATGAAGAGAAGTACATTGGCATAACATCTATGTATATAACACGTGCTTTCAGAAAGGTTGACTTTATACTTCAAGTC